ACAAGAACAGGTGAGGTTTTCAATGTTGTATTAACCAGTATATAATTAAGATATTTTGAAGAGAAGCTTGCAGTAGTGGAGTCAAAGGCACAGGAACAGGTGAGGTTTTCAATGTTGTATTAACCAGTATGTAATTAAGCTATTTTGAAGAAAAGCTTGCAGTTGTGGAGTCAAAGGCACAGGAACAGGTGATGTTTTGAATGTTATATTAACCAGTATGTAATTAAGATATTTTGAAGAAAAGTTTGCAGTTGTGGAGTCAAAGGCACAAGAACAGGTGAGGTTTTCAATGTTATATTAACCAGTATATAATTAAGCTATTTTGAAGAGAAGCTTGCAGTTGTGGAGTCAAAGGCACAGGAACAGGTTAGGTTTTGAAAGTTGTATTAACCAGTATATAATTAAGATATTTTGAAGAAAAGCTTGCAGTTGTGGAGTCAAAGGCACAGGAACATGTTAGGTTTTCAATGTTATATTAACCAGTATATAATTAAGATGTTTTGAAGAGAAGCTTGCAGTTGTGGAGTCAAAGGCACAGGAACAGGTGAGGTTTTCAATGTTATATTAACCAGTATATAATTAAGATATTTTGAAGAAAAGCTTGCAGTTGTGGAGTCAAAGGCACAGGACAGGTTAGGTTTTCAATGTTATATTAACCAGTATATAATTAAGATGTTTTGAAGAGAAGCTTGCAGTTGTGGAGTCAAAGGCACAGGAACAGGTGATGTTTTCAATGTTATATTAACCAGTATGTAATTAAGATATTTTGAAGAAAAGCTTGCAGTTGTGGAGTCAAAGGCACAAGAACAGGTTAGGTTTTGAAAGTTGTATTAACCAGTATATAATTAAGATATTTTGAAGAGAAGCTTGCAATTGTGGAGTCAAAGGCACAAGAACAGGTGAGGTTTTCAATGTTATATTAACCAGTATATAATTAAGCTATTTTGAAGAGAAGCTTGCAGTTGTGGAGTCAAAGGCACAGGAACAGGTTAGGTTTTGAAAGTTGTATTAACCAGTATGTAATTAAGCTATTTTGAAGAGAAGCTTGCAGTTGTGGAGTCAAAGGCACAGGAACATGTTAGGTTTTGAATGTTATATTAACCAGTATATAATTAAGATATTTTGAAGAAAAGCTTGCAGTTGTGGAGTCAAAGGCACAGGAACAGGTGAGGTTTTCAATGTTATATTAACCAGTATGTAATTAAGCTATTTTGAAGAGAAGCTTGCAGTTGTGGAGTCAAAGGCACAGGAACAGGTTAGATTTTGAAAGTTATATTAACCAGTATATAATTAAGATATTTTGAAGAAAAGCTTGCAGTTGTGGAGTCAAAGGCACAGGAACAGGTGAGGTTTTCAATGTTATATTAACCAGTATATAATTAAGATATTTTGAAGAAAAGCTTGCAGTTGTGGAGTCAAAGGCACAGGAACAGGTGAGGTTTTCAATGTTATATTAACCAGTATGTAATTAAGCTATTTTGAAGAGAAGCTTGCAGTTGTGGAGTCAAAGGCACAAGAACAGGTTAGATTTTGAAAGTTATATTAACCAGTATATAATTAAGCTATTTTGAAGAGAAGCTTGCAGTTGTGGAGTCAAAGGCACAGGAACAGGTGAGGTTTTCAATGTTATATTAACCAGTATATAATTAAGATATTTTGAAGAAAAGCTTGCAGTTGTGGAGTCAAAGGCACAGGAACAGGTTAGGTTTTGAAAGTTATATTAACCAGTATGTAATTAAGCTATTTTGAAGAAAAGCTTGCAGTTTTGGAGTCAAAGGCACAGGAACAGGTGAGGTTTTGAAAGTTATATTAACCAGTATGTAATTAAGCTATTTTGAAGAGAAGCTTGCAGTTGTGGAGTCAAAGGCACAAGAACAGGTTAGGTTTTGAAAGTTATATTAACCAGTATGTAATTAAGCTATTTTGAAGAGAAGCTTGCAGTTGTGGAGTCAAAGGCACAAGAACAGGTTAGATTTTGAAAGTTATATTAACCAGTATGTAATTAAGCTATTTTGAAGAGAAGCTTGCAGTTGTGGAGTCAAAGGCACAGGAACAGGTGAGGTTTTCAATGTTATATTAACCAGTATATAATTAAGATATTTTGAAGAGAAGCTTGCAGTTGTGGAGTCAAAGGCACAGGAACAGGTGAGGTTTTGAAAGTTATATTAACCAGTATGTAATTAAGCTATTTTGAAGAGAAGCTTGCAGTTGTGGAGTCAAAGGCACAGGAACAGGTGAGGTTTTGAAAGTTATATTAACCAGTATATAATTAAGATATTTTGAAGAAAAGCTTGCAGTTGTGGAGTCAAAGGCACAGGAACAGGTGAGGTTTTGAAAGTTATATTAACCAGTATATAATTAAGCTATTTTGAAGAGAAGCTTGCAGTTGTGGAGTCAAAGGCACAGGAACAGGTGATGTTTTCAATGTTATATTAACCAGTATATAATTAAGATATTTTGAAGAGAAGCTTGCAGTTGTGGAGTCAAAGGCACAAGAACAGGTGAGGTTTTGAAAGTTGTATTAACCAGTATATAATTAAGCTATTTTGAAGAGAAGCTTGCAATTGTGGAGTCAAAGGCACAGGAACAGGTGAGGTTTTCAATGTTATATTAACCAGTATATAATTAAGCTATTTTGAAGAGAAGCTTGCAGTTGTGGAGTCAAAGGCACAGGAACAGGTGATGTTTTCAATGTTATATTTACCAGTATGTAATTAAGCTATTTTGAAGAAAGCTTACAGTTGTGGAGTCAAAGGCACAGGAACAGGTTAGGTTTTGAAAGTTGTATTAACCAGTATGTAATTAAGCTATTTTGAAGAGAAGCTTGCAGTTGTGGAGTCAAAGGCACAGGAACAGGTGAGGTTTTGAAAGTTATATTAACCAGTATATAATTAAGATATTTTGAAGAGAAGCTTGCAGTTGTGGAGTCAAAGGCACAAGAACAGGTGAGGTTTTGAAAGTTATATTAACCAGTATGTAATTAAGATATTTTGAAGAAAAGCTTGCAGTTGTGGAGTCAAAGGCACAGGAACAGGTGAGGTTTTCAATGTTATATTAACCAGTATGTAATTAAGCTATTTTGAAGAGAAGCTTGCAGTTGTGGAGTCAAAGGCACAGGAACAGGTTAGATTTTGAAAGTTATATTAACCAGTATATAATTAAGATATTTTGAAGAAAAGCTTGCAGTTGTGGAGTCAAAGGCACAAGAACAGGTTAGATTTTGAAAGTTATATTAACCAGTATATAATTAAGCTATTTTGAAGAGAAGCTTGCAGTTGTGGAGTCAAAGGCACAAGAACAGGTTAGATTTTGAAAGTTATATTAACCAGTATGTAATTAAGCTATTTTGAAGAGAAGCTTGCAGTTGTGGAGTCAAAGGCACAGGAACAGGTGAGGTTTTCAATGTTATATCAACCAGTCAATTTGTAATGTATTTTCAGTTGGAGGATATCCTTTATCCTAGATTTGAACCTTTGAGGCTTTCTCTTTGATATATATGGATTGATGTTTTTTTTACTTCAGGAATTTCTATTTGTGATATTTAGGGTAATAGTTGTTTTATGATTCTTGGTAAAAGTGTTAATTTGTTAGACACTCATTGGGTAGTGTTTTTTGAATTTTTGGTACCTTGAATAACTAATCTAGTCAAGCTGATATTATAGAGCTTTTATTTTGGTAGCTTTTCCATCTATTAATCAAAACCATCATTCTCGAAAATGGTAAAATATGCCTGGAATATTATAGTTCAACAAGTTAAACCCAATTTCCAGCTTAATTTATTATCCTTGCAATACATTCATGTTAGTGAACTTTGGATGGGTCCAATATCCCTCTGTAATATTGGGCTACGTAAGAAATGTCAGATAATAAATAAGACCCAGACCGAAGGTTTGATTTGTTGAACTAGGAATATTATTGCATTCACTTCATAAATTTGATAGGTTCCCTGAGTCTGTTAGAGACCATTAGTTTTGACCCTGAATGTTTTTATTATTGATTAATACTTATGGATTAAAACTTAATCAAGATTTTTTAAAAATAAACTTAAAGTGTCTCACATATTCGATCAAAACTTGCCATGCAAACATGTTAGTCTACTTTACTGGCCCCCCTTGCTGTAACAAGGAACCCAAAACACATTAAAACGTTAACATAAACCAATTAGTCACTTCACTATGAAAGTGAGGGGTGCATGGACTAACACAATATCAGTGGTCATTCACTGTAATCAACTTAGTAACCCTTGCATATCGTGCTCACTCAAGTATTGAATAATTTTTTTATGATCTAAATGTTTGGGGTTTATAAAAAAATGTGATATATTTTAGTTAGAAATACATTAATTAATATATTCATTCAAACAGCACTAGAATGCGGGAAGAAAGAGCAATGGTGACAAAATGCAGACAGGATTTTCCGTAAGGGTTTCAAACATTTCTGAACACAATTATACATGTACTTCATGTGTACTGTTATTTTTAGTGCTGTATTTATAGATATAATTTCACGTATTAAAATCATATTTTCCAGCAATGACTTCAAATTCGGAACCACACCCATATCACATTTTCTTCAATAACTCCAAACATGTGTAAACATTGACCATGTGCATATAAATTCAGATTTCACGAGCTCTTTCCTATTAGAGTACCTCAAACACCCCTGCGTGGATTTGAGTTGGATTCGCCTTTTATACGTGAGCCGACACACTCGCAAACGCTGATTGGATAAAGATTGCAAGAATCTTTAAGTCAACATTTTTGTAAATCAATATTTGAAAAATTCTTCATGTACTTGTTTGTAATATATATTAATTGTTCTGTATATATTATAAACTAATATGTATGAAATGAAAACTTAATATTTTCAGCATTAATGAGTAAATATCAAATCAAATTAGGTTGTGCTAAGGAGCCACAGTGTGGCTGTTTTCATTTATCTTTGGCTCTCTGATTACATGAACTTGTATAGGTTTAGCTAGTGACAAGAAACAACATACCATAATGCACATCTTATTATTCTCAGAATATTTGTATTTCAACCTTATTCAAGTATTGGATGCTGACATATTGATCTATATGCAGTTGCAGGATTTTGTGAAATCCAATCAAAATAATGTGCAATACTTCCATGATTAGCATCATACAATGCCATTGCTGTATAAGAGTTAGGATATCCTGGTATCCACTTAGTGAAGTTGAAAGGTTCCCCAGTTGTTTGCCACTCCCATGTTGTACCATCTCTCATTTTGTTTCCACTTGTCCAATATCCCCAATACTGTCCAGCCGGTACCCTGAGATCTAGGAATTAGTATTGAGAGGGTCAAAAACAAATGTTTATCTAGAATACATTATGGATGCAATGTACCGTAATTGGAATTTTTGTTGGCATGAATGAATTAAATGATTTCAAGTGTTTTAAATCTAGATTGTTTGTATGAAAATGACTTATATGAAATATAAATATTTATGTGTTTTGGAGTTGGCTCAGATCACTAGATATTCATACAGTTAAATCTATCTCGTAAGTGATGTATAGATGGCACAAGTGCAAAGGTGAGTTAATTTACATAGATCATGTGACAAGGTTGAAATGTCACGTGACTACAACTGGCGGGAATCAGTTTGCGAGGTTTTATTGGCAGGGGTTTAGTTCCAAATATTACTGAACTTTATAATTATATAGTACGTTGTGATAAATGGAGTCATATCACTGGAACATTTATTTAACCATACTTGTATCTGTTCCAAGATATCCCACAAAAACTTCCTGTTCTTCATAGCTCTCTACTGTTACCAGTCCAAACCCAAAATATGATTGACAGAAATCTGTAGCTTCTTGCCATGATTTGGTTGTTGTCACAAACATATAGCACGTGTCATTCCTGTGTATGCCTTTTAGGAAACCAGCGAAGCAGTCTTCTGATTCTCCTGAAAATAAGAAAAGTAATTTATAAGGCTGTAATAAGATCTTATCAATTGATATTTCAAATCTTAAATATGATTCATGTACATTGTAATTTTAAGTTCATATTTTATCAGATGTATATGGATTGTAGACGTCACAACCAAGAATTTGTGGCAACATCATGTTTCATACTTGGTATATGTAGCTACTATACTGATAATAGAAAGGCCAGGTGCAAAAGTTGTTTTCTTTAAACTACTGATTACTGAATTTGATAACTATTGGTGCCAGTGTTCAATGTCAGTAACAAAGTGTTACACTTTTGTTAATTGCAACCATATGGTGACATGTTAATGCCTAATAATGTTTCCAGGTAATGTAAATAAATCTTGAAAAAAGAATAAGTAGTACTCTCAAAATGTTGTGAATGATTGAGCCCAATGATAATAGCCATTAAATTTAGGTTTAATCTGGTAAGCATGTATTGTATAAGGATGTGTATAATAATCCCCTGATGATTTTATGCCTTCCTTATAGAATCCTTCAGAAAGGCTGGTTGCTCATTACTAATAGATAAGACATTTTAATTTTGAAAACTTAAAAATGCATGTACATGTATACAATAATATGTTAGGTAAGCCATTTTATCTTTTGAAAGAATTTATACATAATTTATACATAATTTATACATAATAATCTTACTGAAGAGAGCTGATGGTTTGTTATACACCTCCACATATTCATCTCCCCATTTTATCTTAGCAACATAGTTTGCCACATCACTTGCACCAAGGAATGCAGAACAGCTCAGTAGGACCACCAGGATGGAGAGTTGTAGAGTCATCTTCATTGTTTCTCAATATGTTACATAAATGGTTAATTCAGATTTATATAATATATTTGTGACTTAGATTGTTATATGTTGCCTTGTTTTTATCAGATAAAGACTTTATTTATGAGCATTTATGACCACCATGTTATTTTTGAGTCTCTACCCTGCTGTAGTTTCCCATGCTTAGTTTCTTTTCTAAAGATCTACCACCGACTAAATGAGAAAATTCACAACAATGAAGAAAACAATTTTTTGAATAGTGAACAAATCAGCACAAAATCAGGGCAGCTACATATTTTTGCTTAGTTAGAATATTATATTAAAATCATAAACTAGGCTGTCTTCAAGTCAAGTCAAGCTCAATGAAGACCATAGAAGAATATACTCAACTGTATCATTGCTGTATTTTCAGTGTACTGAGTTAGAGTCAAGGTCAAGAAGACCATAGAAGAATATACTCAACTGTATCATTGCTGTATTTTCAGTGTACTGAGTTAGAGTCAAGGTCAATGACGACCATAGAAGAATATACTCAACTGTATCATTTCTGTATTTTCAGTGTACTGAGTTAGAGTCAAGGTCAAGAAGACCATAGAAGAATATACTCAACTGTATCATTGCTGTATTTTCAGTGTACTGAGTTAGAGTCAAGGTCAAGAAGACCATAGAAGAATATACTCAACTGTATCATTGCTGTATTTTCAGTGTACTGAGTTAGAGTCAAGGTCAATGACGACCATAGAAGAATATACTCAACTGTATCATTTCTGTATTTTCAGTGTACTGAGTTAGAGTCAAGGTCAAGAAGACCATAGAAGAATATACTCAACTGTATCATTGCTGTATTTTCAGTGTACTGAGTTAGAGTCAAGGTCAAGAAGACCATAGAAGAATATACTCAACTGTATCATTGCTGTATTTTCAGTGTACTGAGTTAGAGTCAAGGTCAAGAAGACCATAGAAGAATATACTCAACTGTATCATTGCTGTATTTTCAGTGTACTGAGTTAGAGTCAAGGTCAATGAAGACCATAGAAGAATATACTCAACTGTATCATTGCTGTATTTTCAGTGTACTGAGTTAGAGTCAAGGTCAAGAAGACCATAGAAGAATATACTCAACTGTATCATTGCTGTATTTTCAGTGTACTGAGTTAGAGTCAAGGTCAATGAAGACCATTGAAGAATATACTCAACTGTATCATTGCTGTATTTTCAGTGTACTGAGTTAGAGTCAAGGTCAAGAAGACCATAGAAGAATATACTCAACTGTATCATTGCTGTATTTTCAGTGTACTGAGTTAGAGTCAAGGTCATTGACGACCATAGAAGAATATACTCAACTGTATCATTTCTGTATTTTCAGTGTACTGAGTTAGAGTCAAGGTCATTGAAGACCATAGAAGAATATATTCAACTGTATCATTTCTGTATTTTCAGTGTACTGAGTTAGAGTCAAGGTCAATGAAGACCAAAGAAGAATATACTCAACTGTATCATTTCTGTATTTTCAGTGTACTGAGTTAGAGTCAAGGTCAATGAAGACCAAAGAAGAATATACTCAACTGTATCATTTCTGTATTTTCAGTGTACTGAGTTAGAGTCAAGGTCAATGAAGACCAAAGAAGAATATACTCAACTGTATCATTTCTGTATTTTCAGTGTACTGAGTTAGAGTCAAGGTCAATGAAGACCAAGAAGAATATACTCAACTGTATAATTTCTGTATTTTCAGTTTATTGAGTTAGAGTCAAGGTCAATGAAGACCAAAGAAGAATATACTCAACTGTATCATTTCTGTATTTTCAATGTACTGAGTTAGAGTCAAGGTCAATGAAGACCAAGAAGAATATACTCAACTGTATAATTTCTGTATTTTCAGTTTATTGAGTTAGAGTCAAGGTCAATGAAGACCAAAGAAGAATATACTCAACTGTATCATATTTCTGTATTTTCGGTGAACTGAGTTAAAGTCAAGTTCTGAGTTCTAAAGACACATCCCTTGGGAGTTTTCAATTATCCTGTTCTCTCTGATTACATGAACCTGAATTGGTTTTTTTGGCAATGGATTAAGCAAAGAATGTCTCAATATTTTCAGAATATTATTTTTTATTTCAAAACCTTATTCAAATATTGGGTGCTGACATATTGATCTGTGCGCAGTTGCTGGAGGATGTGAAACCCAATCAAAATACCATGCATAGTTTCCACTATTATCATCAAACAATACCATTACTGTATTAGAGTCGGGATGCCCTGGTATCCACTTTGTGAAGTTGAAAGGTTCTCCAGTAGTTTGCCACTCCCATGTCGTACCATCTCTCATTTTGTTTCCACTTGTCCAATATCCCCCGCGCTGTCCAGCCGGTACCCTGAGATCTAGGAATTAGTATTGAGAGGGTCAAAAACGAATGTTTAATAAAGTTCTATTATGATAATATCTAGAATACATTATGGATGCAATGTACTGTAATTGGAATTTTTGTTGGCATTTTTGTTGGCTAGAATTAAATGATTTCAAGTGTTTTAAATCTAGATTGTTTGTATGAAAATGATATGAAATATAAATAATTATGTGTTTTGGAGTTGACTCAGATCACTAGATATTCATACAGTTAAATATATCTCGTAAGTGATGTATAGATGGCAGAAGTACATAGGTGAGTTAATTTACATAGATCATGTGATAAGGTTGAAATGTCACGGGACTACAACTTGCGAGAATCAGTTTGTGAGGTTTTATTGGCAGGGGTTTAGTTCCAAATATCACTGAAACATTTATTGAACCATACTTATATCTGTTCCAAGATGTCCCACAAATACTTCCTGTTCTTCATAGCTCTCAACTGTTACCAGTCCAAACCCAAAATATGATTGACAGAAATCTGTAGCATCTTGCCATGATTTGGTTATTGTTACAAACATGTAGCATGTGTCATTTCTGTGTATGCCTTTTAGAAAACCAGCGAAGCAGTCTTCTGATTCTCCTGAAAATAAGAAAAGTGATTTATAAGGCTGTAATATGATTTTATCAATTGATATTTCAAATCTTAAATATGATTCATGTACATTGTAATTTTAAGTTCATATTTTATCAGATGTATATGGATTGTAGACGTCACAACCAAGAATTTGTGGCAACATCATGTTTCATACTTGGTATATGCAGCTACTTTACTGATAATAGAAAGGCCAGGTGCAACAGTTGTTTTCTTTAAACTAGTCTACTGATTACTGAATTTGATAACTATTGTTGTGTTCAATATCAGTAACAAAGTGTTACACTTTTGTTAATTGCAACCACACTGGTGATCCACTCGATTACGCTGGTTACCAAAACGGTTCGTGAACCACATGGTGACATGTTAATGCCTAATAATGTTACCAGGTAATGTAAATAAATCTTGAAAATACAATAAGTAGTACTCTCAAAATGTTGTGAATGATTGAGCCCAATGATAATAGCCATTGAATTTAGGTTTAATCTGGTAAGCATGTATTGTATAAGGATGTGTATAATAATTCCCTGGTGATTTTATGCCAGAAAGGCTGGTTGCTCATAACTAATAGATAAGACATTTTAATTTTGAAAACTTAAAAATGCATGTATATGTATACAATAATATGTTAGGTAAGCTATTTTATCTTTTGAAAGAATTTATACATAATAATCTTACTGAAGAGAGCTGATGGTTTGTTATACACCTCCACATACTCATCTCCCCATTGTATCTTAGAAACATAGTTTGCCACATCACTTGCACCAATCAGTGTGATGAAGCTCAGCAGAACTATCAAAATGCAGAGTTGCAGAGCCATTTTGCTGTTTTTCAATATGGAGCACCAATGGTAAATGGTGATTCAGATTTATATAATATATTTGTAACATTAGATTGTAATATGTTGCCTTGTTTTTATCAGATAGGCCTAAAGACTTTATTTATGACTTCCGACAATTTATGACCACCATGTTATTTTTGAGTCTCTACCCTGCTGTAGTTTCCCATGCTTAGTTTGTTTTCTAAAGATCTACCAAAGACTAAATGAGTAGATTTACCACAATGAAGAAAATGATTTTTTGAATAGTGAACAAATCAGCACAAAATCAGGGCAGCTACATATTTTTGTTCGTTAGATTATTCTATTAAAATCATAAACTAGGCTGTCTTCAAGTCAAGTCATGATCAATGAAGGCCATAGAAGAATATACTCAACTGTATCATTTCTGTATTTTCAGTGTACTGAGTTAGAGTCAAGGTGAATAAAGACTATAGAAGAATATACTCAATTGTATCATTTCTGTGTTTTTAGTGTACTGAGTTAGAGTCAAGGTGAATAAAGACTATAGAAGAATATACTCAAATGTATCATTTCTGTGCTTTCAGTGTACTGAGTTAGAGTCAAGGTGAATAAAGACTATAGAAGAGTATAGTCAATTGTATCATTTCTGTGTTTTTAGTGTACTGAGTTAGAGTCAAGGTCAATAAAGACTATAGAAGAATATACTCACATATATCATTTCTGTATTTTCAGTGTACTGAGTTAGAGTCAAGGTCAATGAAGGCCATAGAAGAATATACTCATCTGTATCATTTCTGTATTTTCAGTGTACTGAGTTAGAGTCAAGGTCATTGAAGACCATAGAAGAATATACTAAACTGTATCATTTCTGTATTTTCAGTGTACTGAGTTAGAGTCAAGGTGAATAAAGACTATAGAAGAATATACTCAATTGTATCATTTCTGTGTTTTTAGTGTACTGAGTTAGAGTCAAGGTGAATAAAGACTATAGAAGAATATACTCAAATGTATCATTTCTGTGCTTTCAGTGTACTGAGTTAGAGTCAAGGTGAATAAAGACTATAGAAGAGTATACTCAATCGTATCATTTCTGTGTTTTTAGTGTACTGAGTTAGAGTCAAGGTCAATGAAGACCATAGAAGAATATACTCAAATGTATCATTTATGTGCTTTCAGTGTACTGAGTTAGAGTCAAGGTCAATGAAGACCATAGACGAATATACTCAACTTGAGAAGAAACTAACTGATGTAACAAAGGAGAAACAAGCACATGAAAAGAAGGCAGTGCAGGTAAATGAAATGGAAAATAAAAGAAGTTGATAACCAAATGTGTCGTTTTAATTCAGACATTAGACAGCCAGATGTTTATAGACAGGCATCATCCATTGAATATACAAGTACAAAAAGTTTCTTTTTTCTAACTTCTTGAACCTGATTGTACCTGTTACATGCACACATGCATTGGTGTGTAGTGTAAGTTCACAAAGTTGCAAATTGTTATCAAACCACTAATTTTGTGTTCACTTTTTATTTATAAACATAATATATGAAATGAGTTCTTCATTCTGTTGTGAGTGGAAAGAATGGGCTTTGTAAAAGTGCAAAATACCTCCCCTTGTATTATGACATGTTACAATAACAAAAAGGAAAAGTTGTTATTGTTCATACATTATATCGAATCGCGGAACTAACCACTTGTTACCAGTTTGAATAATGATTAACCAGAATAAACAACTTTATTTTCAGTTATCTATAAAAGTTGCCAAACTAACAAAAGAGTTAAAAGAGGAGAGAGAAATGAATCAATGCTTACGGGAGAACCAGAAAGACTGGGTGAAACGAGTAGAAGAACTGGAAACAAAGTTTAACCATTCCATAGCCTCTAAAGACAAGGTATAAAGAATTGAATATAATCATTTTAACTCATTTCATTACATCATTTTAGGATCTGCATATTAATAAGGCAGTTTTTTGTTTAACATAGTCCTTTTAGATACATGCAGTTTTAAATCTTAGACTATTTCAGAATGTAAATATTACCACAATATTAAATTATTTCATCATTGTCCCTAACCTCGTTTTAAGTGGCAGAAAATTTCAGAAAACATACTCTATCACAACAGTAAATTATTTTTGTTTAATAAAATCTCTTTATGTAGTCTAAAGTTACAGAATATTTCAGAATACAGATTGCAAAATTGCCACAACACTAAAAAAATATTTTTGTTTTACATTATATTTTACATAGTTTTAAGCACATAATATGTACAGTATATCAGAATACACCACAACACTTATCTATTTTTGTGTCACATAAATAAAAGTGCTATCTCTTATAACATGATCTCTCATTACAGAAAGATCTTTTTGATATTATAAGGTGGTCTTATATGTACTGGATCCCTCTAAACCTGTTTTCATACTAATTTTCTTGGAGCTCCAAGATGTTCAGGAACAATTGAGAGATGTCATGTTCTCTATAGAGGCGCAACAGAAACTTTCAAAAATGTAATGAATCATTCTTAACCCATTTTATACTTGATTTCTAGGAGCTCCAAGATGTCCAGGAACAATTGAGGGATGTCATGTTCTACATAGAGGCGCAGCAGAAACTTTCAAAAACAACAGAGGTAAGAAACCATTTATCTCAATTGTTTTGGTTTTGTAAAATGAGCACCAGTCTTGGTCCGTACTTGCCTTGTCACTATGACACACACTTGCCCCCTTGCTATTAATCTTAATTGTTATGTCACTACCAAAAGTGGTGACATTTTGTTATAGAGACTCCTAGTCAACTTTTTGTTGGTATTTGGCATTTGGTGTTCAGCGATCAGTGGTCCATGTCTGTAACAAATGGCAGGTGGTGACATGTTAATACCTGTGTGTCTTGTCACACTTGCACCAGTCTTGTACCACCCTTGCCTTGTTACCACATGAAATAATCATTAATAGTCTTTATTGTTCAGCTGGGTATCTTTCAATGGAAAAAATTGTGATCATAATGGCTGAAAACTTGTTTCTTGCTTTAATATTTACACAAGCTCTGTAGTGTATCCACAATTTTAGTAACACATTTCCACAATATTCCTGTTTTTAAACTTGAAAAGTTTATCTTTATTATTGTTTACGTCATTCTGTATTTTCATACTTCCAGGTATCCCAGGCTGAGATACAGGGTGGTCACGTGATAGTTGGAGAGGCAGCATCAAAACCTGCAGACAGGAAAAAAGGACGAACAAAGAAAAGATGAAATCATGCTTGCAATTTTAGTGAATAATATTTCACATTGTGGGATCCACAGCCAGTATTCCTTAGCTCAACCTCTGATTATATCCGTGATGTAATCAAGAGGTTGTAGCCTTGTAGGTTCAATTCCCGCCGAGATGGAGTGACTTTTTCACATCAGCCCTTAGCGTAGGATTTGATCATGTGTTTCTGATAAAACATTGTGTGACCCTACACAGTCGATATTCCTTGGAAAAGACATAGAGAGACTGATAAATTAGAACATGTATATCAATAGCCCAATTTACACTACACACGACATTCTAAGACGTCTTGGCTAAAACGTTTTAGAAAAATTATGTTGACTACATCAGCACTTTCAAGACGTCTTACAAAATATGATTGAGTTGACATCTGTTTACCTAAGACGTCTTGTAGTTATACATGTAATAGGGAAATACCAGTTCAGTTCAGGAACAATGGTTTGGACAAAAGAAAGGACCATGTGACACATATAAACAGAAAGTTTCAATTTTTCGTTCAATGCAACGCACAAAATCGGGCTAAGAGCTCTTGAAAAAATCTGGATTTACATTACATTTGTAAACTGTTTTAACGCTAAAACGTTTTACCCAAGACGTCTTAGCGCTCTAGTGTAAATCCATCAAGTATAAATAAATGTATTGAACCTCGTGGTTGGCTTATGAGACTGCTGAAGCATAAGTGTTGAATAGGAAAGATACATGTTGCTTACATGTGGCTACATCCAACTGTCTCCTGAGCTAAAGAAAGAATGGAATCAGTGTGATGCCTCGTTGCATAGCGACCCTTGTCAAAAACCTTAATGAAATAGAAGTAGACCTTTCCACCAAACTCTGCCACTTTTGGCTTCACCAAAAATGCTTGGACAGATTCATGATGTCGTAGGATGAAGATAGCAATGCTTACAAATAAAATTCTGAGACGTCTTCAGAATTAGCAATAAATATTCTTGGTTTCTTTGTTGTTGCAAAAGTAGCAAAAAGGCAGGGTTTATTGGAAATTTCTTTTGTTCGACACTAAATATTGTTGTGAGGAAGGGATGCTGCAGCATGTGTAGATTCTAATGCTTTTAAAAGGCAGTGCCTAATTGTGGACCTTAATAAATCAACGTTTAATAGTGTCTTACTTGCATCATCAGTAGACATATTATTTTTCGAAAATTTGAAAATGAAAGTTTAAAAAACTCAACTAGTAAGCAGTATGACAAGTTGCTTTTTAAAGACAATTAATTCACTATTTAGAGACAAGCAATTTATTTATGTGATCCAGGATTCCGTTTTTGAAATCATTGCATTTTGTTGCAAGTCATTGTTCATCTTGTCTTGTATTATACAATGGTTTTCTTAGAATCATAACTTATGATTGTTCGAAAATGGATCCAGGGTCGTAGAATGTTTTGTACATGTATGTACATGTATGTATGTTTTGTATATGTACATGTTTGAGATTATTGTATAAAATACATAATGAAACAGTGAAGATAGGATTACATCTGAAATAAAAGAATTATGACCAGAAGGCCCTAAATATGAATTGTGATTTGATGGTTCAGTATTTGGTTTTTAGATTCTTGCGTGTATTAATATAAGATAAAAAGATAGAGGTCGTGGCCGTTGATGAACTATGAGGCAGGTTAGACGTTTAAGTTTTCCACATGACAATAATATGAAAATGATATCTGTAGTAATATAATATCCTCCGTGCCTCATCCTTTGCCTCACCTATTGAAATTTTCCTCACCAAATTTTGAATTCACCTTGTAGATAATTTCATATTTAAAAAAAAAAGTGTATTTTGTTTAAAGAATCCTATCTTTATATTAGATATTTGGTCACTGAAAGGGCAGACTTTAATTATTTTTGTTTAATGTAAGGGCCGATTTTCCTTTCAGCATAATCTTTGGATTAACCGATTAAGTATATATTTGGACCGCTGTCATATGTCATACTTCGTTGTGACTTTTCTATATGTTATGCAATAAACCTTATGTTTTAAACAACTAATCTTTTCTAATGGGGTGTCATTTAGTTCACTCAACCTTTCGCTGGGTGTTCACACTGATATATCCTTCTTATACATCATAAGTGTAACGAAAGGTCTTAGTTAAAAGCAAAAACTGGAGGTTTCTTAGTATTTTTACGTAAAAAGATTGGTTCACTATCGCAGACAGATAAATCCACAATTCCACTCCGGGATTATAATATCAAGCAAAAAAGGAAAAATCCAACCTTAAGTTCATATATTGCATATATCTATTTTGCTATTTTGCTTGGGCTTAATTTACTTTGATATAGTTTATATGTTTGTATTGTCATATGTTCATTCACCCCACTACGTGCCACGTCCTTCCCATTAGGCGCTTTATCTTTTTTAGTGTTATTTTATAACGTTATGTAACTCGATTAATAACAGCAATATAAAGGCATACATTTTCTAATGATACTGTTACCTATAAATATTTATTACAGGTCATGATGAAGTATATCCCCACTGCTTGATATATAGCGAAAAGCACATTGATGACGTTACGCATGCGCCATTTCAACAATTTTCGTATCTCAAAATTGTTGCAGTTAAAGATTCGTAAGGTCTAACATATTTTACAAATCGTAAGCGTTTTAATTGTAAACTTTCTCATGAAAAGATTCTTGCAGCTTTGTTAAAATTTTCTTGCAAAAATACACTATCCCCTTTACAAATTTTATTAATTTTACGGGGGTGATGTTAGGAGCTTTGATGATTTATAAGATATATTTTCGGAACTTGTCAGTAGAAACAGTTTTAACATTTTTTGGAAGCGATCTGTAATGAAATATAATAACGTCATGTTGCAATTCATCTTGAGCATGCCAAAAATAAAAATAAATTGTGTGCTTAATACTCAATTTCTCCGATTTGCAAACGGTTTTGTCCGTAATTCAAGTGTCAAAATAATGTTTACGGAGCATGAAACATGGAGGATAAAACGGGTATTTTGAACGTGGGGAGTGAAAAGAGGAAATCAGAAACATTGAGGATGAAACAGATTCTTCAGGTTATGGATATCTATGTCTTAAAGTGTGTAGCTGTACGACGGAAAAAAACAAATTTGGTACATCCACTGCTCACTGGTGTCCTCTATACAGTTACCCATGTGTCGAAATAATGTTTTGAATTGAGAATCAACTGATCGGTCAAACGGAAAGGTGAAATAAGTATCAAATCAATAAATATGACCAGGTAGAAAACCGCAAGATAGAAAAGTTCAAAATTATTTAAGTTAAATTGGACATTTTGACCATTATAAACCATGGGCCATCAGGTACAGTATATTTATTTTGTTTGTTGAGCTTCGCTACTCAACATACCGTTGTCCTTCAGTCATATGTAATGCCTTGATGGGTCAAGATGGCTACTCCATCCAATTGCTGTTTTCTAGCTTTTAAGTCAATATTTTATACTCTTATTTGAAATGCGAACATTTATATCGGAAATTATGTATTTACAAGGGGTGATCATAAAGTTCACATAATATCTCTCTATTTATTTTTCAATATAACCTAGAGAAATTAGAGAGATATTCTGAAAACTTTATGATTACCCCTCGTATATCCATATAAAAACCAGCTGACTTAAGAATCAGGCGTGATACTTTATCGTCGGATATGTAAGTGTTAATCCTCTGCGTTGTTGAATGTTTAAACATATGGTTGTTCAAATTTGGAAATAGTCCTTAATCTCGGGAAAGAATTTGATTGTTCGGAACCCTTAGTTTAGGACACAAACGAGTATTCCACTAGTCCCACGCGTATTAACACAAGGCTCAAGTGTTATGAAAGCATACCTACGATTCAGACATAACCTGTAACGTCGTACCACGGGTAGACTAAGTTCATTCATTCCAATTATATCCACCTAGGCCATCAAATGGATTGAGATGCGATTTAGGTTTAAATTGATGATGTTTATATTTATCTCAGCCAGGCCCTTATTAGTGTTTTTCAGTGTGATGGTGTTTTTTAAATCTTTTAATTCAACTTATTTGTGTTGATAAACTTTTCTGCTCGTATCCCCATGAAATATGTGCGTGTTTATTTCTAAGGTTGTCGTACGCGTTTAACCGAACGAACCCGTGCAAGTGTAACAAACTTGCCATTATACCACCGGAAGGCGAGCATGTCTGAGTCGGATGGCCCAAAGCAGCAAAGGTTCACTCTGGATAGCTTGAATGGTTCCAGTAAGGATTTGAATGAGTCCAGGAAGGATCTGAAGCCTTCTCATTTGAGCGTTCCAAGCTTCAATGGCAGCATGGGATCGCCAGATTCAAACGCCGAGGAAGATTCAGTATTTAACTACAACCAGGAGAATGGTAAGGATGGACCATTGATCTTTACGAGGGGGCTATTCCTGTTTTAAAAATAAAACAAGAATATTGTATAATGGGCCTGTATAATAACTAATTAGATTATTTACATGGGAGTACTAAGGGTATACGTTCAATCACTTGGATTTTGTTTTCTTCGCCATACTCTTTAAAAATTTCATTTCCTTCTTTAACTCTGTCTTTAATGGCACCTGGCAAACGTATTTGTTTGCTCTTGTATTTTGGATCATGATTCTAAAAAATATTGACTAATAGAATAGAATAGTTAATGATCTTGTATTTTGGATCGTGGTTATAAAAATATTGACTAATAGAATAGAATATGGAATGCAATAATCAGCTGTGTTTCAGACTAAATAACGTGTGAAGGTCTCATTAAACATTGAAATTTTAAAGAAACACGCAATGTCAAAATGTTTACTAAGTCGTAATGACCTAGTGCCGACGAACTTTAAATAAATAAAAATGGAGAAACTGAATGTATTTGGCAAACATCAATTAATTAATAATGTATTACAAATGTATAAGCAACAAAAGCAATAGAACGTGAATGATGTTAGAATTGGAATAGCAGCAATTAGAAATATATTGAAGAAAGGTAACAAGTATTCGGATAGTAGCAATTAGTAATAGTTTTATTGCTTTAAGTATTGGGATAGTAGCAATTAGTAATAATTTGATTGCTGTAAGTATTGGGATAGTAGCAATTAGTAATAGTTTGATTGCTGTAAGTATTCGGAATAGTAGCAATTGTAATATTTTGTTGTTGTAAGTATTGGGATAGTAGCAATTAGTAATAATTTGATTGCTGTAAGTATTGGGATAGTAGCAATTAGTAATAATTTGATTGCTGTAAGTATTCGGATAGTAGCAATTAATAATATTTTGATTGCTGTAAGTATTGGGATAGTAGCAATCAGTAATATTTTGATTGCTGTAAGTATTCGGATAGTAGCAATAAGTAATAATTTGATTGTTGTAAGTATTGGGATAGTAGCAATTAGTAATATTTTGATTGCTGTAAGTATTGGGATAGAAGCAATTAGTAATATTTTGAATGCTGTAAGTATTGGGATAGTAGTAATTAGTGATAATTTGATTGCTGTAAGTATTGGGTTAGTAGCAATTAGTAATATTTTGATTGCTGTAAGTATTGAGATAGTAGCAATTAGTAATATTTTGAATGCTGTAAGTATTGGGATAGTAGTAATTAGTAATAATTTGATTGCTGTAAGTATTGGGTTAGTAGCAATTAGTAATATTTTGATTGCTGTAAGTTTTGGGATAGTAGCAATTAGTAATATTTTGATTGCTGTAAGTTTTGGGATAGTAGCAATTAGTAATAATTTGATTGTTGTGAGTATTGGGATAGGAGCAACTAGTAATATTTTGATTGTTGTAAGTAATGGAATATAGTAGCAATTAGTAATATTTTGATTGCTGTAAGTTTTGGGATATAGTAGCAATTAGTAATATTTTGATTGTTGTAAGTATTGGGATAGTAGTAATTTATAATATTTTGATTGCTGTAAGTATTCGGATAGTAGCAATTAGTAATAGTTTGATTGCTGTAAGTATTGGGATAGTAGCAATTAGTAATAATTTGATTGCTGTAAGTATTTTGACAGAAGCAATTAGTAATATTTTGAATGCTGTAAGTATTGGGATAGTAGTAATTAGTAATATTTTGATTGTTGTAAGTATTTGGATAGTAGCAATTAGTAATATTGTGATTTATGTAAGTATTGGGATAGTAGCAATTAGTAATAATTTGATTGCTGTAAGTATTTGGACAGTAGCAATTAGCAATATTTTGATAGCTGTAAGTATTGGGATAGTAGTAATTAGTAATATTTTGATTGTTGTAAGTATTGGGATAGTAGCAATTAGTAATATCTTGATTGCTGTAAGTATTGGGATAGTAGCAATTGTAATATTTTGTTGTTGTAAGTATTGGGATAGTAGCAATTAGTAATATTTTGTTGTTGTAAGTATTTGGATAGTAACAATTAGTAATAGTTTGATTGCTGTAAGTATTTGGATAGTAGCAATTAGTAATATGTTGATTGTTGTAAGTATTGTGATAGTAGCAATTAGTAATTCTTTGATAGCTGTAAGTATTGGGATAGTAGCAATTCGTAATATTTTGATTGTTGTAAGTAATGGAATATAGTAGCGATTTGTAATATTTTGATTGCTGTAAGTATTGGGATAGTAGCAATAAGTAATAATTTGATTGCTGTAAGTATCGGGATAGTAGCTATTAGTAATATTTTGATTGCTGTAAGTATTGGGATAGTGGCAATTGCAATATTTTGTTGTTGTAAGTATTGGGATAGTAGCAATTAGTAATATTTTGATTGCTGTAAGTATTGGGATAGTAGCTATTAGTAATATTTTGATTGTTGTAAGTAATGGAATATAGTAGCGATTTGTAATATTTTGATTGCTGTAAGTATTGGGATAGTGGCAATTGCAATATTTTGTTGTTGTAAGTATTCGGATAGTATCAATAAGTAATATTTTGATTGCTGTAAGTATTGGGATGGTAGCAATTAGTAATATTTTGATTGCTGTAAGTATTGGGATAGTAGCAATTAGTAATATTTTGATTGCTGTAAGTATTGGGATAGTAGCAATTGCAATATTTTGTTGTTGTAAGTATTCGGATAGTAGCAATTAGTAATATTTTGATTGCTGTAAGTATTGGGATAGTAGCTATTAGTAATATGTTGATTGCTGTAAGTATTGGGATAGTAGCAATTAGTAATATATTGATTGCTGTAAGTATTGGGATAGTAGCTATTAGTAATATGTTGATTGCTGTAAGTATTGGGATAGTAGCAATTAGTAATATGTTGATTGCTGTAAGTATTGGGATAGTAGCTATTGTGATAATTTGATTGTTGTGAGTATTGGGATAGTAGCAACTAGTAATATTTTGATTGCTGTAAGTATTGGGATAGTAGCTATTAGTAATAATTTGATTGCTGTTAGTATTGGGATAGTAGCAATAAGTAATAATTTGATTGCTGTAAGTATCGGGATAGTAGCTATTAGTAATATTTTGATTGTTGTAAGTAATGGAATATAGTAGCGATTTGTAATATTTTGATTGCTGTAAGTATTGGGATAGTAGCAATTGCAATATTTTGTTGTTGTAAGTATTGGGATGGTAGCAATTAGTAATATTTTGATTGCTGTAAGTATTCGGATAGTAGCTATTAGTAATATGTTGATTGCTGTAAGTATTGGGATAGTAGCAATTAGTAATATATTGATTGCTGTAAGTATTGGGATAGTAGCTATTAGTAATATGTTGATTGCTGTAAGTATTGGGATAGTAGCAATTAGTAATATGTTGATTGCTGTAAGTATTGGGATAGTAGCTATTGTGATAATTTGATTGTTGTGAGTATTGGGATAGTAGCAACTAGTAATATTTTGATTGCTGTAAGTATTGGGATAGTAGCTATTAGTAATAATTTGATTGCTGTAAGTATTGGGATAGTAGCAATAAGTAATAATTTGATTGCTGTAAGTATCGGGATGGTAGCAATTAATAATATTTTGATTGCTGTAAGTATTCGGATAGTAGCAATAAGTAATAATTTGATTGCTGTAAGTATTTGGATAGTAGCATTTAGTAATATTTTGAGTGCTGTAAGTATTTGGATAGTAGCAATTAGTAATATTGTGATTGCTGTAGTATAATACATATTTTTTGAACGGTATATTATAGAAAGCCATAGGGGACGACGGGACAAGATGGGTCGCCAAATGCAGCCAATTTTGCTGGTCCTTGAAGGGTAGGATACCTGATGCTCTGAAAGACAATAGAATTTTCTTTTAAATTGATTCCCATATTCTTAGGTCTTATTGTACATAATCCTTAGTCAAGACATATTCGTTCACCGAGTATGCGAATATGGGGAAGAGCTGCCGTTTCAATCTGCGGATGAAGTCGGTCAAGTGGTTATCCTATGTCAAGAGATAATTATACACAGGGAGATATGCCGAGTACTAAAATAGTGCTCATGTCATTTCAGCGCTAATTGAGTACTCATTTCAGCAAATATTAGTACTAAATGAGCACTCAAGTAGTAATAAATTAGCACTCTGGCAAAAGTGCACTCATGAGTACTCATGCCACGAGTGCTAATTTAGTACTAATTTTGTACTTATTTAGTACCTGGCCTATCTCCCTTTGTAACAAGCGACATGGATCAAAGAAAAGAAAAATCAGCCCTTGCCCCATAGCCCTTCTTGCCTCGCTCTCCCCTGAGTATTGGGGTAGTATCACTTTGTAATACAGGGCAGTAGCAGGCAATTGTACTAGGCACGTTATGCTATCGGAATGTGCCTGTATGTATATATGTATAATTTAGGCACATCGACATCTGTGTACAAAAATAAAACAAAAAGTAAAAGTAGTCTTTTCTCGAATCGTTGAACGTAGGCATGTTTTGATACTAGAACTAGTTGCAGCCACGCAGGTGGGTTCAGGTAACGTGAGAGGTTGTACCAACGAATCGGAAGTGTACCCTTAGTTTACAGTGGCTGATGCATACGATGGGTCTTTTGGATTATTGTGTTGGATAATAACGTTTAAAAGTTCCCTTGAGTCATATGCGTGTCACCCCCTCTCAAACATTTGTATTAATAAGTTAGAGAATATAAGAGGGGAGGGGTGATTTACTCGTTACTCCCCATGGCTTGTGTCATCTGTTCCCATTCATAGCTCCAATGTAACGTGGGGCTTAGTATCCTCAATACGCAATATGTTGTACTAGACCCATGTAAGTATTTGGATGATGGGCGCAGTAGTATGCATTTGTTCAACTGTTTCAGAATTCACCGAAGGCGTGTCCTGTCCCTTATTCTGCGAGCTGCAAAAACTGTATTTTGAGGAAAATAGCGTGACACCAGAATGGCGAGAAATGGCAAGGTAACAATGAAATATGCTTTCATATGATATATAACATAAGGGGTACGTGTTTGCTATATACATTTGGTTTTGGAGGGGGGGATTTCGAATGTTATTAATGTAAACACAAATCTGAGAGACTAGGCCTTTATAACAATTTAATAAAAATCATAACTATGATGCTCTGTGTATGCATATAACATTATAACTGTTTGAATCTTAGCATCTGCCCTGGGATCCCGGGGATACGTTAATATAATAAAATCTATCAAAATCAAATTAGGTTTAAATTGTGAATGAAACAAAATCAGTAATTTCACTCACAAAAATATGTTTTCATAAACCTTAACATTAAAGTGTTATAAAAAACAAACGATTTTAGTAGTGTCTCACGGTAAACTCGATGATTTAGCGACAGAAACTATCGAAGCGACGTTAGCTTCATTCATCCCATAAAAAAGGTCTGCAGTTGTATTCCTTGCTTCATATATTCTCTATAGCATGTATTTGAAGGGTATAAAGTTATCTTGTATAAATGATACAATTCAAAGCTACCTTGGATTAAAAAAATAAAAGGTCAATCAACCGACATGTACGTGAGACTGCATTTTCAATGTGGTATCATAGGTAACGCAACGCTAAACAACTTTTCTCAACATTGAATGCAACTTGTGTGCCTATCTAGCTTAAAATATATTGAGCTATGGGCAACTTTCTATACTATTAAGAATACCAACCGTCTTGTATCATATGGATGGTTTCAAAAACAAAATAGAATATTGTGATGAAATTAAAGTTGTGGTCAAATGCTGTGTAAAGCAATGAAACTTTGTCTGGATTGGCAAGCCATACAAACATCCTCAAGGCCGTTTAGATAATTTGACTTATTCAAAACAATTCTATAAAAGGATAACTCATTTGAGCAACACGAGTTTATATTTTCATTCTTTCCACTCACCTTTTCAATTAACTAACACTTTTGACCAAAATGTGTATTTTCCCATTGAACTTGTAAATCAGTGAAATTGGCATGTGTATGCTTTCGAACAACTAACTCCTGTGCATTTAATGCAATTTATCTCATCAATATCTATTTTACCATGATATTTGCCATCGTGGATTCATTTACCATTAGCCTATAAGCTAGATTTATAAATTGGCACTAGTAAACTGTTATCAATTGATTTTGAAAATTGAGTTTGATTTGTTAATATAAACCCAGAAGTCTATTTCGCCCAAAATATAGTCGATGAATATCCCCCTGAAAATCCCCCTGATCACCAACTTCTTTTGTAGATGGGTGAAGTACGAGGAGATAGTGGAATCCAATGGTATCCGATGGTCGAAGCCCCACGTCGCCAGTCTCTCTTATCGGGCACTTCAAGAATTGAAGACATATCTGGATAACGGTGTCGTAAAATTAGGATTCAATGCAGGGACGATTGACGACATTTGGGGTAAAGAGCATCAATAAACACTCCCTTCCATAAGTTTGAAAACTAGAAAGCCTGCCAATGTTTGAATCACAATTTTGTTTCTGAATTACAATAGTTAAGAAAATTTAGACAGATTTAAAAATAAACATGCTTTGATATTAGTGATACAAAACGGGACGTCTGGTTACCAAACCCATTGAGGGGAGTGTACCATTGATTAAACAAACCTATGGAGGAGAGTGTAGTTCTGTCTAGTGCAATGCAGTGTCGTACGTGTAAATTCACAATCATTTTTGATTCGAAGACAAAATATTAGGGTGATATATTAAAATCTGTCAAATCTTGAATATGCTTTCATGAATAGCATAAACAACTATTTTAAATAAATTACATATACAGGGTGTCCCGAAAGTATGCCCCCCCCCCCTAGGCAGACATATACCAGTGTCGTCATAGTATGTGTGATATATCATTTTAAAGCTTATCCAAAGTTACATTGATTTGCCAAGTATCATGGTTCAACTCTCAAATGTGAAAAAATTACAGGCATTTCAAAATTTAGTGTTTGGTCAAAATTAAGTTCAATTTTACACCAAATCACTAGTCAACTTCATGGACTTTCCGGGACGGGGAATGTGATTTAGAATTTTGAATCGATTCAAAATCCGATGACGACCATACCGTTCTGTAATCAGGTCATGATGACCTTCTAGACTAAGGGACGGTTTATACTACGTTACATACCGACGTGGTGCGACCTGAACGAACTGCGAATGAGATGGACGTATTGAAGACTGTTTATGAACAAAGTAGCTAATTATTTTAGACGTATATCCCGACCGCAGTCAGACTTAGCCCGTTTTACGACATTTTCATAGGACTGGCAAGAACGGGTAAGAACTAGTTTGGTGTGATAGGGGGGTAAGTAAACTCTTCTAAAGTGCCTTAATAGGTTTTAAGAGGGATATAAAATTCAACACCCCTATTTGAAGGGCTTTTAAGTTCATATCTGAAGATAATTGCTGCTGTTTACATGGCCAAGGGGGGACTCATTGACTAGTAAGTGGAGTAAAATTGAACTTTATTTTGACAAAACACCAACTTTTAAAATGACTGTAACTTTTTCCCATTTGGAAGTTAAACCATGATACTTGGCAAATCAATGTTACTTTGGATGAGCTTTAAAATGATATATGACACATACTATGAGGACACTGGAATATGTCTGCCTGGGGGGGGGCATACTTTCGGGACACCCTGTACATGTAATTTATTCAGGCGAACTTGAAACATATACAGCATTTATAGATAAAGACACGAACACTGTTTTAAACCATCTTGATCCATTAGGTTTTACTGACTGAAGAAATACACTGGTTCAGACAATATATAAATGATTATACGATCATGACTGAATGTCGTGGTATACAATATAGTAGAACACATATGTTATGCCAATAATGTCCATGTATACATGTATATGGGATAAATTAAATATTTTAATAGCCTGTTTTGAAGATAGAGTTTATCCTTCTGGAAAATTGTATATCCATCCCTAACGGACCAGAGGATATATCCTATAACCCCAAACGTCCATACATTACATAATGATAAACTTCATATACAAGACGGATCATATCTTTAAACATATATTCTCATTGTAGAGGCACTGAAGGAAGACCTTGTCGGTGAAGACATTTGCACCTGGGAAGAGGCTGAAGTCGCCAATGACTTTTTGGATCACAGCCCTCATGTCCATCAGCACCAGGTCATCAAATCCTCAAAGACCTTGTCGAGTATGTAGCCTATTGTCTTGAAATTATGAAAAGTGATTGAAAACGTATGTCCATCAGCACCAGGTCATCAAATCCTCAAAGACCTTGTCGAGTATGTAGCCTATTGTCTTGAAATTATGAAAAATGATTGAAAACGTATCTCCTGTGAAAGGCAGAAAAAGTATAGTACTTTTTGAATAATGTACCCTACCTGTAGTTTCTTATAGGTCATCCTTGCGTATATTCTAGCTATCTAGGGTCATCTTAGTCCGTGCGTTTCTATGGCCATCTTAGTCTGTGCGTTTATTATGCCACAACCATAAGTGGTGACATATTGTTATATATTTTAATACTATCAAGGGTCATCTTAAGTCTGTGCATATATTCTTATACTATCACGGGTCATCTTAAGTCTGTGCGTTTATTCTTATACTATCAAGGGTCATCTTAAGTCTGTGCATATATTCTAATACTATCACGGGTCATCTTAAGTCTGTGCGTATATTCTTATACTATCAAGGGTCATCTTAAGTCTGTGCGTATATTCTAATACTATCAAGGGTCATCTTAAGTCTGTGCGTATATTCTAATACTATCACGGGTCATCTTAAGTCTGTGCGTATATTCTAATACTATCACGGGTCATCTTAAGTCTGTGCGTATATTCTTATACTATCAAGGGTCATCTTAAGTCTGTGCGTATATTCTAATACTATCACGGGTCATCTTAAGTCTGTGCGTATATTCTAATACTATCAAGGGTCATCTTAAGTCTGTGCGTATATTCTAATACTATCAAGGGTCATCTTAAGTCTGTGCGTATATTCTAATACTATCACGGGTCATCTTAAGTCTGTGCGTATATTCTTATACTATCAAGGGTCATCTTAAGTCTGTGCGTATATTCTAATACTATCAAGGGTCATCTTAAGTCTGTGCGTATATTCTAATACTATCAAGGGTCATCTTAAGTCTGTGCGTATATTCTAATACTATCAAGGGTCATCTTAAGTCTGTGAGTATATTCTAATACTATCAAGGATCATCTTAAGTTTGATCACATTCTTATTATAACTTAGGGTCTCCTACATCAGTGTCGTTTGAAGGTGAAAATGGAGTTCTTGAAGAAGCCACGCCACAAACTCCTAGAAGACTCGGCAAGGTATACATCACTACATTAATAATTTGAATAAAAGGCAGGATAAGTCCATGTAACTTGACTTATATGGTTAGCAAATTTTGCATTCAATACGACAAATAGTGAATAAGCATGAATTCACAACTGGATTGATTTATCATATTTGTGAGAAGACGTCATGGAAATTAATAATATCAGTTGGCTTAGCTTTTTTCATGGGTAATGGTTTGTTGAAATTGTTGGTATTCATTTAAAAATTTAATAAGTCAATTTAGATATAATATAAATTAATTAATTCATTAATCTTTCTAATACTGTTCCAAATTCAGTACATTTAATCCATTACATGGTTATGTGGATATCGTACAGTAAAATCAAGAAGAGGGAAAACCCTAGAGCTTACTTACCACCTTCGTTTGTCAGCGAATATCCGCCTGATTTCAGCCATCTAGTTTCTAATACTACAAGTTACTGTGATGTTTTAATAGATAAAAACACATTCCTTACACCTTTCTTCAGAAATAAAAACTATAATAATGGAAAACACAGCCGAAATGAACATCATAACTATTTGAAACTATTACAAAATTTTGAATCCGCCATTTTGTTTCTGTCAGGTCCATTTGACCAATCAGCGACGATGGTCATCTCTATATGAATTTCCATTCGCGTTATGACCATCTCTGAACCCTAGGGTATTCCCTCCTCTAATAGTAGACCGGTGTATTGAGATTCATAAGGCTCCCAAACTAAACCATTGACTCCCATGTTAAAAAGTATATAGACCTCGCTACTATGGAGTCATGGACACTTAAGGGTTTCAATGAGCCATTGGTGGTCCAATTAATTAGACATTTACTTAGTCTCTCGTGACATTAATACAGAGAATACTAAATTATCCACAGGAATTAAGTCGACAGAATACTGTTCGGCCATAGTTGCCACTGCATAAATAGACAGGCAACTACTGTCATATTTCTGTCGATCTAGTACCTATGTAATTATCTAAACCAGGGAGGGGGCATTGGCAGAAACTTCTTCGTTGTCAAGAATTCCACATGGGTACAACAATTGATTTAGGGAATTCTTACTTTAATAAGTTTCTGTGAATGGCTCCATATCATACTAAGCTTTTCTCATACATTAATTCTAATTCATCGTATATTTTTGTTTGATGGCTAACGAAGACTAGAAAGGAACATGCATCATTCCCACATCTTTCACACGGTGCATCACCATCAACACCGACACCGTCTTCTCCAGCCCTCGGGCATAAGGTAAGTTTAAAGAGTAAGTCTTATTCCGTTGTTCGTGATTACGTTGAACTGTTTAAAACTGTTTAAACTTATCTAAACATATGTATGCATATTTATATCTTTAGACACCGACTGTTACAAAAACTACGTCGAAACGGTTTGCTCGTAAAATCCCGAAAAATGCCGAAGGTGCTACGTTACTCGTCGGAAGTGACGATTCTATCCAGCGACCAATCGCAGCATTCATTAGATTAGAGAATAGCATCCATCTGCCTGGGTTCTGTGAGGTCAATGTGCCCATTCGGTTTATCTTCGTTCTGTTAGGTCCGTCTTCTGGTGCGCCTGTGATCGGTGAGATCGGGCGCTGTATGGGTGCTCTTCTGGCGTCAAAGGTGAATGGCTATTAAGATCAATTACTAAAGGATTTTAGCCCAGGGCTGAATAATTGTGGATGATTTAAAGCACGAATGTCTCGTATTAGACTTTGAATGAGGGTCGAGGCAATCATTCTATGTTAGTCTCAAGTGAGGGTGAGGATACAAGAAGTGCATTAAACTACCAATTCACCGAATTCAGTCGCTTGCTATAATTCTTTTCACATTAAAAAGAACGAAATTGAGCAGTAACTAGAAATATCTATTCCAAATGAGCATTGCTATTAACATATATTAGTTCCAGTACCAACTACAACATGTTATTTCTTCGATTTCAAATTTACTGGCAAGTTGATTGATTTTATTATCTAGGAATTTGGAGACATTGCGTACTGTTCTAAGCTGAAGTCTCACTTGATCAAGGGCGTGGACAAATTCCTTGACGACGCTACTGTTCTGCCACCTAGCGGCTGGGACCACACCATCAGAATAGACCCACCTGCCCAAATATCAAATGTGGTAAATTTGTTTAGCACCATTTGGCATTTATTCATTTTAAAGTCAAGTTAAAAAGTATTTTTGGTGGGTCACGATTTTCGGGCCGCAACCGATGATTGTCGTGTACCAAAAACCGAAGATGGCCGACAATGTTTCAGGGAATTTGATTGGTTCCTTCAAACATCTTCAGCAATTTTCGTGATATAAACATCGTGCTCACCCATTTTTGATGTAGACGTGGTCAGCCTCATTGGGCGAAGCTCCCGTAGAGGAAAAATACGAAGATGACCATGATATGATCAGACGAACAGGTCGACTCTTTGGAGGATTGGTTCAAGACATCAAGAGAAAGGCTCCATTTTATCTTAGCGATTTCAAAGATGCGATCCATATTCAAACCGTTGCTGCCCTGGTATTCGCATATTTTGCAAGTCTCTCGACCACTGTCACTTTTGGTGGTGTCATGGGAAGCGCTATTAATGATAACATGGTGAGTTCCTAATCAGTAATCACGCAATCAAGAAGATCGTATCGTTCGCGCTATACTACTCACGTATTACAGTATAGATCATGACTAACCTTACGTTTGCCACGCCGAAAATTAACAGATTTGCCGATATTCTGGAAAAATCATTGTAATGAACATTTCGGCTCTCTTCCAGATATAAAACAGTTTTGTATATTGAACATCAAATAAATCTAAAACTTGACGCTTATTAATTGTAAAATTAACTTAAATTAATGTTAATAGATGCAAAATGATATACAAAAATCTTATTGTAGGCGTCTATAGAGTCACTTGTGTCCGCTGCCATTTGTGGTGTTATGTATGCCCTCCTCGCTGGGCAGCCCTTGACAATACTTGGCGCCACTGGGCCCATTCTAGTATTTGAGACCATCCTCTATTACTTTTCGGTGTAAGTAATTGCATTTATAATTATAATGTAAATAGACATACTCATCCCAATTATCTTTGAGACAATAAACTACACTCCTAATCGTTGTATACCAAACTTAACTATCAAAAAGCAACAATCAAATGAACAAAATATACGTAGTTTTGCAAATTATGCTTATTTCTCATAGCACAGCACATGTTTAAGTGAGACGCTGGTGACATATCTTATTCAAGTAAAAGTGTATAATTCATGATCCATGGCTAGATAACAACCTCAAGTTTCATTTGGTATGCAAATTATGATTTTGTATCAAAAAATAAAAACGATATAGCATTTTGAAAAATGGCATTTTTTGGCCCACCCTGTATATATGATCCTTTTCATTTTAGAGATAATGGATGGGAGTTTATGTCATTTCGATTCTGGGTTGGTATGTGGACAGCCCTTATACTAATGATCGTCGTTATGTTCGATCTCAGTGCCCTGGTCAGTTATATCACAAGATTTACTGAGGAGAGTTTCGCCGTTCTAATTGGCCTAATATTCATTGTTGAAGCCTTTAAAAACGTGGCTAAAATAGCAGAAAAACAACCCGTTCATGCCCATTGGCATGTGAAACATATGACTGAAGACCAAGTTGATAAGTTTTTTGAGTTTGAATATAGCTGTAAATGCGAATCTTCAAATGCTGCTGCGGATATATACATGAAAAGCCTTGGAGATAATGCAACCACCATAGCGAACATGACCAGTTCTAATTACAACACAACTGGAGTGTCATACGACATCCCTGTAGCCGAATGTGAAAAATATAATGCGACACTGATTGGAAAAGGATGCCATGTTCCACACTATGTACCTGACGTGTTTTTCTTTTCGGTGATACTGTTTGTTTCTGTGTTTGCTATCGCATGGGGATTAAAGATGCTGAGAACCACCCGCTTCTTCCCAACCATGGTAACCATTCTTAAGTCAATATTTCTCTTTCTATGACGTCATAATTACCATGGTTACAACAATGAATCTATAAATCATAACCTTGAGGAAGTTTCCTTGTGCTCCAAAGATGGCTATGGGAACAAATCAAGGAATTTTTCGAGAGCATTAGAAAATAATGAATGATAGCATAATCTCAAACGTCAATTCATTCACTCCCACCCTAAATTTAATTGACATAGTTCTCTTCCTGATTTCAGGTTCGGCAAGTACTGAATGACTTTGCAGTGCCAATTTCAATTGCCATAGTAACTGGAATCGATATAGCTGTAGATCTGGATACTCCCAAATTGTTGATCCCTTCAGAATTTAGGGTAATATACCATTCCAATAAACCCTGCCTCCTTTTGATAAATCAATGAAACTATGATATATTGCCCTTATTAATAATGCCATTGGTCGTAGGCAGCAATATGTCCAAGCAAAAAAGATTTACTTATTGCTTATTTTGAGTACAACCAATGACATCATCGATCTAGCCAAGATATCATAGCTGCTTTGATATACCAAAAGGTTGCAGGGTAATGCCTTGGTCACATTTGCTCCGATTTTCTCCGAATGCAATATTGAACAAAACACTCAATCGGCCGAGCGTGGGCCGATAGATCGGAGCAAATGTGACCCAGGCATTAATTGGTAACGTCTATTGAAATGAAATGACACTTTGTATTATATTTTTTACCACCAATTGTAACACACTTTATATTCATTGCGAGTCTTGGGGACCACTCTAGTGACCTTTTAAACATATATAGAAATTTAGACATTAGGCTAAACCGAAAATCAAACCCTCGGTTCACATCTGTCAGAGATTCACGTTTAATCATTTCGAATCATTATAGATGGTCCGATCTGTTTCAAGCTCAACAGCACAATGAGACAATGAGGACACAGAAATATATTTACGAATCAATGATCTTTTGAATTAAAATGTATTTTCATATATAATTTGTTAATAGCCAACAAAACTTGACAGAGGTTGGATAATCCCGCCATTCGGCAGCAACCCATGGTGGACTTGCCTGGCAGCTGCATTACCTGCATTACTCCTGGCCATACTCATTTACATGGACCAGATGATAACAGCTGTCATCGTGAACAACAAAAAATATAAATTAAAGGTTGGTTGATAAACTTAAATTAAACTGTGATAATTACGTGATTAGGAACCTCAAAAATGGTATTAGTGAATAAACTTCGAGTATCAGTGAGTTAGCATACCATTTTGCACTAAATAATGTATTGTTGATCAGAAAACACCGCCACCTAAAATTGAAAAATGTATTTGATTTGTGATTTGATTATGACTGAAATGTCCCAATGTCTAATGGGTTTGGATTGAGACAATGATTCCTTAATTGCAAAGGATTATTTCTTTGTGCACCAGCACATATCTTTTGGATCTTATGAATTTGTTTTATCTTTGTCTTGTGTGATTTTATTTTTCTTGCTGCTTTTGTAATACTTCTTGATCTTAAACCCATTGCGATGTGTGCTTACATTTTTTCAGAAAGGGCCAGGGTACCATCTTGATTTGTTCCTTATTTCGATACAAGTTGCTATTTGTAGCACAATTGGGACTCCTTTCTTTGTGGCAGCTACTGTTCGTTCCATTAACCACATCCAGAGTCTTGGCAAAGAATCAGCAGAAGCTGCCCCAGGGGAAAAACCTAAATTCCTAGGAACAAGGTAGTATAGTTTTAGGAACAAGCTAATCTATTTCTAGAAACGTTGTGAATTATTTCTAAGTTATGAGTGATCTACTCTTTAAGATGTTTCACAAAGGCCGTCCCCACCAACCAACCATTCTAGATAACATACCCCCATATGTTATATTTCACATGAAAGCTTATTCGAACTCGTTTGATTAACCGAAACCATTTTAATACTTTGACACATTTAGCTCTACATTATGCAATGGATTATAAAGGGATCTGCTTCTTCATTTCAAATATGTTACGTATAGTAACCTTAGATCATGCAAGCTTTAGTGTTAGTGGCTACCACCCATACATTTACAAATTATTTTCTAAAATGAGGGCAAGCGATCTAGGAATGACCGTGTGGGGGTAGTCATCATGAATCACCATGTATACACATAACAAGGCAACTATTTCCAAGATCAGTTAATATAAACATTGAGTCCACCTATAATGCATGTTAGTGCATTTTAGTTTGACATGACATATGTAAGATTTTTAATTTACTTTACAGGGAGCAGCGTGTGACGCACCTTGTTGCTTTTATTTTGATTGGAGTGTCCACTCTTATGGCCCCAGTCTTACAGGTCAGTCGCTCTTGTATCAGCTTCTGGTTCTTGTCTGCCTAATAATTCATAAGTTAAGACAAATTCAAAAATGGACTCTACATGGTCGTTTCCATTGTATGACACGGTCATCTTTTCATTTTAGAAAATACCAATGCCTGTGCTATATGGAGTGTTCTTGTATATGGGTGTCGGTTCTCTGAAGGGTGTCCAGGTAAAGTATATCTGTATAATATACTCATTCATGGAATGTTTATCACCTTGTTACGTTTGATATCAACTTTCATACACAAGGTAATAGATTACATCAAATAAGACCAAACATCATTGCAATAATCATTGTTACGCTTTTTTGATGTATCATGAATGGTGATATCTCAATCTCCAGTTGTATGTTTGATTTTAGCTTATGGATAGACTGTTGTTGTTGCTGATGCCTCCTAAATATCAACCTGATTACCCATACCTTCGTCAAGTGCCGACACGGAGAGTCCACTTGTTTACATTTATCCAGCTACTCTTTCTCGTTATTATGTGGGTCGTCAAGAGTATCAAGAAAATATCCATTGTTTTCCCACTCATGGTAAGTACAGTTAATACTAATTTTATTCCTTGCATCCTTACGGAAAATGACGATGTCGGTGTGATACCCTACATGGTATGTAAATGTACACTGGCCAACGACATGGTTCCCTTTACCATTCAAAAGAGGTCTATGCTTTTGGGACATGCATCTCGGTATCTCTTGGCATGGTAAAATGAGATGCTAAATCCAGAGATATATTTTTGAATTTAAAGTCTATACAATATCATGTACTTGTATTTCAGTATATTCAATTCATTGTTGAACTAATAATCTGTTTCAGATCGTCTTGTTAGCCTTTTCAAGTTATGGTCATCTTTATTGTCATACAGACAAGCAACGAGTCCAGAACTCTGTAAGGAACAATTACCATTTTGGCAAATCATGTTATTTAATGGATATGCTATCACAAAGCGATTTTCTCATTCCAGGTTCTTGCACTGTGTTTTGTACGGAAGCTATTAGACTTTGTATTCACTCAGAATGAGCTCCGAGCACTTGATGACATCTTGCCAGAAATTCGTCGCAAGGACACGCCAAAACGCCTCCTTTCTGAAGAGCCACCAGACGAGAAAGAGATGATGCTACTAGATAAAAAATCTAAGAAGAAATTAGAAGATGAAAATGAAAATAGCAAAATTGCTTAGACCTGCTTGGTGTACACTTATATTGTAAATCGTAATAGGAAGTTTAAGCTTGGATATAAAATCAATCGAAATGCCAACCTATACGTAAGACCAATCGCCCATACAAATGCATCGCTTAAATATTTTCCGTTCATGTTTAGGTTGTGAAAAATATCCCAAGCTTAAACTTCCTAATCTTTGACTCTAGAGGGTCAGTATCGTCATATTTGTACAAATGTGCCATCTTTTCCATAAAGACATCACTGGGCAGTGCGCTATGCATACCTTTCGCAATCAAGCTTAAACACTGATGTTGATGTATATGCTGAATGATTGTAATATGTCTCGATGCAAATGGAAACATTTGTTCATATCATTTCATATAGCATAATTTTGCTTAACTTATATGACTTAAATATAACATTAATATAACAAAACCTCATAAGACTTGGGGTAATTAATCGGCTGAATAATTTCAGTGATCAATAAGACTTTAGACAAAACAAAAAGTTTTAGGTCAGGTAAAGTGATCACTTACATAACAATATAACAAAATGCTTATCGTTGAATACCCATATCAATTTTTGTATTTTGATAGTAATCTACAAACGTTATATAGTTTGTCAAATTCCGGATGGTGTGTATGGCATGAACATTGTAAAGGTTTAATGATACTAATGCCTCAGAAATGCCTTTGTTTTAGAAGGGCTTCTGACCGTAATTCCGATCCTTATTGCTCTGAAATATTTTTAGTCATAATATAGCATAGTCCAGTAATATAGATAGTGAGGTATTTTTCATATTGGAAGATGATCTGCACGAGTGAAAATGTGTAAGAAATCGAGAAAAAACATTGTATATAACTTTATTTTACTAATATTTGTTGAACTTTGGTGAATAGTCTTTAATTGATTTAATATGAATATATACTTTTCTACAATGGGCTAACAATAATGCTTCTTTTAAAGTCTAGGCCTTGCCCTGTGTGTTGTGTATATACATGTGCACTTTGCATGACATTGAAATAAAACAAAACATGAAATATAACGCTTTTTTCTGAAACGCACATTTTACAGAATTAAGCAATAGGAATAATATGCCGATTTGTCAATGACTAAGCATTAAGACTGACAAAATTTCATTAAGTATTTTTATATTTTATTACATGTATACTTGTAAGTTTACATAAGTCTGATACAGGATGTTTATACTAGATGCTATTTACATAAATAAATTATGGATTAAAGTATAGAGCTGTATTAGGGTCATCGACACTGTAGATCTCAATTGAAATCATTTTTTATACTCAACATTTTTGGAAGCAATTGGTTTTTTCCACCATCAAAGCTATACATTATGTAACTTCACGTACTAATATGATATGTGTGTTTTACTTCTTAACGATTTTTATGCAATTAAAACCATTGGATTCCGTGCCATCTATTGACAGTCTTAGATACCATTGTTACGTTTCACCTCACATGTATTTACATAAAACAACCACTGTTACTGTACATGTTGTCTTTTGAGTATTATTCATTTATTTTGGGTTACACTCCTTGTGATATTCTTAAATTATGATTTCTCTTCCAAGTAAACTCGCTAAATGTATGTGCCATCTATTGACAGTCTTAGGCATCATTGTTGCGTTTCACATTACATAAAACAACCACTGTACATTTTGTCTTTTGAAAATTATTCATTTACTTGGGCACCATTTATATATATGTACAAAAACAACCTTCTTACTTATACTCGCCAAATCATTCCTCTTCCTAATAAAAAGTATAGTCCATTTCCATCGAATCATTAGTATTGTCCAATTCTAGTAAACAAGCGTGGTTTTATATAATATTTACATTGGGATTGAGGGATACTCTCGGGTAACATTTTGTAATGTGTAGAAAATGATAGTCCTTCTCTGTCTGACCTACCAACGATAACTTAACATATTGTCAATAGCTGTAACATAACTTGTCAATCATGAAGAGTCTCGAAAGTTTACCAACCATTTGTAAAAGCTCGTCTCCTGAATCCAACAGGAATTTCCCGGAACTGCAGAGGGAGATTGTCCTTAGGGTATGGTACAGGCATGTAAACCATTTCTGGAGTGCCATTAGTCAACCTCCATGTAGCATTACGCACCAACTCAACGACCAACACTTTAAGCATCATTTTAGAAAAGTCTTGACCAACGCATGAACGGTCACCCCAACCGAAGGGGACATAATTAAAATGTTCATCCCCATCTGTCTGAACAACTTGTTTAGTGTTTTGGTTCTGAAGTGTTGTGCGCCATCTATCTGGATCAAATGTATCTCCGTCTTTGAAGAGCTCTGATGATTGGTGTGTTTCACGAATACTGTATACTACTGTCCATCCTTTTGGAATTTGACAGCCCTGGAATTTACAATAATACGTTTACATCATCTTTAAATTGTCAAGGTTATGATTTTATACAAAGGATATTGATGACCCAACAAAAGGCAATTTTAAATCATTGTTTTTTTGCATGGGCTTTCAAGAGATCTTGAACGCCCATGATTTTCGTCAGCGTGGTTTAAAATAATGACACTGGTAAAAACTGATTTAATCGGTTAGAAACTCAACATTTAGCAACAAAGAATAGTCTTACATCAATATCAAATGTCTGTAGAGCCTTTCGGTATCCTGCACCGACAGGTGGCGCTATTCGTAGAACCTCTTTGACGACACAATCAACATATTCCAACTTGTCTAAGATGTCTAGAGTAAGCTCTGGTTCACCCTCAATTCCCAACAATCCATGGTCAAACAATTCCACGGAGACTTTGTTTATAATCTGAAAACAGATAAAATTTGAAAGATGTATGCTACATACATTTTATATGTATATATTTTACTAACATATTTGGACTCGTTTCAAAGTAAACGGAATAGGAGGTGAAAAAAGCTAATTATAAGATTCCCTCAATAATATTTAAACAACCGTATGTATTCCCCCACTAACATGCACACTGGAGACTAAATGAGGTTTCATTTGAGCCAGTTGCACTTACCTTTGGATTGCTACCAAGAAGCATAAGAACAGAGCAGGCAGCGCTGGCTGCAGGAAGGTGACCGGCAAATAAAAGTTCCAGAGCAGAGTCTGATATTTCAGCTTTCGTCAGCATGTGATTGCCTGAAATAGAATTTCGTTATTAAAGGTCAATTCATGATTTTCTCAATAATGCATCGTTTCTATAGAGTTAATGTTTAAAATCGAAGTCAAATGGTAAAATATTATGTATTCCAGTTTATCATATTATGATATTATTGATATTATTTGTGAGTGAATTCAGTTATGTCTGCAATTAACGTTTTTAAAAGGTTTTATAGAAATAACATTGTTGAATTATGAAATTCATGAAGTTATGAACTGCTATTGCAAACATTTTTTCTCTACTGTAATCATATGGATATGGTTTTTCACGAAAATATTTTATAAGGAATCTAGCGTCTATTTACGAACGAATTGTGCCCTTGGATGTTTTCAGCTGAAATAAAAATTTACACAGAACGAAACGATCAATTCGAAATGCCTTACCTCCCTCGGTTGCTTCAAGTATGAGTGCCAAAGCGTCATTATGTTTACCTCCACCAGATGCTGTCCTCTTTTGGATACACGATTCTATCTCCTCTGTGATGGCACACCTTGCCTTGAGACCCTATATGGACATAATATTGTGATAGAAATTACTCATATACAGTATGATCATTAATAAGTGACACTTGGGCTTGCCTTAGCTATTTATTAGGGAGTTTAAGCTTGCAATGTTTTTCACAACCTAAACGTGAACGGAAAATATTAAAGCGATGCATATGTATGTGTGGGCGAATGGTCATACGTATAGGTTGGCGTTTCGATTTAATATTCAAGCTTAAACTCCCTATCATCTACAGCACAAGAACGTTTTCGTTAATTCAGATATACCAGGTGTAGGTCAAACAGCAATAGTTAGCTGTAACCTTTCAATTAGCCTTTTCCCGTGCCATAGTTACGATACCCTTTTCGACTTAGACTGGCATTATCGTGGGATATTTAAAATAAGTGACAGTGCATGATACACTCGGGGTCATACCTTGTGATAGCCTATACCAGGCAGGTCAACAGGCATGGAGAACAAAGAAGCCAACATATCCTCGAATAACAGCATCATTTGCATCTTATTACGGTCATTGAAATCGAACCCAAGTAACATCTTAGCAGCTACAGAAAATGTCAGACTTCTAGCTGCCGCATAGCCAAACACACTGCCTGTAAATATTCATTCATAGAAACATATTCAAATAAATACAACAGGTAAATCTATTAATTGACCCAATCTATAGGCATGCCATTTCCCGTCTCGTATCAACTAGCGCACGGCGAGAGCGCGCGCTCAGCGAACTTACAGCTCGTTGGCTACTCTCGCGCCACGACTAAGTAAACAGCAGATGGTAAAGTGTAACGTTAGTAATTCTATGTACTGTACCTTCCTTGCACCATTCCTTGACATATTCGTTACAGACTGCCTGTACACTTGGAAGATAGCCCGCTAACGCCTCTTTGTTAAATGCCTTTAGGATAGTCTCTCTGCGCCATCTATGTTGTTCTCCTGTAGAATGGGCCAATGCACCCTCACCTAGTCAGAACATAGTAAGTAAAACATGAAGGTATAATAAGCAGACAAAGTAATCCTAAAACAACTGGCGTATTTGTTTTAACATTTTGATTTTGTCGGATATCGACCACGAATATTTTTTCATCTAATTCTAGGTATCTCCCAGCTTATTTATTGAATTTTGACTTTTATATATAGTTAATCTTCAATATAATTTTCTTCATAAAAACTACAATATTCAGGATAAACTTCAAAATGTTATAGGTACGTTTTTCACTTTAAAAAGTAAATCCCTTGTCCGAGTGCCATTAGGACCGGCCAAAAAGTTTTCGGATTGGCAGGTGTTCTTTCGAACATGGTAATTTGGGGCAATTTAGAAAAGAATCATGACGAAAAGAGCGTTCACATGGAGAAGTGTTCAGCTTACCTTGTATTCGCGAATGGAACTTTCGGCTGTCGGCTACCGGATTAAGCTACTATTTTATGAGTAACTAATTTAAATATGAATAGTACCTGCCACTATTCATTTCATATTTTAATGAGTTTAATGATCATAAAATTGTAGGTTAATCCGGAAGCCTATAGCCTTTATTTGCGCTCGCGAATACAAGCTTAGAGAGTTGTTGTTCCAAATTTCAAATTACCTAGAAGGTATTTCGTGCTTCCCGGCCATTCCGTCTGGACGATTGTACCTTCACCCTCTAGGATTTTAGCGACGTTTTTCGAACCTGTAACCCTCACTGTCGGTTTTCCGAGAATGTGTGTCTTGTACACAGTGCCATAACAGTCCGATCTACTCCGGAAAAAGTCGGCTCCCTATAGTAACAATCAAATAGGACATTTGTTTAAGCTAAGCGTAAAAGAACATAATGTTACATTTTCTTGAGATTAGACTTTCCACAGAGTCCCTGTGTTACCATGTACCTCTATATATCGCATCCTCCTAAGCAGGTGTCCAGGTAAAAAGAAAGAAGATATTCTGGATTTTGAAGTCCTGTGATCGGAGGATGTATAGAAGAAATGGCCAATTTTGCAAAATATAAGGGGAGTGGGGCAGAGACTCGATGTCTGGATGTTTTGGTCATTGATGTGTTTTTTTTAAATTTATATTTCGATCATTTTAATAAGTTCATCTAACTTTATAAGGTAATATGTTATTTAATAATTTACGTAAAGATTTGATGTAGACACTGATGTGTCTGTTAACATTTACATCTACTCGTATGGGGTCAACCCAGTTGTCCGAAACCCAGTTCTCCGAAACCCAGTTGTCCGAAACCCAGTTCTCCGAAACCCAGTTGTCCGAAACCCAGTTGTCCGAAACCCAGTTCTCCGAAACCCAGTTCTCCGAAAATTAAAAAATTAAATGTCTTAGTAACGAATCTTGTCGCAACTTCGCGAATCAGGACAGCATTGGTATCACGTTGACATCGGTTAGCCCGGTCAATAATGGGTCCGAAAGTTCACGATCATATATATATTCTTACTAGATTCTCGGCACATAGACTTATATGGACATTCTACAAATTTTGAACCGCATTGTCCAGCACGAATCGCACTCCTTCTTGGTGAAAATTCAAGACTGCCGCCAACATTTTAGACAATTATCACAGTCGAAGAGAATATTCTGGCGAAAGGAATATCTATCTCATTAGAATAACGTATGGACGTCCGTGACAATTATATATATTCATTTGATAATTTTTTTCATTCCCTTTTCTCAATAAAATATGGTTAATTATGTTTTCCAATATCAATTGATAATATTTCTACCCTGAAAAATATCTAAAAAGAAGATTTTGGTTGTTCAGTACCACCCATTGATTTCGTCCAAATTTTCGACAAATTAATAAAATATGCTCATTTCGTATAACTTATATGTGGCATATATACGTATCAGATGTCTATCCTTTTTTCATCATAATATAAGAGGTTTGTATGTTTTAGTAGAAACGTATTCCTTTCCAAACATTTAGATTTAAGAATTTCTCCCATTGGTGGTATTGTTCAAAATCAAAACTGTGTTTTGCGATATATTGAACTGTTGAAGTAAGTGTGTAATAGTTTGTAGTAGAGCCAAGATTTGATCTGTATCATGTACGTACCCTGCATAAAAAAATTCGTTTTTAGTGTGCCATAGATGTCAACCATTAACTATTGCAGAATCAAAAAAAGTTTTGTGAAAAATTAGGATAATGTTTCAAAAGTTATACACCGGACAATAAATAACTATACTCAATGCAGACAGGGAGTTTTAATTGCCCAAAAACTGAGTATCATAATGCATTTGTATCTCTTTAGTATCTTGCATGACTCGTTCATATGAATTCTTTATTTCTACCTCGTTCCTTATACATTCTGAGACAGTTCAACCTTTGCCCCACGTCCTGTTCGTCGTTAGTATGTTGTCACTCGATACGCGGTCACACGGTCCTAACTTCGACCGTTAATTTGAATTTTTGACCTACCTGATATTTGAAAATCAATTGCGAGTCTCATACTGCACCGTTTTTCTTCAAACTTGTTCCATTCAAAGCATGACAAAAATCTCTTTCTGATGGTACGTTATTATCTTAAACAGAGTTCCTACTTCCAGCGTAATTTTGGTCCCCAGCTGTAAGAAGGCCTTCTAACAGCTGGGGAGTGGGGACCAAAACCGGCGCTGCTAGAACGAGGGACTCTTTACAATAAAGTAATGCACTGACAGAAGTGCAATTTTGTTTTGCTTTTAATGGTATAATGGAAGAAAAACGGTGCAGTATGAGACTCGCAATCCTTGATTTTCAAGCATCTGGTAGGTCAAAAATTCCAATTAACGGTCGAAGACCGCGTGATTGCAGAAAGTCAGAGACAGCACTCCTTTTTTCTTTTTAAATCATGTATATATTTCTTATTTTATAACTTTGTATACATCAGGTCATTTTACAATATTGCAATATTTTTTTAAATAGATACAATTGCAATTATTTAAAACATTATTACAATAGTTTACAAATATAATGTAACATAAGTTGTTTAACCATTCATCAAAATAAGTATACTTAGTGTCTTGTACCTTATAGCCAAAGACAAGAGTTTATACTTTTTCAAGCTTAATTCAATTTTAAAATCATCTTAAATATAATTTTCAAGTGGGTCTATTACATTAGTAGGCCTACTCTATGATATTGAAAGAACAAATGTTTATAGTATTCTCAGGCCCGTAGCCAGGGGGGGGGGGTTGGCAGGGTTCGGGCGAACCCCCCCCCCCCTGGCCAAAAATTCTTTCAAAATCATGCAGTTCTTCACCATTTTTAGCACTTTTCAAGTGATTTTGACCATATTTGGGCCTAAATTGTCAAATGTGAACCCCCCTGCGAATTTTTGAACCCCCCCCCTTGGAAAATCCTGGCTACGGGCCTGATTCTACTTGTCTGAAAATATCACACTTGTCATTAACAATTAGTTTCCATCATGATCTTAGGAGTCACTGGCGAACCCAGAAAAAGCCTAAAAAGGCCCTTTTGGTCAATACTGGGCCTTTTAAGGCCTTATTTTTCAATTTCAGGCCAAATTTTTAAGAAAACGGTCCTCAAAATTTCAAGATTTTGGCCAACTTTTGGGTTTTAGGGAAGTTTTTTATCTGACCTGAATTTGCCCCACTTGTTTGTTCCCAGATCCGCCCCTGGAAGTAATTGTTTGCATGGTAGAATGTAATGTAAAAGTTTGTATTTGAAATTGGCCACTTTTTATTTTTGGATTGCTTTAAAAGAATCCAAGTATGTTGAAACAGCATTTGACTATTTTGAATTTCACATAGATTAATTCAAAATGATTCCAAATATGTTTAGTTGCTATAAGTTCCAGCAAGATTGAATATATGTCTCTAGGACTTGCATGTTTATCCAAAAATCTATAATGCTTCAATTTACAGTCATAAAACCATAAAACTTACATTTGTATTAACATATATACGTACATCTGCTTGCCTCACTAAATATTTTAACTATATATTGAAATGGCAAAGATTGCTTAACAGTTATATATTCTGCCATCTGTTTGACCCTTGATTTGAGCTTCAGACCCTATATTTAAGGGGTCAGTACCCGGTGTTTGTAACAAATGGCAGGCTGTAACAATGTAAATGTTAATGCCTTAATCGTTAATGGATGAAGTGGGATGGGAGGTATCCCACTTATAGAGGTCCATTTAACATTAATGAGTTGGTCTTGGCACTCTGAAATGTTCCACTTGACATATTTCACTCCAATCCATCTAGCTCTATGAACGAGCACTCTTTCATTGGTAAAGGGTGTATTTGAGAGTAAATATCAACTGAACGATTCCTCCATGGGCTAGTATTTAGCCTAATAAAAACTGTCGAAAGATGAAAATACAGGTGATACAGATCTTCAAATAAACAAAGTTAAATTATGCTATTCTCATTGCAAAGTGGCGTTTACATATTAACATACATAGGGGTCTACAATTTTTAAACCAATTTTCTTTATGCCCCATTGGGCTTTTTGAGAGGGAACAACATTTTTCCAATGCGTGATGGGCGTTCATAAAAGGGAAATAGTTTTCCCAAGCCAGTGGGCATTTATTTAGTAAAGTTGACGTCGTGTACATCTTTTGAAATCCAAAATTATTCTTCATTTAGGTACTCTGTTCGAGAAATAGAGATTAAATTCAAAAAGATGAAGTGAGTTTACATGGCGAAAATGAAACTTCTTGCGAATGGGAGAACATCCAATTTGATACGGAGGACAGCCTGTCTTCGTTTCCAGTTAATCCCAAGTGATTACGTTTAGAATGTTTTGTTCTTTTACATTTTACGATTTGATAAGAGACAGAGACTAATTAAATGCGACGAAACATTTTGACAACGTAATATGTGTACTGTTTATTCTTAAAGTTTTATGCGTTAACTTATTTTATCGGTTTCAAAATGTTTCATTTTATTTTGCCTATATAAAATGTATTGAATAAGATAAGATCAACTGTTCCGTAATATATATTGTGTTTTGATGACCTTTTTTAGAATCACAATGTAAAATAAATCCCCCGTTCCTGTCATTCTGGTAACGCCGTGTAATGGATGCAATTCAAAGTGAGAGAGAGATCTATACATCAGAATGCGTCCATGCCATTAATTTTGCCAAATACATGACATGAAACTGGCTTGAGGTGCGTCCCCCTTTATCTGGTAAATTATGACTAAATTTTTCGGACAACTGGGTTTCGGACAACTGGGTTTCGGAGAACTGGGTTTCGGAAAAATGGGTTTCGGAGAACTGGGTTTCGGACAACTGGGTTTCGGACAACTGGGTTTCGGACAACTGGGTTTCGGACAACTGGGTTTCGGACAACTGGGGTGCACCCAATATCAATTATACATTACATTAAGTATGTCAGAAACAACACAATTCATTGAACTTTTTGTAAATTTTGAAAAACTATACAAGTGGAAATACGATCTTTAAAAAGTCAATAATATAATGTTTTACCCCAAACAAATGTTAACCCCGGGCCCAGACCCAACTTCGCAAATGCATTGTGTTTTTCCAATATATCAGATATGAAATAACCTACAACTATAACTATCTTACCTTCATGATGAACGTGAATGTCTCCCCGAGAAAAGGGACCCCCATGCTACCCGGGGGTAAAGGTAGATCGCTGTTAGGGTCCTTCATATTGGTATGCACCAACCATAGTTTCCATGCCAACAACAACAAAATGGTGGGTAGAATCATCGGCGTCACTAACGCCAACATAGTCTGTGTAAGTCTGAAATGAATCAGATGGACACGTTTTTTCAGCAAATAGCAAAAGATTTATGCTTGAAACCAACAGTCGTCCATTTACTACCCATGGCAACCAATTTCCCCTCTTAGTAACGTACTTTAAAATGTTTGCCTTTTGGGCAATATGGATATTGTGGCAATCTTAGTAGTGTACGATGTGAGATATCAGTCTTGTTTTCCCCTTTTCTGAGTATGTTGCATTTCGAGCTACATTACAACATATATATCCATAGGGACATAGGCAAGTAGTAATTATTACCCTCTGGATAAAACATCATTTTACAGTAATCATTCTAAAAAACGTTACAACGATTCATCATATCATAAGAATCGCATATGTATACCGAGTGGTAGTCTTGCCCAAGTCGGTATTTTTTACTTATCCAGCGGTCATAATAGAAATCAAGATAAGTAAAAGAGACCGACCTGGGCAAGGCTAAGATAACATTTCCGACACTTAATTTTCCGAACCTGGCAAAAATTAGTCAATAGGCAAATTAAATGATTGGGCAAAATTATCACTTTGACATACAGTAATATATGATTTTAAAGCCAGAATCAAAGACACAAGAGGCGACGTCTCACTCCTTCCTTTTTTCGTTTATTTGGTGCGATTGGCTTTCACAACCCTTACATAATCAAAAGCAAGAAAGAGCACGTGGAAACCCTACTTCTTTTAACAAGGACACTGTAGCCAATGCTAATCTGTTATTGTTAATTTTTGATAAACATGTTGTTGTCCAAAATGCACCCAAATGATCCCTGAACTTATGGGGTAAATCAATCAAGGTTGGTCGGCAAAGGAATGTTGAAAACAACGACGTAAACATAAATATCATTCTGGTACTCATCGCTTCTTATTTATACCACTTTTATTCAATATAGGTGAATCGAAATGAAAAGATTTTCATGGTAATCCATGATGGTTAACATGGTCTAGTCTACACTTACTGTTTTATAGAAAGAAACCAGATTTTATTAACATTGTTAAGATTGTGAGACATCGTTAAATGAAGCTACCTGTAGACCTATGTGCGATTTGATTTATGGATCAGATAAATGATATTGTTATGGTTTTTATGTCACCATCAGGAGTGGTGACATTTTTTAATAGTCTCAAACTTTTTGTGCACGGTGCTCGGCGGTTGATGTTCGGTGTTTGGCGTCTGTAACAAATGGCATGTAGTGACATTTTGCATATCAATGCCTTTTCTAGATTTGTATATAACTCAAACAAATTGCGTTTTACAGATAGTTCTATCCTGATACATCAACATGTGACGCGAATAAACCTCGGTTCGAGACAGCATTAATCATATTAAGGACAGAGTGAGAAGTGAGAAAAAAACAATTTTATAAAAAATTGAAAAATATTCTTACCATTACTATTCAAAATCACCTTATAGTTCCAGATGAATGAGACGTATTTTGCCAATTAAATATAGGAAGTATTAATTATTTAGTTAAATCAAGGTAAAGTAAGGGGCAGGTCATCTTAGGTTGCCTTGACAACTTGACAACACACGCGCCAAACACCATTGCCAACTAGCCGATTCTTATGTCACAATTTATACCTCCAATACTAAAATGTGTGTACGTATACAATACAAAAGTATTTGATATATTCACTCATCAACACGGGTGGTCAAATGAAAATTTAAAATTAAGAATCGTAAATGAAAAGTCGAAAAACTGGCCAAAAAGAATAATGGAAATATTCAAAATTATAAGATATTTGAATCGAAAGAATTAAATGACAATGTTAAAGTCGAATAAGATTTAAATAGGATGGGTTAAAGTGCAAAATCAAATACACGTAGAAATTTTGGCAGAATTATTTTCGCGTGACTTAGAAAAAACAGTTTAGATAAGTTGCACAATGATATTATCAATGTACTATCTGGGGTCACAATCTAAGCTATTATACTGTTGTCTCTGAACTCCTTCCGTTTTAAAAAGCATAATTAAAGTATTTATGAAGTTCAGACTCTCTCTACCGTGGCCTCAGTGCACCAAGGTACTTCTGGTACACAGACCCCTTATACATCGCCAAGAGAGCTAATAGGAAAAAATAAAAGCCGCGGTCTTTCATGATGATGACCTATAGCCAGTAACCTATACTTATTAAGTGGATGTTGATGTTGACAGGTCGAATTTGATGAGTGTTTATCCAAAACGGATGCACTTTATGATAAATAGTCCGAGTTCATAAAAAGTTCACTGATTAAAGCACTTGGTACTGATTTAGGTTACCATGGCAACCGCATCACTTATCTGTCAATATATAATTTCTTATTTAAAGCATTAATACTATAAGTACACGTGTATAACCGCATTCTGCAGCGCAGAGATCGACAATTTAATTATAATTTACTGGGAGAAAAATGATTGAGCTGGAGGATGGCACAACCATTTAAATGTGCTAAAGAGGACGTTTCTGAAATCTAGGCCAATCTATTTTGACCTATACCTATTGACCCCGGTTTAGTTTGTTTCCCAATTTATTTCTTGATGCCATTTGGAGATACGAACAGTGTTTCCTATAAGGCAATAACATTAATACAAACGTCATCATTTAGACAGATCTGTCTGAATCACAAATGTATCACTGCAAAGTTCAAGAGGTTGTGAACTTTTTACCCGGAAATACACAACCACAAATCCAACTCCAAACCACACTGCTAATTTATATGGGCAACGCGGCGCTGCACCCGCCTATTGAATAGTAGAAATGGATCGGTGCGTATTTATTTATATTTGATATGGACTTCCTTAAATGCCAACCACCCACTAACAACAACAGTACAACACTGACAAGCCTTATTTTGGTACTTCTAAAACTCCCCGGGCAAAAAACGCGTATAAGGTTTTATGAAAAGAAATATTTTTAGTTATGGTTATTTTCTCTTCCTCTGATCAGATCTAGATCTGTTATTTTACATGTATATTGTATGGCCATCAAATTCTTATATTGGGACCCTGTTTTGGCTATAAATGTTGTTTTGATCAAATTAATGTTTTTTGTCTTTATCATTTTTCTAATTTTCATTTTCGTCTCTTACCAATGGTAAATTTTTACAATTCTCAAATAAACTTTTATATCAGCACCATACTTTATGTGATACAAACATTTATTGTCTGAGTGGTCCACAATTGGTCGCACTTTTAAAGACGATAAATTGAATAATCTGATTGATATGTCTATCTTGATTTTAAGCGTTACAGTATTCGATTTGCATTTTAAGTTACTGGTTACAATTTCGTTCATAACGAACACTAAAAATTATGTGTAAAATTGTCAACAAATAATTCCTACAATTGGGCATACGATTTATATTTTTAAATATACTAAATAAAGTCATAATCAGCGACCGCGATTGGTATTGCGCTTCGCACCAGCACCGAATCATAGACTTGGAGAATTAAAATGAATTTGCATATATTAAGTAATAAAACTTTACGAGAAAATATATGTAGGCTCAATGGGAAGGTTCCTATAATACTTTGGGGTAATAAAAACATTTATCATCGATATCAAAAATTTAATAATACTGTATCTACTCATTAAGGAATAATATTTGTATGACTATCTTTTAGGAAAATTAATATTACCCGACAAAGACTACTGTATGCAGAGTCCGATTGCATTGTGTTTTTTAATTTGACAATTGAAAAATTCGACTTACCCTGCAGTACATTCATACATCATGTTAGAAGCAGACGACATTGTAGTCTGATCGATGTGCGGCAGTTTCCCAATGCTTTTTGTCGAAATTATATTTCAGAGTGATTGTTCAAATTCACAACGTTAACGTAAATGTGAGTCAGTATTTCAAATGTTCCTCATTCGCAAAATGGGTGATTTCTGGAAATGTCCTTCAGACACAACTCTATTTATGTTTGCATATAATGGGGTCAACTTAAGGACAGTGTGGTTGTTTTCTAACTGACTAAACATATCCCCAGTTGAACCGGTCATAGTTGATTGTGCCAGCGATTGTGTTCTGTGTAAAATTTATATTGGGCGCGTCACGAGCACCTGCCTCGTTTTGGAACAGTTTACAGTGACAACGAAAAAGTGCTAAAGTTTTCATCAATAAAAGAGTGATTTATGGCTTATAATTAGCTGAAATGTGAATATAAATGGTGTTCTTAGATGCTTGAGTTACTCCAGTAGCTAAAGATATCAGAAAATGTTTCGCATAAGCCCAAGAACATCCATTTCTTCAGCGTCTAGCGGAGGTAGTGCAGGAACAAGTCCGGAACCATCTCCTCCAAATTCTCCAACTTATGTGAGTAAGTTTGATGCGATCAGGAAGAAAAGTGGTGATAGACAACAGCATTTTAAATTTCAGGATGATGAGCATAGACAGAAGACGCCATATTTGGAAGGGAATCTCAAGTTCGTTCACACGATGTAAGTCCAAAGAATTTGTATTGTCTAGAGTCCATTTCACTGCTTCATTTCGTCAGTAGAATGGCAAAAATAAGAAATTGGGAGACCATTGTGCAATAATATATGGAAAAGTATATTCATAATGTACATGAATGACATTTGTATATCTTGGATTGCTTCTAGTTTGGCTTATAAAGTGTGTGGCCTACTATATTTGGATGTTTCTCTGCCATGTTATTTTCAATAAGATTAACATGGCTGAAATTCTTCAAATTACAAAACGGCACAGGCTAATTGCACAAAAAACTAAAAAATCTGAAATATACATATGTCATTCATGTACATTATGAATATACTTTTCCATATATTATTGCACAATGGTCTCCCAATTTCTTATTTTTGCCGTTCTACTGACGAAATGAAGCAGTGAAATGGACTCTACATTTATTCCGTGCCATGACTTATCTAACTTACTATATTTGCATATAGCCATCTTTAGATAGTTGGCTATGCATCTAGATATTCCCAGCCCATGTTAAATGTCTTTTACAAAAATGTAAGAAATCTTGGAAACATTTACCTTACTTCAATCGATGCATAACATTCTAAAGTATCGTTTTTCTAACCATATCGGGCTATCTTGAGTTGGGAGACTCCAGATAGCAGTGACTGTGTTTGAGACACTTACAGTGCCTGACTCAACCTTATGAGCATTTTGCTCATTGAATAGTTTTTTATACGTCTAACGTCATAATTTTGTATCTTACTTTACAACCTTACTACAAGGTTGACATCATGTGTACTATATCACCAATATACAATACATTTACGATTGATACTTTCAGTGAGCTGTCCAATGACATCATGTGTTGCCTATATAGCCCTGATGGCTCTGTGCTTGCAGTTGGACTCTCAGATGGTATTATAAAGGTAAGGTTCAATCCCCAGCTCAGACAAAAGTCTGCTTGCTTTACATGAATTTGAAAATGTACAGTAAAACCTGTCTTATCCGAGCACCAATGGGATTTGCCAAAAGTGTTCAGATTGACAGGTGTTCACATTGCAAGGTTATTTGTAACTTAGAAGTGAGAAGTCCATTTCAGATTAAAAAGTAGGACCGAAAAGTGTTCAGATAAGAGAGATGTACAGATATACAGGTTTTACTTGGCTGAGTGAGTGGTTTAAAATTTGTATACAGATTTATTAAGGTGTGTGCATGTATTGGATATGTACATTTATGCCTTTGCATTGGTGCAGAATAAAATACTTTTCTAGTAAAACAAGGTCCCTTCAAGGAGGGACTTCTTCTTTTGTTATAATATGGTACAATCATATTAGAACTTCATCTTTTATTGATATAGTTGCCAATAATCAGTTAAATATAGTTGCCAATAATGTTTGCTTCGGCAACTTCTTGAAAAAATCTTTGTATAAAAATTACTATGATAATAAAAACAACAATAACAATAATCAATATCAATGTTTTCGTCTAAAAACATAATTACAATTCATATTGACTCTCCTCCTTCCCCTCAAAAAATAATTGAACAGCCATTTGTCATTGGTTTTTCTTCATTTTTCAATTGATTTCCCAGACAAATGAGACAGACTAACACTTCCTCTAACAGAACATAATTTAACTTTCTGATGTGCACTGATATATTGACCTTAGCGAACAGACCCATTGACTTTTAATAACAACATTTGTAACACGTTAGTCTATGGCAGATTAAAAAATTGGACCAGAAAAGTATTCACATTTGGAGGTGTTCAGATATACAGGTTTTACTGTAGATGGACTTTGTTAGCATACCAATGGAAAAATATGTGAAGAAAATTCATAAATCATGACTTATAACTCTTGAAGAAAACTAATAATCACAACTTTCATTAACAACCCTTGAGTACAATACTCTGTAATTAACTATTTAATAACCATTAGGGTATGTCAATTAGGTAATAAATCTGTCATTTTGTGATGTTTAATTTCTCCCGAGTACTTATCCTTTATATATTAACTCTTTTGCTTTTATTACTGTAATATATAAGAAAGCAAACTTCAAAGCTATAATAATTTTATAAGCAAAAGTGCAAAAGGGAATAGAGTATAACAAACAGAATAAGAAGAGGAAAGATCTTAAGCCCACAACCAGTCATGAGAAAAACACCCAAATAATCCAAACTTACCATATTTACAATAAACAAAGCAACAACAGGCCCATAGTCAATGGGGGTTCAGGGGGTTCCCTCCTGGCCAAAAATTGTTTCAAAACATGCAGTTTTCTCTATTCTCAGTACTTTTCAAGTGATTTAGGCCATTTTTTGGCCAAAGTTGTCAAAAGAGATCCCACTGGAATTTTTCAAAAAGTGAACCCCCCTTGGCAAATCCTAGCAACAAGCCTGAACAATGTAAAATGCCCCCTCCAATGCAATCTAAAACCAGAAGACCATTGGGCATTTAAGACAAAGGTGGTTTATCCATCATGTAAATACACTTTCTAAAAAGTAAATATATTTCTCCCAGGATCTAGTTCAAGCTATTTTAAAAAAGTCAGTCCTATTTCCCAAAAGAGCAGATAGCTATATTTTTTCAGTTGGCTTATTGTGATACATGTAAAGTTACTTCAGATTTTTGGTTTGACCATCGTTACCACATAATTGATATGATATTACCGGAATATATATTCTCTTGTTAATTGATTATTAATTGTACCATGAGGATTTTTCTAAAGAATGCTTCATGTTGTTCATTAATATTTGATGAATAAAGAGCACTGGCATACAGGAGAAACATTATAGTCTTTCTGGTGATGACTCACCTATCTTATACATCTATCCAAACACCTCTCTCATCTGGACATCTTTTAATGTGAACCTTTTCTCAGTGTCCAGTCGCTGTGTGTCCATGGCACCAGAAGCGGTGTCATACTGTTATTGTCTCAAACTTTTTGTTGATGGTGTTCTGCATTTAGTGGTAGGTCTTTGGTGGTGCGCATGCATATGTAACAAATGACAGGTGGTGACATTTTTCGTGTAATGCCTTGTTTTAATGTGTCATAAACGTCCATGTTAAAAAACCTTAAAATGTGAACACCTTCCAATTTAAACACTTTGGCTGGCTAGTCCCAGTAGGGTTCTGATTAGACAGGTTTTACTGTATTAGACTTACATACCTACATATATTTAATTCCTATATTATATCAACTGTAGCCTTAAAACAGTGTGTTTCTATATTCTAGGTATTAAGCACAGATACAGGGAAAGTACACTACAGTCTTTCTGATGATGACATATTCTCCACCAGTCTCCCATGTACTGCTATACGTTTCAAACCTGCAGCTGTTGGAGACACGAAAGTGGAACACACTCATATCTTAGTTGCAACATGTACGTAAAGGTTTATATTGGGTACAGTCTGGTGCAGGGACTCAGGAATTCTCCTGAAATGAGGTGGTTCTTCCATTAATCAACACAGTCCCAAATACTTAGCAGGATAATGCTTGGTACTATACAAGTACATTCCTCTATGTAAGATTGGTAACTGGAAGATCACTTTGGAATCACTGTTTATGTGTATGATTTAAAAAAATTGATAATTTCTCATTTTCTTAAATATTGCTATCCAATACAAACTTGTTGCCAAATCTATGGGTGCCTTTAACAGCACCTCTATTCAATATATGAACATTACTGATAGAAATATACTTATGTATAATAAAAACCTTGTTGTAATGTTAAAACCTGCTAATCTGAACATTTTTGGCAGATCCCAGTTGCAATCAAATTATGCTGCACGCAGTCTAGTTAACCTACAAAGCTTTCTTTTAAGAAGCGAAGTCGACCGAATGCAAAGGATACATCCAGAAACCAGGTATTAAAATATCTTTAAATTTTCAGATTCCTCAGGATTAGTGAAATTCTGGCATTATACCTCAGGGTCATGTATTCATACAATCAACGAAGCACATCAGACTTTGGCTCTTGGCTTTAACCCTGAACACACCAAGTTCATAACTGCGGCTGCTGACAGTACAATCAATCTCTATGATGAGCATACCAAACAGAAGATACGAGTTTGTGAAGCAAGGTAAAGTTTGAATATAACCACCTGCACAGAATATTTGAACACCTCTAGCTCAGTAAGCAGAACACCTCTATGAGTCGAACACTTTTCAAAGTTCCATTACCCATTATCTCAATGCAAAATGAACCTCTGTATGTGGAACACTATTAAGAAGTACTGTGCCATATGTGTTCCACTTATACAGGTTTTACTGTACATTGTAACATTGTATTGTTATCTGCAGTTTTGTATTCCCGTTCAACAAGCAACCTACCTGCTTATGGGTACGCTTATTGCTTTTCTCTTTATTTTTACTCAAGTGAATGCAGTCTCATTTTGAGATTCCTGTCCTAAAAGTCATGCAAAATATGCAGATTTTCATCCTCATTTTCAAATGAGTGCATATGAGTTGAAGAAAGTGCGTATCAAGTGGGTGCAGCACCCTCTTTCTTAAATGCTCATTTTCTTGAATTAATAAAAACTGTGTATATTGAACATTGTTTTGACAAGAAAAAATGTTCAATGTTGTTAGGTGTTCATTACAGAAGCCAGTAGAGTATCTGTGGAAGAAGGGTGTTCACTAGAGACTAGTGTTGTCGCGATTAATCGATACATCGCGATATACATCGCCAAAGCTGATTCTGGCGATGCATCGATGTCTGAAACAAAAAATCGATGTTTTTAAAAAAAATTGATTTGCTAAAAATCATCCTTTCTTATCTTATTTTGACGCAAATCGCTTACCTTTCTCATGTCTTATTTCATTTTCCAATGTTTTCTGATATTCTTTCGCTTTAAAACTGTTTTAGCTAGTCGAAATGAACCATTAATCTAACAAAATTTACTTTACTTTCATTTCATCGTTACTAGACGTTCCCGGATGTACCAGCGTACTCTTATTATTTTGTTCTGTTCAGTATTTTAGTGCATAAGCGTTCGGTATTTCAGTGCACTTTTTTCGGACTTTTTCTCGATGTACATCGCGATGTGCATCGATGTTTACTCCTGATAATTGCCGATGCATCGATGTACGATTATGGCACATCGCGACAACACTACTAGAGACAGGTGTTCATTGAGACATATTTTACAGTACTTTGAAAATCCTTGTAATATTAAACTAAATGTATTTTCTCCTTGCAGTGATTCTAAATCAGTGATGGATGGTCACAGACTTAGGGTGTTTGCTGTCCAGTACCACCCCCATAACACAAATCAGTTTGTATCTGGGGGTTGGGACGACACTGTCCAGTTCTGGGATGACAGACAGAGACATGCAATCAGGTTTGTTTTTTGTTTGAATGTATATATGTTTGATACGTTTGACAATCACAGACTGGAGTCTTCATACAATCAACCATTTTTATGCCCATATTTTGACCGTTTTCCTGTAAGTCTATTCTATTCAAAGGTGCGATTCTGTTCACTCTGTGTCTTGTTTGACAGTATGTCTCAATGGGCATTTAATATATAGAACTGTAACTGCCAACAGGCAGATTACATACATGTATATGCATAACTCTTGCCAAATATAATTTACAAATTTTGTTGGCATTTGCAAGTGCTTATTTGGCACAATGATTATACTTATTATTTATTAACATACGAGAACGCTGTATAGATTTTTATCAAAAATCAACAATATACATATCAATGATAATCTTGGATGTCTCTAAATAACGAGTCAATGAAGATAAAAAGTCATAGGCCTATGGAAGATTTTGAACAAATATGCAGAATTAGGGTTTTAAAGCCCCATTACTCTTAAAGGCTTGCTGAACTAGAACTGCTGAACTAAATTGAATATGTATAATATATTAAAATGTTATCATTTCATTTTCTTTATGGTACAATGAAATAAAAAAGCGCTCAATCAACATTAAATGCAATTCGTTATTATTATGGAAACAAAGCTTGTTTATGGGATGGGTGTGTATGTTGTATGGCTGATCTAATGATTACATTATAAACCTTTTATTCAAACTTAGAGCCACTAAAAACACAATTTTACAAAATAAGTGACAAAATCTTCTGTTTCCATGTTGAGTGAACTGACAAATATGTCATACAAAAGTCATGTGTAAATGTATAGTCAACTTGACTCAACGCTTAATTGTATAAAATCCTCATTGTAGGAGACTATATGGTCCACATATATGTGGAGATGCTTTAGACATTGATGCCAAACATGATCACCTCTTAACAGGGTCTTGGAGGAAAGAGAACACTTTACAGGTAATAGGAACTTTGTTTCCATTGTACTTACTAAAGTGTACAGTAAAATTTGTTTCTTAGTCCAAAATTTGTCTTAGTCCCATTAATTCACATATTTAGAAATCTATGACTCTGAATGTCTGTTAATTTGAACATTTTTAGGCAGTTCCAGTGGCGTTCGGATAAGACAGGTTTTATTGTACAATTTAGTCATTGCTCTTTAGCAAGGCATCGAGTCTAACTGCCTTTCTGAAAATTTACAGAAAAATAATCTTTCAATTGAAACTGATAATGAAGTCTATTTTGGTATTTCATTGCATTTGACTTTAATTTGCATTGCCTTCTTTGCTAATTTTTCTAATTTTGCAACACGCCTGATTAAATTGACATCACAATGTTCGTAGCCTTTCAACTTATTTTTGTCTGAATCAGAACTTGAAAGAATGATTTATATTTTTAGATTTGGGACTATGGAAGTGGGAAGAAGATCAAAGACGTTCCACAGGATCTTTTCCATACAAGTTTGGTAAGATTGCGCATTACAGCATTTTATTTAAAATTTGAAGACCAGTTAACATTTTTCAAAATTGTTCATTTTTCAAATTCTTTGGTTCAACTTTTGTACTTGAAAAATCTCACTTAGGACTTTTATCTTGATTTTTAAATCAGCTTTGATCTTTTTATCTTGGATTTTCATATTTCATTGTTCATTCTAAATTATTCCACATAAACTAAAATAAAGATGTCACATCTGTCCAGATTATCTAGCTTCAGTTCAAAATCCAAAATTAAATAAAACTCTCATACATCATGTTAAACAATATAGATAGTCTTCTTTTCAATCAGTCAAGAATAGAAATATGAAGAGTTTCAGAACATACAAAAAAATGTACTTCATATATCTATTGAAGTCTTCAGGACTAAAAATCATATTTTCATTGACAGCATTGCAACCATTACAACACTGCTAAGTGTAAGGTATATGTACATGATTGACTTATATAAATTATAGTTATGGCCCCTATGTGAAATGTCATGGTGGTTGAGATGTAAAACCAGGGGTTTTGTAGTTTATCCTCCAAAAGCTCCTATTCCTCTGCCCCATTCTATTTTTAATATGGAGAATTTTTTTTCACTTTTCAACATAATTACTCTTGCTGGTTTTGACAATCAGAAATCATAAGTATTGTTGTTGATATAGCGGGAGTTAAAAATGTTTTTTCGAAATTACACTGTTTTCAAAATCATGTTAATTGAACTATAATTTGTTTTCAAACTGTATGTAAGCATCATCACCATGACAATTCACATCAATGGGTTGTTACAGTATTTGTTCTGCTGTTTCTTGTTGCAAACTTTCCACTGTTTAAATATTTCATAGAAGAACAGAAGATAGGAGGAGTAGAATGAGTAATTGTTTGGATTTATTTAATCTATAGATATTTATTTATTTTTTCAATTATTTTTGAAATACACATTTTTTCTACTTACTATTTATTGCTATCATGATTCTTAACTTACAGCTACCATCTCATATGTTCAACATCAAATTCATGTCATAATTTTTGCAATTGTATAAGTCTGTGTTTAAATGCCTTTTGTTAATTTGTGAAAACCCATTTCACTTTGTTACTCACCATTGAGATTAAACATTAATAAAAAATACAATAATCAGGAAGTTATATGACAGTCTATTCCAGGGCTAATTTTCTCTGTTTAATTATGTAATGGCTCAGAATGAAGAACTAAACAGCATACATGTACACATGCAACAAAACAATAAATGTTATAATCCGTGATTGTATCGGTCCCATGAATGTGTCACTTTTAGTAGGAGCACTGCTATTACTATGATTCCTTTTATTAAAAAAAACCATTTTTGAAATATCACACCGCTTTACTATTGAATACAATAGTATATCACTTTCATTTACTTTTTCGGGGGTGAGAAAACATAAAATAAAGGCATACAAAAATTACAAATGAACTCACCTGGTTGGCATTATAAAAGTGTAACAATTTGTAAGAGATGCCATTGCCCACCCAATGCTGGGGTTTCAAAAGAATTTTTTCACAACAGGCTAAATAAATGAAAACAACAGGCAAAATTATGGAAATCATAAAATTTAACATGGAAAAGTAGAAAAGTTCCTAAAAACAACAGGCGATTTTGTGAAAACAACTGGTGAAAATCGCCTGTTGCCTGCTTGCTAATGAAACCCCTGCAATGATATGAACGTAAGATCAATTACATTTTTACTTCTTAAATATATGTATATTTATGAGAAAATTATAAAGGACTTCTAAACATACACGTATGAATTCTGACATATGGCTTTCAGGGTAATATTAGGTTAATTTCTGCTCAGAATAGACTTATTATAATAATATTGCTTATAATATTTAGTCACACCATACTAGTATTTTTATATTTCTTTGTGAGATTTTGATGAGTTCAGAGGCATAAAGAACATGTAGTCACATAAGCAGAATTGGCGTCATTTTCCCTTGCAAAATCATTACTTATTAAAAACTAGTCCAATATTCCCAATGCACATTTTTTGTGTGCATTCAATTCTATTTAGATTTGTCAATTTTAGCATTAGAAAATGGTTTGAACATGTTGAATGGCTTTGAAGAATTATTTGCTTAAACACCATTTTTATTATGTCCCCACCACATAGTGTGGGGCCATATTGTCGGCCTAGGCGCGTCCGTCTGTCCGTCCGTCCGTCCGTCCGTCTGTCCGTCCGTCTGTCCGTACGTCCGGGAGTTTTCTCCAAAACCGCTACAGATATCACCTTCAAATTTTCAGGGATAACTTATGAGTGCATACAGATGTGGATGAAAAAATGTTAACTCGATACCTACTTCCTGTCGGCCATTTTGAAGTCAAATGCTAAAATCCTTGTCTGCAAACTTTAAGAAAAACGGCTTCACAGTTGCTTTTAAAACTTTAAAATCTTGTTCAGCTCACTTCATTCTAGATCTGATTAGGTTTTGGACCTGTTAGCTCAGTCATGTCAGCCATTTTGAATGTCTTAAGAAAAGTTAGCGCACGAAAATACTTTGTATCATATTGAATGGTGTTTTTGAGTTTTCATACTTTAACTATTTAGTAGCTTTATAAATAATTTCAGATGTACTTTGTTGTAAAAGCCTATGTTATTGTTAACAGTAGTTATATGTGATAATTTTGTAAGAAGAAATCAGCAAAAACAAATAATCACTTTTTTATTGTCGGCCATTTTGGATTTTTCCGTCCTAAAATATTGTCTGTGAAGTCTTGTCTACGTGTTTTCAGGTGAACCGTTTGGTGGATCAATTTCAAATTTTCAGGGATGATTCTTAGTGTAAAAATCTAGATCTGATTTGTTTTTTGGCATTCTGGGTAAATGTCAAGGCAGCCATTTTGGATTTTCCGTCCTAAAATCTTGTCTGTAAAGTCTTGTCTACGCGTTTTCAGGTGAACCGTTTGGTAGATCAATTTCAAATTTTCAGAGATGATTCTTAGTATGAAAATGTAGAACTGATTAGTTTTTTGGCATTCTGGGCAAATGTCAAGGCAGCCATTTTGGATTTTCTGTCCTAAAATCTTGTCTGTAAAGTCTTGTCTATGCATTTCCAGGTGAACCGTTCTGTAGATCAATTTCAAATTTTTAGGGATGATTCTTAGTATGAAAATCTAGATCTGATTAGTTTTTTGGCATTCTGGATAAATGTCAAGGCAGCCATTTTGGATTTTCCGTCTTAAAATCTTGCCTGTAAAGTCTTGTCTACGCGTTTTTAGGTGAACCGTTTGGTAGATCAATTTCAAATTTTCAGGGATGATTCTTAGTGTGAAAATCTACATCTGATTAGTTTTTTGGCATTCTGTGTAAATGTCATGGCAGCCAGTTTGGATTTTCTGTCCTAAAATCTTGTCTGTAAAGTCTTGTCTACACGTTTTCACGTGAACCATTTGGTAGATCAATGTCATATTTTCAGGGATGATTCTTAGTATGGAAATCTAGGAACAGATTAGTTTTTTGACATTCTGGGTAAATGTCAAGGCAGCCACTTTGGATTTTCCATCCTAAAATCTTGTCTGTAAAGTCTTGTTTACATGTTTTCTAGTTAACTGTGTGACGGATCAATTAAAAATTTTCAAGGGTGGTTTTTGTTTGAAAATCTAGAACTGACTAAATTTTTGGCATTCTGGGTAAATTTTAAGGTGGCCATTTTGGATTTTCCGTCCTCAAATTGTGTTGGTAAAGTCTTGTCTACTCATTTTCAGGATAACCATTTGATGGGATCACCTACTGGTGGGGACATTTTGTACACATTTGTGTTCTTGTTTAAATTGTTTCAACTTTTTGCCAACACTTTTAATACTTTGTGTTACCTGTTAAATGTGTTATCTAACTTGAACATGTATGAGAAGTGCTATGAGTTATAGTATTCATATATCAAATACCTCACATTTAATTCACACATAACATATAATTGGGCATAAAAAATATATACAAATAACCCATAATGCAACCTTTTTTAAGCAGACGTTATATGTTTCAGCTGTACTGTGCACATTGGCTTGGTAAAGAGTTCATGGTGTGCGGAGGCTGTGAACAGAACATGGTTCGTGTCATTGACAGAGGAACTCTTAATGTAAGTAAGGTTGTTAGTGGTAAATAATACCCATAATGCAACTGTTACAAGCAGACGTTACATGTTCATTGTGTTAATGGAGTTCATAACTCATTTTGAATCAGGCTGTTCATGGTGAAATGTATTAAAATCACAGGATTCTTAAATAGTTACCTAGAAATAATATTAACCATAATGCATCATTTTCTATTTTGCAGACGACAGGGCAACTAATTGATCTTCCACAAGGGGCATATACAATAGATAATGATCGTATTGGAATGCATCCTAAACTGGCAATAGGATCAGCACGGACAATCTACATCTTGAAACATGATCAAAAGATAAACAAATCTTGAAATGTTGTACATTCAAATCTTAAAGATTACATTTCACTTATGTTTTGTCATTTTTGAATTACACGTACTAGAAACATTCAGAAACATAATTAACTTTGTTATATTTGGGTCTTGGTTATTTATAGTACCATCATTGAGATATATCTATGAATTTTTCAGAATTTTCTTAAAATCAAAATAATGAACATTTTATTGAAAAGCTAGATTAGCATAATAGCCAAAACTGACATTAATACAATATTGTTACAAAACCAGTTTCTACATTACAAGTGCCAAGCAAGTCTTGAGGAATAGTAGTTCGGGTCAATAAGAAAGTGACAGTGATAATACTATATGGTCCAAGTATAAAAGTATTAATTGTTTTACATATTGTAGATTCAACTCAATACTCTTTTTGTACATATTATGTATATAGTTATTAGTTAGAAGTTGCAACTTTATGAATATCAGATTTATACATACTTGAACATGTTAGAGGGATACAAGAGGGTATGTACGTGAATATAAGTATGAACATGCATATATATGTCTTGCATTTATTATGAGGTCCCCCTTCTGGACATATCTGTCTACTTCTTATCCATGATATGTGGGTGATATTGGGAGCTGACCAGGATGGGGAGCGGGGGTGAGAGCTGACTAGAGGGGAGGCGGGGGGGGGGGGGTTATATAAACATGAAAGTCATTCGGACCGAGAAATAGCGTTCACAGTTGTTCGAATTAGAGAGGTGTTCGGATATACAGGTTTACTGTACTGGTCTTGAAAAGTATTGCATTGTGGGATTCCTGAATTTCAGTTGTATTTCATTGTGTTCACAGGTAAATATCGGGTCTCGAACGGGAAAGTAAATGGGTCGGAAATTACGGGTTCGAGGGGTTTTGTAATCACAAGCTAGTACGAGGCTCTGGAATATTATAGGACTAGTTACGAGTCCCGTAGAAGGTTGTACAGAGCCCGTTGAGGGAACGGGGCTCGTACAACCTCGTACGGGCCTCGATATGTAATTTGCCTGTGATAGTTGAATTTCAGGAATTGTATGTCAGTTTTCAAAATAGGGATTTAAATGTTGCTATATTTTTCCCTTTATTGTTTTTTGTTAAAACTTAATAAAGTGAAGTCGTAAAAATAACTACATGCTTTATGTTTGGTACAATGCTCGTAAATATCATAGTTTTATCATTTTTTCAGGATTATTATTTTACACAGACTTTTTTACTTGTAAGCCAGAATATTTTGGTCGAATCATCCACGTAACTAACAATCGATTACAGAAAAATTGTTGTGTCAACACAAGAAGTGTTGACATATTGTTACAGTCTCCAACCTTTTGTGGAGGTTATTCGGCGGTCGACGATCGGCGTTTGTAACAAATGGCAGGTGGTGACATTTGCAGGTTAATGCCCTGTCTTATTTATAGTTATTCTGTGGTGACATTATTAAAACTCATCCTTATTAAACATTACCAGGCCCAATAAGGACCTCATTGAAAGAGAATAATAGTCCCCGAGGTATCTTACATGTATTTTTCATATCGGACTTAACAAAGCATACTGGCATGCAGAAAAACCTATGGTTAGGCTATCCATTTCTCTTTCACTGAAATCAATGAAAGTATTAATAATTTAAGAAGTCATTCACGTCGATGCGATCTGTACATAATGTTCAATATAACTCAGTATAAAGTTTATTGTTTAGATTCGAAATACCGACTGTATTTCCTTTATACTTGTATATGTATGTTTGGAAACAAAAACAATGAATTCTCAAAGCTTCATTTCACAACTGTAAGAAACTTTTTGATCGACCCTCGTAGTTATATATGTTAGCTAAGGACAGAGGGACGGTGTGAAAGAAATGATGGTCCCCCAGGGATTATGGTCCCCTTTCTTAACGGCCCTTACTGGCCCTGATTGCGTATAAGATAATGAGGGAAAGAGTTGTATTTAGGTCACCATATAAATCAATGGAGAGTAGGACCATAATTTGATAGGACCTCCTACCCTTTTACAACGGCAATGATTTGCATGTGTCGACCAATCTTGGATTCTTTCAACAAACGATAAGCAATTATGATGTTATTGTAAAAAGTGCATAAAAATATTATATGCGTATAAGATGACGCGCATATTGATTGTTCATAATCTTTGTTCTTCCAAAAGTCATTCTCTGATCGCAATACGTCACCCACTTTGAAGAAATTAAATCAATGGATGGTGTCTGGAGCGGCCTCTTTGGAGAATATAGAAACATATATCAGTGTATAGGGACTGCCAGGTTATCATTTTATGTCACCACCACAAATGGTGACATATTGTTACAGTCTCCAAATTTTTTGTAGACGCCTTGCTCGGCGTTTGGCGCTCGGCGTTCGGAGTCTGTAACAAATGGCAGATGGTGGGTGACATTTTGCATGTCAATGCATTGTTACCCTCTTGATTAATTGTTTACAGGAATGTTAATCGGTTCTTTCAGGCTTCCCAGTCTCATTGAGATTTCTTTGAATTACATATTAAATTTGTATGAGAGATGCAATAGCAGTATTCCAAATTAAGTACATTGTCATTAAAGCAAAATTGAATGCTTTATCCGCACATCCTATGTATTAATAGTTAATAGTCACCCAGACACAAAACACATTAGTTCACGAAATAATGGCAGTTGATTGACTACGAGAAGACAGTTTTGTATTGTTGTATGCTTAATCGATATCATTATACACTCGATTGCTCTTGGTGCTATTCCCGGGGTGCTATTCATCTAGGATCAAAATGTTCATCGTTGAATCAAATTGGTAAGCGAGAGTGAGTGATGTAAAGATTTAATTAAACAATATGATAGAATTTGAATTATTGAAATAAGTGCTCATTGGGATGCAATGGGCGGGGGGAGAGGGTTAAGCTACACGTTTGAAGACAACAGTTATACATGAACGTGTAATATCATGACCCACAGGGGATTGCGTCCTTCTTTCAATTGTTGAATTTCCAGGCTAGGGAGGGAGAACTTATTAGGCTCTAGAGGACCATTCTACATGTTCACAAAGCTCACGTGCAGCTTAACCTGCTCTCGGAGGAATACCTGAATCGATTTCCATTAAAAAATTGATAAAAAGTACCTTGAATACTATTTATTATCATTATCACTAATAGGGATGCCTCGATGATACGGAGAAGCAAACGCGACAGATTGACTCCAAACAATATATGGCGTTGGTAAAATAAGAGCAGGGGAGCTCAACAGAAGAGGATGGAGTCGAGAAATTGCGAGAAATCGGAGATCATAAATCATGAACGCCATAAAGATGATGAAGAAGAACGCGATGAGATAATTACTATAAACGTCGGGGGTATTAGGTATGAAGTAACGAAGAAAACTCTTCAGCGGTACCCAGGAACTAAGCTCGCGAAGCTGAACAATGACGACGCTGCGTACAGAAAAGCTAAGGATGAATACTTCTTTGACCGTCACCCAGGCATATTCAACACGATACTTAATGTCTACAGGACTGGAGAACTTCATATGGAGAGTGATGGTTGTGGCGAAGTCTTGAAGCATGAACTGATGTTTTGGAAGGTTGATAAGATCGCATTTGAGAAATGCTGTGCCGGTAAATTCTCAGAAAATGTTGGTAAAAAGAAACAACTACTCCATTTTGAATCCAAACTGAATATTGTTCCACCGAATAGCGTCAAACCTTCAACGGAAACTGGGTCTGTTATAAAAAAGGGCTGCTGGCAAAGGGTACGCCCAAAGGTCTGGCTTTTCTTAGATGAACCATTTTCATCAATGCCCGCAAAGGTAAGACTCTACATTTAAAAGATTGAAAGTTTAAAATCTGAATAGATCTAGCAAGATTTTCAAAGTACACTTGACAAAATTAAAAAAATTATTTTAGAATATATTGGGCCCATACCATTCATATCTATTTTTTAAAATCCCCAAAACTTGGAAAAATTTATTTTAGAATATCTTGGGCCCATACCATTCCTTGACATATCTATTTTTTAAATCCCCAAAGTGTATACTGTATTTGAGAAAAACTAAAGAGTTTTACAAAAGGCCTAATGCATTCATTTTTCTATAAATATGGTTACCATTTTTATCATTTGGGAGAATCTAAACATTATTTCCATATTTTGACACTTTGAATCCTGAATTTCACCAATACAACAAAGTACAACGTGGATCTTTTAGGCGACATTATATTTGAGGTAGTAAGGAATATATTGGTAACTGCACATGTTGCTTGCAATTTTGTCACTCCCTGTGTTAATCTGATTTTGCCTTTAAATTCGATATTAATAATGTATAAGAATCTATATTTTTAATAGCACTTGTCAGTGAAGTATCTCCTTAAAGGCATGGATTAATTGCAATTTCACTGGAACTTGGCAATGGAAACACAAAGACTCACTTAATGATAGCAATTTATTTTGAAGTACATTCCTAAAACGATATTCAATAACTTATGGATATACATTATTGCAGATATTTGGAGTTTGGACGACAATGGTTGTCCTGTTGTCAATAGCAACACTCTGCCTAGAGACGGTACCTTCCCTACAGCAAAACATGACGTCAGCGGAAGTAGCGGAGGTAGTTGGCATTCCGGAGGACGACCTAATTGAAAATTACGAATTTGAGTTTCATGATGATGATTACGAAGACAGCCCTTGGGAGATGACTGAATACTATTCTGAGGAAAACACACTTGATGAAAAAAATGCATCAGCTGATGTCGGGTCTGGAGAGGACGATGCTAACTACAATACTACAGATTACTACACCGATGAAACCGCTTCCACCCGCGATGGAATAACTAAAAAGAAGATAAAGATATTCGGCTCTTTACACGTTAAGAATCCTGTCCTTGATCTCATAGATAATGTACTGTACATTTACTTTGCAGTTGAATTTGTCGTACGCTTCATATTTTCTCCGAACAAACTGAAATTTCTAATCAGCGTTCACACAATTTGTGATATTTTTGCTCTCTTGCCTGGTTTGATTCTGTATGTAGCAAATCTCGTCGATGTCGAGAATAAGTACAAAATCTCGATTCTTGATTCGACGAGAATTTTGCTGATCATGCGCATCTTCCGCATTTTCCGGTTGTTGAAACACTCAGTGGCCTACCAAGTGATTGTATACACATTGAAGGCTAGCGCAAAGGAGGTTATACTTATGCTCGGGCTACTCTTACTAGGAATGCTTGTATTTGCCTCTTTGATGTATTTCGGTGAAATGATGAGCGGTCCGGGTAAGTCGGATATAAAAAGCATCCCGATTGCTTGTTGGTACGCTTTGGTTACCATGACGACTGTTGGTTACGGGGACATCTACCCCAAAACGATTGGTGGATACATAGTTGGAAGCCTCTGCGTCATATGTGGCGTGCTTGTCATCGCGTTCACAGTCCCGATAATCGTGAACAACTTTATGATGTATTACGCCCACGCACAGTCTCTCAAAGAAAATGATGGCACCTGCGAAGAAACAAAACCACATCCGAATGAAAATAATAACGCTAAAAATAAAACACATGTTAAAGGTCGCGGTCAAATCGAACTGCCGATGAACTGATGATCAACTATCTTAAACGTGAATGGTACAGATAAGGTCGCAAAAAGGTGTAAGTAATGATCGCTTACATTAAAGACTTGGAGGAGAACATCTAAAATTGATTTGTGAATTAGAACACAACAGTTCTTAACATCAAACATTTGACCATTATTATAAAGTGGCGCTTTGATCTTAAAATGATCAAGAATCTGAATCTGACTTTGAATCACAATAATATAGTTGATACATTGCGAAAGATCCTATAAAACTGAGAAAATATGAACCTTTATCCTATGCCAAGTAGAGTTTTAGGGAGATAAGTTGGTAAGATATATCCCGTATCCTGATTTTGAGGTTTCCATATCCAGAACCTCCATATCTCCCGCTTCGGTGCATATCTTCCCACTTCCGGTGCATATCTTCCCGCTTCTGGTAATGCAATAAAATGACTGCATATGAATGATTTGTTTATTTTTACACCGTGTACTATTGAAATGACCATATGCCCCTGAAGACTCTACTTGGTATGGGATAAAGCAGTTATGTACCGTCGGTTGGGTTCATCCGTCGTGAGATATGCACATCTACCTTCGGTGCCTACGGTCCCTCAGGTAGGTATGCATATCTCCCTCTGGATAAACCCCATGTCCAAAAAAACTCCCAGTACATAACCCTTATCTATATAGCTAATGAAATTACTCAAGATAATGAAAGCCTCCAGATTAAATTCAATCTAGATTTGATTTCACCTACCGGTACAGTATATTCTCATCTAAGTACATGACAATAGACTACATTTTACCCAGATTCCCTGTTTTAGATTTTCCATATTGTGTCTTCAACTAGATGATAATACTTATCACATTTAAACAAAATGGTTGGGGATACTGCTGTACATGAAATGCTTTATTATATTGCTTTTGGGAATTGACGGCATCCTTCGTGGACTTAACATGGCTTCGACTCGATTGAGCACACGGGTCTTTAATTTATATCTTCATATATGTATTATGCATGAACTAAGATGTGAATATCTCAAAACAATAACATTTATGATTTAACAGAACCATTTTGTAAATTACAATGCATAAACACTGGTGATCCTCTTGATTACGCTGGTTACCAAAACAAAATGTCGGAACATCGAAGGTACGATTTTTCTTTTTTCCTTATTTCACACGTTGTAGGCAGAATTCCCACGACATTTTTAATACAAACGTGTATCAGTATCATATGCTTAAGAAAATGTACATATTTGCGAACAAATAGTTCAGAAGACAACAGAATCGTCGATATAATTACTCACTTAAGTTACATAAACGGTTTTTCGAAAAACGGTTAAGATCTGCACTTTTAAGCCAAACCGTTATTATGTAACTTAAGTGACGAATTAAATCGACGATTCTGTTGTCTTCTGAGCTATGTTTTCGCAAACATGTACATTTTCTATAACATATGATACTGATATACGTTTGTGAGAAAAAACGTCGTGGGGATTCTGCCTACAACGCGTGATATAATGAAAAAAGAAAAATCGTACCTTCGACGTTCCGACATTTTGTTACCTTAAAAACGGTTCGTTTTGGTAACCAGCGTAATCGAGTGGATCACCAGTGATAAAGTACGAATGGATCTGTGGATTTAACATTCAATAAATTACACGATATTTTGTGATCTTATATTTTCATGAATACAGTAATCGTTCTTTCATTTTATCGCGTGTACAGTTTTTGGACTGTGATGGTATGATTATGAAGTGCGTGCAAATTCATGTCTTACAGTCAAGTCATATAGCTCAGTCATATAATAAATCAAAATAGCCCGTCATATAAATCAAAATAGTCCATCATATAAATCAAAATAGCCCGTCATATAAATCAAAATAGTCTATCATATAAATCACAAAGAAGACCCACAGAATTTGATAAGCTCGTACTGAGCTCACTCCACTTTTCGTAGGCGATGGAGTTCTGGATGGTGGTGGATGGGCAGTTGGGCATGCCCCTGTATTTGGAGGTGGGGCCTGAGAGAACTTCAGACCCTTTGTGTAACTATAAGGAACATCTCTTGGATCCAACTGAATTTCAGCACGATCAATCTCGTTGTTTCCCATTGAACTCCAAAACTGTACAGTTTGCGGTATCACCCAGAATATATCAAGTTCAAAATGATCGGTTTTATTTCCCGGGAATAGCTCAAAGTCAAACAGTCCATATTGTAAAATTAAACTTGTGTTGTCTTGCACTTCAGGGTCATATAGAATAGTGACGTTTCCATAAGCGAAATTCCCGTATGTTCCAAGATAAGCTGAAAGGTTACGCCTGGAGCGATGTAATTTGTTAGGTCTTCTTGGATATTCTAAAAAATAAGAACGTAAAACATGTTCACATGATGTCAATGTCAATATTCAGAGGACAAGAGGCTTGCGATGATTTTGTACTAATATTTATATTGCTGTTACAACGATAAATCTTAACTTAACTGGTGTGTTTGAATGTCACAGCTCAGATTGGCTGATGGAACAACTTTTTGAGGGTTGTCGTATTAGCCGAGCAGTCTAGAACACTGAACACGTTAACGTTGTGCTCGTGATATCGAGACGCGTTATGCGTGAGATGACGTAGCTTTATGACAATTAATTCATCAAAACAGGTCCTTTAAAGGGTTCCGATAAGCTTCCCGTATAAAAACAATATGGCGGCTCCAGGCGAATCAACTGGATCAGTCCATTTTTAAGAAATAAGGGGAGTTCTGTAAAATCCAGTTTATTTAAATTGTCTTTGAGATAAAGTAATCCGTTTATAATGATTTTGAAAATATTATCCAAAGAGTGATTGTGTTCAAAGAATACATGTACAACAGCCAATATAAATCCTTGTATTAGAACTGCTTTGTTTCATTGGTAGGGTATTTCATATATGCCAAGCTGTGTGCTATTACGTTATGGGGAAAAGATGCCAATTTTTCCTTATTATACACAAATAGAAGATCCTGAAACTACACCCATAAATGTGGAATTGATTTGTCAAAATAAAAATCACCCTTTTATAAATGTGTGACGATCTATAATATATTTATGCTATATAACAGTTAGAGGTGTTGACACAACGACCTCGAGCCTGTGAACCCTTGAGTATTATTCCGGGATCGGGCCTTTTATACTAAACGGTGAGCAACACCAGAAACGAGCGTTCGATTTGCTAAACGATATGCGTCACCCTTTAATGTCCTTGTAGTCTAGGGGTTGTGGATTTGAATAGTTTAATTGTTAAATCCATTCTATCTTACTATTCATATCATAAATAATATCAAATATGAAGAATGACTATAATTTCCATATTAAAATGTATCATATTTACCAAGTTGAAGTCCCGATTGTTTCCCGATTTTCTCGACTAATTCTTTCAATGCAAACGCTTTCGGAGTCATTGCATTTTGGCTTTTATAAAGTTCTTTCTTGATATTTGGTACAGCCTTTCTGAGCAGGGATGGAATGAGTCTGGTAAATCCTAGGTCCTCATCTTTCACGTTTTTAGGTCTTTCATATCGCAGGTTATTGATATCACATATAGTACTAGAGTTGTATAGTGGCGTCTCACCTATATTTACATGTACAATGCAGGCAATTATATGATTGTGTTACGTAGAATATAGAATACGATTTTTTGTATATATCGTGAACAATAATTTTTTGTCTTATAAAAGATAGATTTGGATTTTGATGGCTCAAAAAACTTTAGACCATCAGAAGGGTAGTAGCTTACACGAGGACGGGGTTAATTCTTATTATAATCCTTTTTTCCAATTTCCATTTAAAAAATCCAATTTGAACAAACGTATATTAACGTTGACCACAGATATAAAAAATAATCCATACCCAATAGTATATCTAGAAGTGCAAGTCTAAGTTCTTGAAATGCCCATGGCACGCCAAGTGTATTCCTTGCCATGAACACCCCCATGTTGGCCGTGGGCAGCATCGCCATGTGTGCAGAATAGCCAACAATCCCTCCATAATGACTGTACATAGGAAATCCTGAAAAATAGTATTACTTTTAACGATATTGATGAGGATCTCAATTCAATTTTCTTACGAGGAATTAACATTACAAAATATCTCCATCTGGGAAGTTATTGCAAATGGTTCCAAACGTGTAACACTATGTTACAGACGCCCCCGGGGGGTTCACTATATATAAACCTTGACGGGGATCCTCGGCGCATGTGGGGTACCTTTTTCAACGTTTGGTATGGCAATGGACCCATATTTTAGGATTCGGTATGGGAATGCCCGGAAATTTCTGACTTCTGAGGTATGGCAATGGTCGGACTTTTGCTCTTCTGGTATGAGAATGGTCGTTGTAGATACGTAACCTAACATTCGTGGTATGGCATTGGTCCAGTAGTTGCAAATCTGTATGACATTGATCCTATATTTAATTTACTTTGAATTAAGGTATGGCATTGGTCCCATATTTGGACATTTGGTATGGCATTGGTCCTACATTTTGACATTTGGTATGGCATTGGTCCCATAATTGGGCATTTGGTATGGAATTGGTCCTATATTTAGACATTTGGTATGGCATTGGTCCTATATTTGGACATTTGGTATGGCCTTTGGGCGTTATTTTGGTTGGTATGGGAACATATTGAAATTTGACAGATTGGTATGGGAACATATTGATATTTGAGGCTTCAGCCTAGGACCCCCGTCGAGTTTTATATACAGTGAACCCCCCGGGCAGACGCCGAACGCCTGTCGTAGATCACAAAACAATGGCTCTATCTATCTATCACCACTTCCTATTGGTTATGACATAAAACTACTGTACCATAGATTTACTATAGTACAATATATAGCAATTGTAAATAAATCAGAAAATGTGCCATTTTCCCATGATCGGTTGCTACTGGGAACTTATGTCAAAATTCTGGCTCTGGAAAAAAGGTACCTCTATGCCATCCGATGTGGATACCCTGCCCATAACGATCTGAGCCCACGTGTGTATAAGGGGCAACTGGCAATGTGTTATTCAAATTTGGGAGCACTGCTGGAGTATAAACTATTGATGCTTCTCTCATTTTATTGATCACATCTTCACTGACGACTTGACGACCACTGACGTCTTTCCCCTGGCTTAACTGGAAAGACAACCATTTCCCGGCATCCTCAGCGGTTAGAGCAACCGCACCTGCAGGCCCCGTTGATCTACCGATACCCCTGTAGTATTTTAGAAGATAAAGATTAGAATAGGAATTAATCAGAAAGGGTCATATCCTGTACTTACCTAATTAAAACAAGTGTTGATTTCATGGATCATATACATTAATTCTAGGTTTCTATGAGTCCCACTCCGATAACTCACTCCGAAATAGCTTGGTATTAAAACAAATTAATTACCATTCAACGTCGTGATATTGGAAAAATCATGATGTTTATTTTTTAGTATTACATGTGGCAAGGGCGTTACAATACCCGGGAATTTATCGGTTCGTGCAGTACTTGTTTGTGATAGCGCCCTCTGTAGGTCACTGTGCTTATAGCCTACAGTAATACGGGGTAGGATATCGGGAATTCGGTCAGTTTCTATCCGTCGATTTCGCTATGAATTGAAGCAAGTGTGACCACTTTATCCACTTAAACAATTTGATAATTGATTAAATATTTAAACAAAATCGATAAACACGTTATACACTTCCTATCTCCTTAGAAATTAGCATGTATTTATGGATTGTGTTTTCGAACAAGGCTCGACCCAAACCAATAGGGAAATCCTTATGCTAATTAGTATGACGTCATATTTTCCTGGGGAATCCTAGATTTCAAAGCCTCAGTCTGTTATTGTGTCAAATGTAAACGCTCTTTTGCAGACAGAAAATTGACAGATTAGCTTTTAACTTTCAGCTTTGGTGTTTAGATATTCTGTATTTCTACCGGACTTCTTGCTGAATATCATATAATGTTATAACTTGATTTGGATCATTGCCTGATTGCTCATTCTGAAATTTTGATTGTGATTCATGATTGATTGGCAAGAAAAATAATTCCTATTGTTTTCCAGCGAAGTCAAAATGTTACAGCATGAGTTATAATGTCGAGTTTGCATCATGTTAAATTCTGCTAGTGATTAGAAGTCCATGCACAATCATACACATAAGAGACAAACACACCCAGGCTCCAGGCCGTGCGGATGGAAATATAAAACTATTTAAGGCACAAACTGGTATTAATAGACCGATATGTAGTGTCTGCCATGTATTGAAGGTAAACCAATCTGCATTATTAATGTTTCTTCTATCAATACATGGATTGTGCAATGGAAAAGCAATGGCACAATTCTCGAAATCGCTGTTCCCTCTTCAAAAGAGGAGACGCGAAAATCTTTCCTTATAAGGTCAAAATATTTCCCATGATGCAGTTCGCGGAGGAACAAATTTATACTTCCTTGTTTTCCCTCATAGGTTTAACATGGGGATTTTCACACCTATTTTTCAAACGATATATTCGTTCATATTCCCGTACGAGGGTACAGAAAAAAATATTATAAACGATTGACCTCTTATTAATCTTAATATAACAGCTATTTTTTTCATTGTATTGATTCATAGCGTAGTGAAAACGATGATTGAAAAGTGAAAAAATATTCCGGAAGAGAAGGTCACATGATCAGTTGACTAGTCGCCATATTGGAAAAAACAATTCCATTCGACTTTTCAATACTCTCATGCCAATCTTACCACACTACAGACTGCAACATCGATGCAACAACTGAAAAAAAGTATTCATCTTCAAATTACATCATAGAGTTACGTTGAAAACCAACAAATCACTGAGCAGTAGACCAAAGAGGAAGCGTCGCTATTATCTAGGTCACTCTGTTCAGTGGTCCGAAAGCAAAGCTATGGTACTCGTTTCCGAATTTTGTTGTTCATTGTACAATCTTTTATTGATTAAACTCGGTATACTGACTGCAATGACAAAGAAGAATACTTCCGATGTTGTCATTGTTTTATTTAGCGTGCGGGTGTAAAAACAAAATTGCGTAATTAGTTTGATTTAGAACTTTCGGGTCACGCAAATAGCTACGCGAAATGCAAAGTGAGAAAATATTGACCAATCAAATTTTGTCCTTTTTGAGTGCTTTTTCAGTACATATTTGCGAACGTTCTGATTCAAAGAGCGAATCGCGAAAGGGAGAATTAAAAATGTGCATATCAATCGTGAATATCTCTCGGTTCAAAGCTTATTTCCAACAGAATCGTGTCAAAATATGTGTCTGAGTAACAGTTATACATTATAAGATCGCAAACTCTTACCAATTATCAGCCGAATGGCTCATTTTCAACGAAATGTCCTTAAGACAACAGCCCTGGGTCGCGCCTGAGACCAAAAACTATTTCAAATAGCCCTCCCCTAATTATATTGGATAATCACATTTATGCGTGCGCGCGCAGCTGATCCACTGAACGAAACGCCACTTCCCGCTGAAATCACCGGGTATTGATCTTTCCCTTGCATGTGGTGGAGCATACGTGTAAAAATTAATGTACCTGAATATGCTAATATCGAGGGGGTCAGACAGAAGTAGACCTCCAACACTGATGTGCCAACGAGCCCAGTTCGTCCAATTTGTTCTGGGACCCCAGTCAATAAATGAACTATCACTCATGTCTAGAAAACACATGATAAATAGATGTGCATCTAACAAAGATAGTACTATATAACCTATTCAAGTGATCCATTCCGTGGCACTGTGATTGTTGACATTGCTTCTGAATATAACTGTTAACAAACTTAATGTCATGGAATGGATCACTTAAATCATCGTGAGATATCACAGCCTTCTCTCAGTTTCCTTCTAGTGCATAGCAGAGATGGTCTGAGTATCAGAATACACTTAAATAGGGTGTATATACATTTCCAGATTTTATATGATTGAAATGAATTAATGATGCCTATTTTCAGACTTTACATTATACCTAATTTATCAAACAGTTCTTGCTTAATAAGTTCCTCCCATGTTTTGCCAGTCATCTTCTTTGGTATGATACCCAGCAAAGCATAAAGTGGATTGTTGTAAAACCATTCAACACGCATTGGTATGGTAGGCCTTAAGAATCTCAACCTCCTACAAAAGTAAACTGAGTTCAAAATACGTGCAAACTATCACTATGGATAGCGAATTTGCCGAATTTATCAAAATCGGACAGCGCAACATTTCCTGACGATTAAAATGTATATTAATTCAATATAGACAAGGTGCGTTTTCATCTGGAGGAAATGTGGTAGGCATTTAGTGTTAAAAGTGTTCTGACAAGTGTTTCTTATGAAACGTTTTATGCTGAATCCAAAAAAACATGTTGGCAAGCTGAAATATGATTATTTAACCCTTAATATACCATGTTAGTCCCCCCTCCCCCAAAATTCACCCCTATCAGGGGGAAAAATTCTTTAACCTAAAATAACTTTGATTTTATGGTTTTTGTAAGTGAAATACATGGACATTGTATAAAATAAACATTTGAAGTATGAATGATATGGATTACACTTAAGAAATTTGAATAAAAGCAAAAAGTGTGTACCCCAGGGGGCAAATTTATGACCTATTTTTTACTTTTCGTGTCATAACTTTTTTATCAGACAATGATGGATGCTAAAAAATCCATGTAAAAGGCTTAATACCTGGTATACCAATCCTGCAAGAATCAAAGTTAAAAAATTACTGAACTTAAGAAAAAATGACATTAAGGCGGGGCTGATTTTATGTGTGACTATAACTGACCCCTATTGCTTTAACATTTATCACTCTGTGTTCATATATTTGGCATTTTAGAATAAATCTAAAATATAAAACTTATTTTAGCTAAGTTTTAGGAAGATTTAAGCTTTCTAGCATGTTCAAATATTAAAAATTCATGAAATATGATGTCTAAAATTGATAAGTTATAGGTATACCCTTGGATTCAAGACCCCTATAATTTCTTATTTATGAACATATTTGTACCAATATTAGTTTTCTAGCTTAGGAAAATAATGTATAATATCTCCTGGCTTGGCTTTCTGGTGGTTTGAACAATCCTAGGTGTTATCATTGAAAATTCATTCTTAAATCATAGGTCTGCAATCGATCAAATTCAAGTATACCATTAGTATCATTCTACTGGTACAGGGTTTCCAAAAAAGGACCGAAGAAAAGTTAATTAACTTGGTCAATCCTGCATATTCTGCCTTAAAACTTCAGAATTATTTAGTTCATTCAATGTGGATTTTGTTGTGAAAGTTTAATGATAATTTGCTCATGGAGTCAAAAACTACAGCACTTTACAACATATGTCCAATGTGGCCACTTCTCCTCGACATGCACAATCAAATCTGGCGAAGGAAGTTGTTTAATTGTCCACGGCATGACTAAAATCTATCTAGAGAAGTGAAACTAGTGTCAGACAAATTCGCAGATGTTCTTTTTTACATGCCTAAAATTTTAAGTCGATAGCTCCATCAGAAGCTTTGTAATCCATGTTGCTATGAGTAGGAGAGTCATCAACAGCTTCGTAGGTCGGAGTTGTGGCCACATGGGGCATGTGTTGTAAAGTGCTGCAGTCTTTTACTTAATAAGCAGATTATCATTAAACGTTCACAACAAAATTCACATGAAATGAAGTAAATAATTCTGAAATTCTAAGGCAAAATATGCAAGATTGACCAAAATAATCAACTTTTCTTCGGTCCTGTTTTTTGGACACCCTGTATGAGTATACTTGAACTTGCTATGATTTCATAGATAAGTTGTTTGATGTATGACATATTCCGAGCCGACTTTCTGTTTATTTTAACCATCTAAGAGGCTTAATCATTGAAAATCATTACAAATAAAGGTCTAAACAGACAGTATTAAGGTGCACTTTTACAATACACTTATTATTTCCAGGCTTAGGGTAGATTGGTACCTACTACTGTTTCATAGCTCGGAGGTTTGATATATGACATATTCTGACTAGTTTTTCTGCAGATTTGAGCCACTTAACAGGTCTAATCATTGAATATACTTCATATACTAGGTCTAAAATTGAAGTATTCAATAGAACCCTCTATTAGAAATTCAAAAAAGATTCAGAATGACATTAACCTAAACATTGGATCTGAATCAGGATTAAAATCCTTCATAGAGCTGAACAAGGAAGACAAGGCTAACTTCATTCTGTTGGTGATACATGGACATGGTCCAAATACTTCACCCAAGCCCAAAGAAAGGGAGCTTCATCTCAATGCACTTCAATGCATGATCCCTTATTTCATGACCACCAAAATTATGGAAGGTGGGGCACAGTAAACTTAGAGAAAATGCACTAACTTACCTGCTGCAGTTGAGTGAGGATTCTTGCATTGAAACTATGTGGTGAAAGGCTCTACAAATTCAATCAACCAAGTTGATTGACCCCTATGCCAGTATGCTATTGGTTAGAAGGGTGGCAGAATTGTAGGCATATACAATATCTGCATTGAATAGATGGGCACCGGGGTATAATATTAGGTCACACATGGGGAGTCCAAACAAGAATGATGTTTGGACTTGCGTTTTGACATTCCATAGAGGGGGGATGGTAATTTGCAAATCAAAACAAGAATCTATTGAAGACGATAAAATATGTGACATGCTGCTGAAGTTTGGCATGTTTTCAGAAGATCCATTACTTAATCTCCAAAGTATATGTACAAAAGATGTACTCACAGAAACAATCAACAGGCTCGACAGCTTGGCCAACAACAACTGGATGTCTTTGTGTCTTAGAGGTTGATACCAACAGAGTCAATTGAAAGACAGCAAGCACCAACATTTTCTAAACTATGTGCCTAATCCCAATATAAACGAGCATAAAGTTGTTAGGGCAGACAAGAATGTTTTGCAGAATCTTATCACTGCATATGAAGCTAACAACAGACCTGTGGGCATCAATGAAATAATGAAACATGAGCTGATGTCTTTTCCAATAGCCCTCTCATTGACGAATGAAACATTCAAGCCAACTCAAATGTACTCTACTCCTTAACTGTTTAACAAATGGTATTGAAATGCCACCCGCAATATTTCTGATATATGATCCTTCTTACAAATTAGCATCAATTGCATCTACATCTGAGGATTTGGCTACAGTCTTCAAGGAAGCAAAACTTCAGCAAAGAAGTGTACTGTGCCCCATCTTGCATACTTTTGGTGGTCATATCTCATGAAAAAGGGGATCATGCATTGAAATACATTGAGATGAAGCTCCCAATTTCCCTTTCTTTGGGCTATGGTGAAGCGTAGCAAGATTTGGACCTGATGTCCATGTACTACTGCCAGAATGAAAAGTCATCCTTGTCTTCCTTGTCGAAGGATTGTAATTCTGATTTACAAGAGTCATCCAAGATCACATCAATCGGTTGCTTTATTTGATTTCCAGATCGAATGTTGTGATTAATGCCATTCTGAATCTTTTTTGAATTTCCCATATAGGGTCCTATTGGATTTAAATTGCAAAAAATGCTACTCTGCAAAAACTCTCAACATCCAATTCAAAATGTTGTCAAAGTGAGTATACTCCATTTGTTAAGAATTTCTGCCTTAGCTCCAAGAGTAACACAGAAAGGTTAATGGTGACGGGGGGGGGGGGGGGGATTTTTTAAAATGACTTAACATTATTCAGGGAAGAAAACTCCATAAAATGAAGATTTGTATGAATCATTGGTACTTTTTCTCTCACGTCATGCAATTGTCAGGCTGCTTAGAATGAAATTAGCTTTGTCTTCCTTGTTCAGCTCTGTGAAGAATTGTATTTCTGATTCAGATCCAATGTTGAGGTTAATGTCATTCTGAATCTTTTCTGAATTTCTCATAGAGGGTTCTATTGAATACTTCAATTTTAGACCTAGTTTATTAAGTATATTCAATGATTAAACCTATTAGGTGATTCAAATCTGCAGAAAAACTAGTCAGAATATGTCATATATCAAACCTCCGAGCTATGAGACAGTAGTAGGTACCAATATACTCGAAGCCTGGAAATAATAAGGGTATTCTAATAGTCTACATTAATACTGTCCGTTTCGACCTTTATCTGTAATGGTTTTGAATGATTAAGCCACTTAGATGGTTAAAATCACCAGAAAGTCTCGGAATATGTCATACATCAAACAGCTAATCTATGAAATCATAGCTAGTTCAATTATGCTCATACCAGTAGAATGATACTAATGGTATACTTGAATCTGATTGATTGCAGACCTATGATTTAAAAATGAATTTTCAATGATAACACCTCAGATTGTTCAAACCACCAGAATCCCAAGCCAGGATATATCATACATTATTTCTCTAAGCTAGAAAACTAATATTGGTACAAATATGTTCATAAATAAGAAATTATACGGGTCTTCCAAGGGTATACCTATAACTTATCAATTTTAGACATCATATTTCATGAATTTTTAATATTTGAACATGCTAAAAAGCTTCAATCTTCCTAAAACGTAGCTAAAATAAGTTATATGCCAAATATATGAACACAGAGGGATAAATGTTAAAGCAATAGGGGTCAGTTATAATCACACATAAAATCAGTCCCAGCTAAAATGTCATTTTTTCTTAAATTCACTAATTTCTTTAAAGGCAATTACCAGAGGAATTACTTTGATTCTTGCAGGATTGGTATACCAGGTATTAACCCTTTTTCATGGATTTCTTTAGCATCCATCATTGTCTAATAAAAAAGTTATGACACAAAAAGTAAAAGATGGGACATAAATTTGCCCCCTGGGGTACAAACTTTTTTGCTTTTTACAAATTTCTTAGGGGTAATCTGTATCATTCATTCTTCAAATGTTTACTTTATACAATGTCCATTTTTTTCACTTACAAAAAACATAAAATCAAAGTTATTTTTGGTTGAGGAATTTTTCCCCCCTGATAGGGGTGAAATTTTGGGGAGGGGGGACTAACATGGTTTTTAAAAGGGTTAAATAATCATATTTCAGCTTGCCAACATGGTTTTTTGGATTCAGCATAAAAAGTTACATAAGAAACACTTGTCAGAACACTTTTAACACTAAACGCCTACCACATTTTACAGAGAGACCTTTTGGAGAAAAGCACCCGGTCTAATATGGCAGAGAATTCAACACACGGGTATAAAATATGTGGGTGGGGATTCTGCAGCATCGACTTCTATTGCGCCATTACTTCAGAGGGGTAGAATGAATAATATGTGCGAGATTCAAAAAATAATATTACCAATTTATTAAGTTCGTATTAATTGAAGTTAATTTTACGTAACCTACTGAAATTGTAAAATCCATGATGAAAGTAAAGATGACAAGGCATTAACGTGCAAAATGACACCAACTGCCATTTGTTACAGACGCCGACCGCCAAACACCGTCCACAAAAAAGTTCGAGAAGATAACGTGGTGGTAACATGGCAACAAAACGTATGTCTTACGGTATAATTTCTTCCCTGCTGAAGACATCTGCAGCAAGTATTGACTCATGTCCAGGAATACCTGTTTTGTGAGCGATAATATCTCTCAATGACACCTCTTTTGTTCTCCAGGGGTCATAAAAGTGGAATTCCTCACCAAGGCTCCACATTATATCACTTACAGGCGAGTCCCATGTTAAACTAAAAGAGAATTGTGTTTATCTTATATGTATTATTGTAAAGAAAATCATTTTAAACCTAGCCTTATGTTTTATATGGATCATTACGGAGTTTGTTTTTTATCTGTTTTTGTTTGTTCATTGTTTCTTGGAAAATTTGTTTTTCCATTCGCCATCAAGGTGACACACTAAAAGTGCTATGAAAATCGACAAAAAAACGGCATCCAAATTGGATTTTTTCAAACCAAGGCTCCGAGTCACTTGCCACCTAGGGCTACATATTTCAAATGTATTCAGCTATACTTGTACGAAATCTGATAAAAAACTTTTGATCATGATGCGATTTCGCCATTTTTTATCTTAGACTATCTTGTCACTAGTATTAAATAATAAAAAAACTTACTTGGTCTTCTCAATGAGGTGTGATAGGATTGTCCCAGTAAAGTGTTTAGAAACAGAGGCAACTGGAAATATGGTTTTGTTTGTTACTGGTACATCTCGCTCGTCATCGTCGTAGTCTTGAGCCAAGCCATATCCTAAACACAGGATCCAGATCATAAACAACTGTTTTATTTTCAATTCAAATCCATCAAGGATTTACTAGGATTTACTTTCTTAAAGTAATACTTAACCTCTAAGATAATAATTAATATAGTGAAATAACGAATTTGAGATAGAATATGTCATATTACAGACATTGAGGGTTAAACAAATTGTGTTGTAGAATGCAGACGACAATGACGTCATATGAATCCGACCAAGGCGTTCCCTTTAGCGTCCCAATTGAAGACACTCAATGTTTTTTGTCAAATAATGAAGATATTCATAACCCATATTGTCTCCGATACTCCCTTTAAAACAAATGGCCCATATATGAGCTTATATTGGAAATATGGTAAGAGCAAATAGGGTCAATCATTTGAAAACTTACCCTTCGCTAGTATTGTCTTCCCTCCTCTTACCAGTGTTAGGGGCATTCCTACTATGTCGTTGCAATCCATGAATTTCCTTATAAGGTCATCAACGAACTGTAGCTCCTTTTGGGTAAGTTCCTGTGTGTATCCCCCTCCCACAAATAACATCCCTATTAATAACAGGATACTCCTAGACATGCTTAGCACTGTGATATATCTCCAGTTGCTTCAAATTTTGGCTTTTGGTATACTATCGAAATCCTTAATTTGAGATCAGTTCTTTTTGTTGCACTACACATTAAAATTTCAAGGTTAATGTTGTCTCCTGTTTTGAATCTCAATATTTTTAAATCGAGAAGATCAAAAAATAAGGTTTATTATTAACAATTTGATAATAATTTGATAGATCAAAGTCATAATTCATAATCTCAAAATGAGAAGATTAATACCAAAGGACACAGAGTACTTGCTGATTTTAAGTTGTACATAACAAGTTTGTGGGTTAATTATGATAATGGAGATAAGTAGATCTGAATACGACTTGATACTTGAGTTTCAATGCCATTAATCGCAAGGGGTGTGTCACTTTAATCTAACCGGTGAGAGTACATTTAAGAGGGATGTGTCAATGTACTAGGGTTAAAGGAAAGCTATCACAAAATAGTATAATGCTGTTATATGTTGTATTTCAAACCAACTTAGGTATGCAAAACAAAAGAGTGAACTGTATTTATTTTAAAGAATGTACAGTTGTAACAAAAGAAGAGTATATTCTTTTTCTGGACACTTGGCAAGCTATCAAAAACCATTGTGGCACAAAAGACTATCAATAGTTGAATAGGCAATAAATGAAACCAAACGGAAGAGTTGAATAGTACTGTCTGTTAGGAGAAATACTGGCATCGGGCTTACGGCCCTCGGCCATTATTTCACCTAACAGTCAGTATTCATGGTTTATACATACCACAATACAGGGTCATGTTTGATATTTTGCCCCTCTTTTAAATGCAGTTTTTGGTGCAGGTGTCTGTGATAGTTAAAATGATCAAGAAATATTTTTCAAAATACTTTAGTTTTTAAAGGATAGGTATGCTCAATTAGTTTAATGTGGGTATATCTTATACACAGCTGCAAAATAAATTGAAGCATTTTTATAAAATTATTTGAGATTTTATTATTTTCTCCTTTAGTGGAAATGTTAAAAAGGGCTATAGTGACGACGACAGTGATAAGTTGGTTGTATATAAACACCGATATATGAATTTTGAAGAACGTGAACGCGAAACGGGGGACTAATTTTCGTTTTCATTGCCTTTATTCGGCGGATTGAGAAGGAAAGTTTAAGAAAAAATTCTATCAAGTCCCTGTACAATCAATTTAGAATGCCAGTAATCCCGAATGGTCCTACTATTACACTTTCACGTCCTTTCAAATAACCTCTTAAACTCTCTAATGTTGATCTGTCTAATGCATATTGATGATTAGTCCTCTAGTCATACAGACCAGAAACAATATCCACGTGTGATGGATCTTCAGTTTGTTCACTCCACTCGTTGGAGATGGCGTTGTAGAAACAGATGGTGGAGCAGTGGGCCATTCACCTGTGTTAGGTGGCGGGACATCAGAAAGCTTCAATCCCTTTTCGTAAATATACCGATCATCTGTTGGATCTAATTGTGCTTCCATACGATCAATTACACTGTTTCCCTTAGAACTCCAAAACCGGACAGTCTGTGGTATAAACCATAATACATCGAGTTCAAAGTGGTCTGTTTTATTCCCTGGGAATAGCTCGAAGTTCAAGATACCATATCGTAATATTAAACTTGAGTTGTCTGGCACTTCTGGGTCAAACAGAATAGTGACGTTTCCATATGCGAAATTTCCATATATTCCGAGATAGGCTGAAATGTCACGCCTGGTTCTGTGTCTTTGCTTGGGTACTCTTGGGTACTCTGAAATAAAGAGTAAATGAATCAACATAATAGGTTTAATATTTAATAATTGAGGATTTAATGGCTTACAACATCAATACATACAGGTGACAAATAGAGGTGTCGTGGACTACTGGCACAGTTTAAAATGACGTGAATCAGTGATAGGACGTATTTTAGTCAGTATAATTTTTCCAAGATGAAATCATGATTACCTAAATACACATCAAATACATCATATACTTACCAAATTGCAGTCCTGATTGTTTCCCGATTTTCTCAAGCAGTGTTTTCAATGCAAACGCTTTTGGAGTCATTGTATTTGGGCTTTTATGAAGTTCTTTCTTGATATCTGGTACAGCCTCTCTGAGCAGGGATGGAATGAGTCTGGTGAATCCCAGGTCCTCATCTTTTACGTCTCCAGGTCTTTCATGTCCAAGGTTGTTGGGGTTACATATAGTACTAGAGTTGTATAGTGGCGTCTCACCTACAAGTATATCATAGACACTGGTAAAATAGGTACAGTTGTACATGAGGTAATGGGCCCACAAATAGATGGCATTAATGGGGTGGAATATTTAATTTTCTCTTTACCTGGCCCCTTCCGTAAGTACATGTAGTTTTGCCTAAATAATTTAAATTATCATTCATATATTCTTCTCTGTCTCTCTCTATACAGGGTGTCAAAAAACAACAGCACCCCCCTCTACAGCAAAAAGTACTTAATGTTACATGGTGTGTCATATCTCATTTTAAAGACAATTTGATACTGGAGTTACCTGAGAAATTTCAGCTTTGTATCATATAATTTTACAGATCTACAGCTGATTCTTATTAGTTGGTATGACCACCAATTGCTGCTCAAACAGCAGCTTATCTGGATGGATATGATTTCAATAAAAATCCACATAAAGGTGTAGCATTGCAGAATCCTCTTCACACTTTCCTCACATTCTTCAGAAATACGTCCTTGCTGTGTCTTTTTTCAAGAGGTTCTATGTCCATCAGTTCCTAATACCCTATTTTTCAGAAATCAACCCATATGTTCAGTGCAGTTGAAATCTGGGCTAATTCTTTCATATTTCACTCTCTGAAGATTTGACTTTTAACCAGTAACAGAGCAGCAAACAACAAAGTACCGACGTAGCAAACTTTGAAACAATGTAGCTTTTTTAATATCAAGTTTTATGAAATCAAATTTGATGAGTAACTCCAGAATTAAATTATCTTTCAAATGAGGTATGACACGATATGGAACATTAACGACTTTTTGATATAGAGGGGGGTGCTGTTGTTTTTTGACACCCTGTATATAGAGGATATCCAATGCTTTTTGAGGGATACCATTTTATCCATGAATCGGCGATATCTAAGATTGGATAAAAATGATAGCCCGAGAAAAGCATAGGGTAAGCCGCTATCATATTTATCCTATGGTCACTAAGTTTTGTATGGATTTAAAATAATTTGACCCCAAAGTTGTTGTTTTCTAATTGCATAGTTGTTTATTCATCAATTATATCAATGTTCATTGTACAGGCAACTGACACCCATGCGGGTGTATATAGTTACATATGATTATATTACGTAATTGTATTAATCAAGATGACAAGATATAAAACTGTTTTTAAAGATAGAAAGTTAGGAGAAAAGTAAAAGAAGAGAAAGAAATATACATATATAAGCACATATAGCTAAATGTTTTACAGATCAATTTAATACTTGTCCAGATAATACTTTTTCAAATCTGACTTAAATTTATTTCTAGAATTCAGATGTTTAGAAGTTTCAGGTAATTCATTCCATGGATGTTGTTTGTCCTATGTATTTAATGCTCCTTTGTCCAAATGTAGATTTAAATTGTTGATTAGCTCTAAGATTGAATCTATAACGTGTCTCTTGACCATGAGTTTGGGCATTTGATATGAAGTAGGCTAGTCATGGAATAAAGTTTGAGGAAATTCTTTAGGTCGTTAGAGACAATTGAATACAAAAATACCAACATTTCGTCTTTTCTCATCTTTTCGTTTTATTTTCTGTGAACAAAATGATTGCATGAAAAAATTCAACTCATTTTTACTGAGCACATAATCTTGTGACTATAGGCCTATTGTTGCAGATCAAACAGACAGGTGCAATTTGGGGCCACATTCAAAACCAATGAAAAAAAAACGTCAAATAAAGACGTCAAATGAGTCGGATACGATTTTAGTTGCGCTTACGGCCAAAATTATCTAGTAGCCTAAGCCTATTGTTATCCCCATATATATTTAGTATCCAACGGATAAATAGAGGATATTCTTTCCCATTTTGAATTATTTTGTCGCAGAACAAACAGACAAGTGGTTATTTGGCGCCAAATTCAAAACTAATGAAAAAATCGTATCCGACGGGTAAGCCTAAGCCTACTATTCTTAAGACGACGGTCCTATACGAGTCGGATACGATTTTAGTGGCGAATAATAAAATAATCTCTTGTCATTTTATCCCCATATATAGTCAGTCAATACTCTTAATACCATTCATTGCAGTCATTCCCGCAACGATAGCAGTTGCGCTCATGCCGCAATATTGATGTAAAATTTAGTGCTGGACTACATGTAGATCTAATATTATTTATTGAATTTGAGTGTTTAAAAATTATACTTTGGGTTCACTATTAATTTAAATAGAATAGTATGACGAATCATCACAGATTGGAGTTATATGATAGACTTTTAGATAATTATGCTTGCGTATCGTATTCACTTCGTATTCTTTAAAAATGGCGCGCTGCACTCGTTTTCGGGAGGAATGATTTCTTGAATAAATGGCTAAGTATATCATTGTGAAACCTTCATGCATTCTATCTTGTAAAGGAGAAATCATTAGTTCGAAGTTCAAACATAGCATAGCAACAATAATCTATCTAGTCTACAAAAATGCCGAAAAGTCGTTCCAGGTAAGAAGTAGAATTATTTTTCGAATATTTTCGATTCCAGCCATTTCCAAAACATTTAAGTATGGGAGAATTTAATACAGGGGCTTGAATGGAGGATCGAACAATGACTTCGTGTGTTCCTATGACTCTCCCTCAGTATCTTCAGATGGATGCAATATTCTCTGAGGGGGGCTTCGCACCTTTCTTTTTAGGAGGACACTGTCTGTGGGTAGCCCTATGTATCCAACAGATACTTCTCGTCAGTCTGTTATGATGTACTACTTTCCTTTGGAAATTGCAGTGAAATTTTTTGCACAAAATTATCAATTAGAGGAACCATTTCTTCAATAAAATAAACATTACAAAATTTCAATTAAGTAGTAAGGTACAATTAAATGCAATAAAAAGTAACACAGCATATTGTCAAGTGGAAATAAAGCTAGATGAAGTAACAAATGTGCAAATTAATTTTGAATAGCACTTCCTACATTGAATGCACTTCCTACATTGAATGCACTTCCTACATTGAATGCACTTCCTATGTAAACAAATATTTTGAATTACCAAGCTTTAACATAGGTGCTTTATAGTCTGAATATAATTCAGACTAAATAGGATATAGTCTAGGGTAGCCCTGCAATTGTACCATTTCAATAAAGATTTCGTATTGGGGCATGATAACTGAAAAAAGCATAATCAAGGGGAGATCACCCGAATTTCGACCATGGGTTTACTTCGTCATGGCCCTATCATGGGCGTAGCGCTATTTTTCTAAGTAGTACGCCACAACCACGGGAACAAGAGTTGAGTGGATCAAAAATGAGCATTCAGGGGGGTTTGGGGGTTCTCCCCCAGGAAAATTTTAAAATTTGGTTGTATTTGGAGCGAATTTGCAACCATCTGGTACGCCTGTGCATACCCAGCTTACCGGGCGCTACGCCCATGCCTATTTCGACCATGGGGCTATTGTGACATCGGCTTATATTTCCGATTCGCGAAGTCCGCCATATTTGTTTTTGAAAAATTTTAAAAATAGATTGAAATTTCCAACAGGCAAGATCTTGAGGTGCCATGGTTCTGACAGGAAATGACATTGACAAAACAGGAAGTGACAAAACCATACTGAATTTTGAATATTTTTTGAACCAAGATAACAGCACAGGGGTTTGGAGATCAGGCAGAGCCACATCGTGTCTAGTGCCACATATCATTTACATGACCAGGATCACAATGTACATGGTCAGAATGACCCTAAACATAATGAAATAACTTTTTCAGCCCTTTGACCATGTACATTGTTATCCTGGTCATGTAAATGATATATTGAACTAGTCAAACTGACTGGAGGTCAAAACAGAATTTCTGTTATCTTACTTGGTTCAAAAAATATTTAAAATCCATTGGAAATTTAAATCATGGTAATTAAAAATTAAAAATGAATGTTTGTATTCCAGAATCAAGCGTGACGTGAAGTATGATGACAAGCATGAGCATGAAATAAGCACCTTATCACAGCGAAGGCTTGTTGCCGATGCATATTGGAGGACTCAAAATACTGGAGACACAGTGAATTTGTGGAGATGGTACATCAAAGATAATGGGCCCTTTACAATTGAGAACTTTAAGAAAGTTGCCTCTAAAGACCTTGACCTTGACTGTGTGGATGAAGATGGCCAGCTATTATATCCCTCAATATCGAGAATACAGCCAGAACCACTCTTTGATATTATTTGCAATAGTAGCAATCCTGCTTGGGTTCCCAGACAACCAACAAATAAACACCAGTCAAAGATAGATATTCTTAAGGTATGTTAAGTGATTCAAGTAAAAAAAACCAAAAATCACTGAAAAAATTAACAATATTCAACTTGACTTTTCCTCCATTTATTGATTACCTTTTGCACCAAAAACTAATAATACATTTACTAGCTAAAGTTCAGTGAAGCTTTTGTCCCTAGTACTGAGAGGTTGTCAAAGCCAAAGACAGCCAAACGAAAATACCAGCCTAAAAAGCACCCATCCAGGTCCAGAGTCCCATTAGAGATATTGCCAGAAGAGCCTGTAGAGAAAATCCGGCACATAGTAAGAAGAAACAGAGGTCCAAATAGGCGCTATATGGACAGTGGTAGGTGCCTATGAAATGATGAGCAAATTCTCCTTATACTTGTGATTCTCTAAATATATTGAAGCACATCAACCTTACTTTACATTTAAGAATATAAGAATACAATATGCCTAAAGTGTCCCCAAATGTATTCATTCCCACTAAATATCAGCCATTAAATCCTGATAATTGTAATAAGTAATGGATAATGATTTTTATGACGCAGGTTGGTGGTTGCTGTCTGTAGCAAATTCTTGCAACTTCCAATAACTTATGCACCATTCAAAAGTCTTCGTGAGATCCCCCACGTGGGTATGGATGGGAATTTGACAAAAACAATTTTGGCCTGTCTTATTCCTTACCCTGGGGCCAGATCTAGTTCTGTGCTGCTTAGTGAATAACATTTTTCATAAATGCTTCATAATGTATTTACAGTGTCAAAGAAACAATGAGAAAAGGATGAAACCAGCCACTTCAAAGCAAATTATCCATTGGATAAATATAAAGCAATAAAGCAAGTCGATGTGGCAAAGGAACAAGTCACAATACAATGACAAGGCATTAACACAAATTGTCACAAACTACCATTTGTTACAGACGCTGAACGCCGAACACAACGTTGGAGACTATAACAATATTTTACCACTTCTTGTGTTGATAAAAATGAAATGCAAGCAGAACTGGTATCGGACAAAAGGATTGTCTGAGAATTCAAGTCCATACCTAATAACATATCGAACAGGGCTTGAGAGGCACGCAGGAAACCGAATGGATCACCCAATGAGTTCCTCGCCATGGATACCCCAATGTTGGCTGTGGGTAACATTGCCATATGCGATGAATAGCCACCCATCCCACCAGAGTGCTGGTATAGAGGCAATCCTGGAAAAGAAAATTTGATAATTCGAGATTAGAAACTTTACAATGCTATGTACAGGGTGATCAAAAATACAGCCCTGTTTTAATAACATGTTATCTCTCCTCATTTCTCATTTAATATGACAAACACGAATTAACATAGCTTCTATGAAGGAAAATATGACCCCTATGGACATCTGTTCCGCTTAAACAAGAAAATACAGATTCACGTATGCAAAAACAGTTTAATATAAATTACAAATTAACCCGTAATACAGTGAAATCATTTTAACCTCTTGAATACCCAGAATGACGGATATATCTGTCACAAATAAAATCCATTTGGAACCCAGAGCGACAGATATATCTGTCCCAGAATTTTTCACTAAAACTGCTAGATAACTTTGGCATTTTTATCCAATCTTCACAAATTATGTTTTAAAATGTATGTAATGGGTCTATGTTTACCATTTTTATGAAATCAAATATTAAACATTGTGTTTTTAGATGTAAATATCCAGAAAACTAGCAGAAAATGAAAAATGCTCTGGTTTTAAACCCTTTTTAGAGGCTGGTATTCAAGAGATTAATAGATAATCTGGATGTTGCAGACTAACCTCTGTGCCATCCAATGAATATACCCTGTCCATATCGATCAGTGCCGTGGCTATAGGGGGCAACTGGTAACGTGTTTCTCGGATTAGGATGACGAGTAAATACAATCGAGGCCTCCCTCATTTTGTTAATGACATCTTCACTGACGACTTGACGACCATTGGCGTCCTTCCCGTGGGTCAACTGGAAAGACAACCATTTCCCGGCATCCTCTGCCGTCAATGCAACTCCAGCACCAGGACCAAGAGCTCTGCCCATACCACTGGAGTATATTAGCAAATATTGGTAGGGGATTTAGTAATCTAATGTAATCGAATGAATATAAAATAAAAAAGATATTTCCATTTATTTGCTCTAACTATTTACTACAATACAGTGACACATGAAAATCATCAGTGCGGCGAAAAGATATTTATAAAATACAATTGTTTAAAATAGTCATTAATAATTCAAACACATTTACCACATTCTTAATCATGATCAACGCTTGAATGGAGACCTGTTTATAAAATCAAAAGTTCATAAAATGTTTGACCCGCGTGAGAATGATAAACCTGATTGACTAAATAGTTCATTATCCAGCTATCTCTTCATAGCATACAAAAAGCTGAAATGCCGTTCAAATGAACACCATAGTAATCCATGTCAATACCTGAATGAAGTCAAATCAAGGGGGCCAGACAATGATTGACCACTAACGGTGATATGCCAACGGGCCCAGTCCGTCCAATTCGTTCTGGGGCCCCAGTCAAGAAATGAACTGTCATTCATATCTTAAATATAAATAAGCATTACACTTAATATCAAATGATCCAACAAATATCAAATGATTATAGTTATTAGATTTGTCGAAATCATGCCCGTAAAAAGATCGTATACGAGGCCCTCGACGCATTTTCCTGTTTGCGGATGTGAAATGATCACGTTAGTACTTTTGTTAACGTTTACAAAATATGGAAACATAGATTTTTATACCTAAATATAGTATTCTTTGGTTTTAAAAAAGGTAACACTGTATACCTAATTTATCGTACAGTTCTTGCTTGACAAGTTCCTCCCATGTTTTGCCAGTCATCTTCTGAGGTATGATACCCAGCAAAGCGTAAAGTGGATTATTATAGTTCCATTGAAGACGCAGTGGTTTTGTAGGCCTGAGGAATCTCAACCGCCTGTAATAACAGCCCAAACTAAACCAGGGGATACATTATTGTATATAATGGGAAGCTATGATTATCCCAACGAACGAAGTTCGTTAGGGATATAGTGAAGCCCTCCGTCCGTCCGTCTGTCCGTCAGTCTGTCAGTCCGTCAGTCAGTCAGTCCGTCCGTCTGTCCGGAAGATAACTCAAATACTAGTTCACAGATTTTCTTCATATTTAGTGGAAAGATGTATATTGGTGAATAGTTTTACGCAAAAAAAATTTTTTCAAGATGGCCGCCGCTTTAAAAATGACGGGACTTTTTCGTAAAAATCATAAATTTTTCATTCTAAACCAAAGTAATTAATATTATTGTTTGAAATTTTGGAAGTGTATTCACAACATTTATCTATTTCACATATATTCCGTGTTTTTCATCCTGACCCCCAGGGGCCATGTATGGGGGGACAGGAAAACAGAAATTTTCGCTAATTTTTAGATCTTTCTGAAGTATAGCTTTATTATACTCAAATGAAAGGCAATTAAGAGTAGATTGCAAATATTGTATCTTTTTTCTGATTCGAGCCTCGTAAAATTCAAAATGACTGTCTAATGTACGATTTCGCAATAATTTTTCGATCCCTTCAAAGTATGGCTATATTATACTCAAATTGAAGGAATTTTGGAGTAGATCACAATTATGGTATTATTTTTCAGATTTGTACCTCAGAAAATTCAAAATGGCTGCTTTGCAGGAATTCGCAATTCTAAAATCTAATTTTTTCATTTTCAACCAAAGTAATGAGTCAATTATGAGTATAATTGATTGGAATTCGGTAATTGATATTTTGTTCGTTGGGATTTGCTACTCCGCGGAGTTGCCGTTATCTAGTTGAGTTATGGTTTTATGGTTCAATTTTTCAGTTTATTCATGTCTGGCGAATTTCTTTTCTTTAGCGGTTAAAGCTGACTAGTTAACATTGTGCAAGGGTAGGTTACATGTATGTCAATGGGCTTACAACTAATTGTTTCTCCATTGCAGTCTGTTCCGCGCGTTTCTCTTCCTCCACAGAAAAGGACTGTGGCCGAACGTTAATTTTATTTAGCCTAGTGTAGAAGAATCTATGTTCAATTTAATCTAAGTCAAAGAATGTGAAGGGTAGAACGATTGAGACACAATAGTACTGAACGAACGACTCGGAAACGAACAAAGTTGCCACAAAATAAATAGTGATTGAACTTTCCAATACAAATATTAATTCTGATATCTTACGGTATGATTTCTTCTCTACTGAAGACGTCAGCAGCCATAAGTGTTGGGTGTCCAGGAATACCTGTTTTGTGAGCGATAACATCTCTCAATGACACCTCTTTGGTTAGCCAGGGGTCATAAAAGTGGAATTCTTCCCCAAGGCTCCGCATTATGTCACTTACAGGCGAGTCCCATGTTATGCTAGAAATGACATTTTGCATAATTTCATCAATCATTATGTTAACCATTCTTTGTTATGCAACTAATGACTTGGGGGCTTTCAATTGATTAAAAATTTGTCATGTTAGAAAGTCTCGCTTAATGCCATCTCAAGATTAGTACTCGGTATCTGAAAACAAAATACAGTAAAGACCTTTCCGATAAGTCCATTTTTGAATCAAGGAAATGTGAAAGAAACTGGACAAACTGGGGGAACTGTAGTGACACCATAACCAATAACACTGCGAATAAGGAAAATAACGTTTTGGTGAAATAACGAACATACTGTTTCTTATCATGTTTATGGCTTACTTTGTATTTTGAATCAGATGCGATATGATTGTTCCAGTGAAGTGTTTAGAAACAGAAGCCATTGGAAATATGGTTTTGTTTGTGACGGGGACATCTCGCTTATCATCGGAATAATCCTCAGCCAATCCATAGCCTAAAATAAAAAGGAATGTATTACATAAGGCTATGGAGGAAACATATTCCAATAAATGATTTGTATTTTTCAACCCCTATTTTTTACAAAAATTATATATCCCCCTGAAAAAACCCGAAAACTAAACTATATTTTAAATTTGCCCACATCCTTTTGATGAAAAATAGCAAAATTGAGAAAATATTGCAAACACAATAAGTGTACATGTAAGCTTACCCTTCGCCAAGACAGTCTTCCCTCCTCTTACCAGCGTTAGGGGCATTCCTACAATGTCATTGCACTTCATTAATTCCCTTATAAGGTCATCAACGAACTGTAGCTCCTTTTGGGTAAGTTCCTGTGTGTATCCCCCTCCCACATTCAATGTGGCCACTAGAAGCAACATACTTGGCACCCAGACCATGCTGGTATTTAGTAGTCTAACCATCCAAGAGCAAAAAACAAATGTTTTAGATTTTTGGCCGACTAATGAGGCTTTTATAACGATGAAGGCTGAATGAAAATTCTCTAAAGTTTAAATCCAAATGGTGTCTAGTGGTTTCTCAGTGGTTAAGGTTATATCACGATTATAAAACTTATTTTTATTACACATTTAATATTTGTACAAGTCTTCACTCTTTAGGACATTGATCTATGTTACTGAAGTACATCATATCAAAATATAGTTCATTAAGATAACAGGGCAAGTGAGAGCTTTGATGCTAATGTCATTTACAAATTAAAAGTTGAGATTTCGTAAACATAAAAAGTTAAAAGTACGTAGAACCTCAAATTATTTAAAAATATTTTTTTGACTTTTGTATTGTTTTGATTGGAGATTTTCCTCGAGGAATATTTAATCATAGATGTCATAACCATGATAACGTTCTATTTAATAACTCGTAAATTAACAAGGCATTAACATGACAAAATGTCACCACCTATTTTGAAAAAAAAAATTAGTCAATTTGAAGCAAGTTGAAAAAAGACCTTTTTGACCTTTTTGACCTTGAGAAGGTCAAATGTCAAATCTAAAGTCATATTTGAATTTCTGAGAACATGTAGATGATTTTGAAAAAATATTTAGTCAATTTGAAGCAAGATGAAAAAATACCTTTTTGACCTTTTTTGACATTGAGAAGGTCATTGAAGGTCAAATGTCAAATCTAAAGTCAGATTTGAATTTCTGAGAACATGTAGATGATTTTGAAAAAAAAATTTAGTCAATTTGAAGCAAGCTGAAAAAAGACCTTTTTGACCTTTTTTGACTTTGAGAAGGTCATTGAAGGTCAAATGTCAAATCTTAAGTCAAATCTAAAGTCAGATTTGAATTTCTGAGAACACGTAGATGATTTTGAAAATTTTTTTAGTCAATTTGAAGCAAGTTGAAAACAGACCTTTTTGACCTTGAGAAGGTCATTGAAGGTCAAATGTCAAATCTTAAGTCAAATCTTAAGTCAGATTTGAATTTCTGAGAACACATAGATGATTTTGAAAAAAAAATTTAGTCAATTTGAAGCAAGTTGAAAACAGACCTTTTTGACCTTTTTTGACCTTGAGAAGGTCATTGAAGGTCAAATATCAAATCTAAAGTCAGATTTGAATTTCTGAGAACATGTAGATGATTTTGAAAAAAAAATTAGTCAATTTGAAGCAAGTTGAAAAAAGACCTTTTTGACCTTTTTTGACTTTGAGAAGGTCATTGAAGGTCAAATGTCAAATCTTAAGTCAAATCTAAAGTCAGATTTGAATTTCTGCGAACACGTAGATGATTTTGAAAATTTTTTTTAGTCAATTTGAAGCAAGTTGAAAACAGACCTTTTTGACCTTTTTTGACCTTGAGAAGGTCATTGAAGGTCAAATGTCAAATCTAAAGTCAGATTTGAATTTCTGAGAACATGTAGATGATTTTGAAAAAAAAATTTAGTCAATTTGAAGCAAGTTGAAAAAAGACCTTTTTGACCTTTTTTGACTTTGAGAAGGTCATTGAAGGTCAAATGTCAAATCTTAAGTCAAATCTAAAGTCAGATTTGAATTTCTGAGAACACGTACATGATTTTGAAAATTTTTTTTAGTCAATTTGAAGCAAGTTGAAAACAGACCTTTTTGACCTTTTTTGACCTTGAGAAGGTCATTGAAGGTCAAATGTCAAATCTTAAGTCAAATCTTAAGTCAGATTTGAATTTCTGAGAACAGGTAGATGATTTTGAAAAAAAAATTTAGTCAATTTGAAGCAAGTTGAAAACAGACCTTTTTGACCTTTTTTGACCTTGAGAAGGTCATTGAAGGTCAAATGTCAAATCTACAGTCAGATTCGAAGGTCAAATGTCAAATCTAAAGTCAGATTTGAATTTCTGAGAACATGTAGATGATTTTGAATAAAAATTTAGTCAATGTGAAGCAAGTTGAAAAAAGACCTTTTTGACCTTGAGAAGGTCATTGAAGGTCAAATGTCAAATCTAAAGTCAGATTTGAACTTCTGAGAACATGTAGATGATTTAGAAAAAAATTGAAGTCAGTCTAAACAGTATTTGTTAAGTTATAGGAAGTTGTAAGAAATTGTTACAGACGCCAACCGCCGGACGCCAACCACCAACCGCCGGACGCCAACCGCCGTCGCAAAAAAACGGAGACCATAACAATATGTCACCACTTTTGGTGGTGACATAATAATAACTAACAAGGCATTAACATGCAAAATATCCTATCATTTGTTACTGGACACCATCCGCCTAATGCCATCACAAAAAACAAAAAATTGAAGACTTACATGTCAATACTTGTGGTGGTGATAAAATAGGATACCTGGAAGAATAATAATTTGAATTTTCATATATTGAGATATACAGAGTGGGTCAAAAAACCATGTATGTATGATTCACATGATATAGCTTAAACCATGCCATGTATTATATATCATTTTAAAGATAAATCATTTCCTAATAACTTGACACCATCCGATTGAAAAACTCTTGCTTTCTTGTGAAGTTAGAGCCTAAAATTGACACTAGAGCAACCAAAATCAGTAAATGAAAATCAAAAAATGTACACCCATATTGCAGTCACCACTGCACTTAATATGCTTGACCGAATCATTATTACACACTCAGAGGCCCGCACATAGTGACAGATGGCATGCTGAATACTCCATATTTGATGTGAGTGAAGAACCTGATAACTACAGACTTAAAATTGGAGGTTAGAGTGGAGATGCTGAGGATTCACTTGCTTACCATTCACTAAAAAGGACTGTGATCATGATAAATACAGCGGCAATTGTGCTGTTATTCACAAAGGGGCTTGGTGGTATGCCTGCCCTTTTCGAATCTGTTTGGTTTCTATAGTACTAAAGCTAGGTGCGATCTTAGTAGTTAGTGTGTGACATGGTACCATTGGCCAAACAGAATAAGCTCATCTAACATTTTTTACTATTCTTTCAAAAAGATTGACATGAAAGTTTGTCCAAAATAAGAGTATCCTCCATATTTTACTATGATACACAATGTCAGACAATATAGAGGACATTTGAATTATTGCTAATGGAAATGCGAAGATATCAAAATGATAAATAATTTAACTATTTCTTGATTGATCTCTGCAATGTAGAAATATATAGAGTTGAGAAGTTATAATTTATTCTGTCCATTAATCATGTTAATTTCAACGAATATTGTAAGAAGTTCAGATTTTATAATTACCACAAAAACCAGCGGTCATATACATTGATATTAACAATAAAAAAAGATTGCTCCGATTGAATTCCTTAATTGAACTTTTATCATCACTAATATGGCAAGGTGTGTGATTGCCAACCTTTAGTCACATTATATGTATACATACACATACATACACACCCATGGTCCTCATTAGGTATTGATCAGTAATGCCAGTTTGTTATCTAAATTGGTGTATTGGTTTGGTGTATCAAGAGGTGTTGCCATCGACAACATGCTAAATAAATGATGTCACTCATTCATTAGCTTAGTTATTTTATGTTACTAGTGCGTGGAATTTTTGTACTGATCATAAACAAGTTATTCAAAAATTTATCAAATGCATTTATATGTATAATTATGTTTTATTTATGGTTCATACATGACCAATGACAAGCCTGGTTTAAGAACCATGAACATATTACGACTGCAACTGCCACTCCGTTGAAAATGATTTCAGAGCACATTGATGTAAAATGTCTGGAATAGTTCAAAATTATATCAATGTCATATCTCCATATCTACTATTCCAGTATTCAATATTGTTAATGTCAGCTCTGCTTGGTGTTCCTCATTGCAGGTGTCAGGTTTGAGATGTTACTGTCTTTAATGATGTCAGCTCTCTTAGGTGTCAAGTCTGAGATGTCTTTGTTTTCTGTGACTGTTGCCTCTCCTTGAATTTTCTTTTATTCATGTTCTGCCTGGATATACAAAAAACATAAACATTTTCATATTTTGTTGTAAGTGGCTAATGAAAACTCTGTATGGGAGCTGTGGTACTTTGCATGCTTAGAATACGATTAACAAATATAACTAGAAAACAGAAACTCCCCAAGTAGCAAATCCCACCAAACAAAACATATTTTATCAAATTATTCATCATTTTAAATATTTCATGATAGAAAAACCATAAAGTAGAAGAGTAGTATTGTCACCCTTTGGCAAAACCTACTCCCATATACAGATAAATGACACCATATCAGAAGTTCCTTCTCTCTATGCCATCCAATTAGTGTTGTTATTAAATAACCAATACAGGTATGTTAGTGACAGATTAATCTAAATCTGCAAATTAAGGATATGTGATTTCAAAAACATTCAGGATCTCACAAATTCCACTCTTTTGAAAAGTGAAAATTGGTAGGGCAAATCCGACACCAATAGTCTAGAATTGTTTCCTTTTGGCATTATGTTAGGGACACATTGAGGCTTACAATCAAATGTCAAATTGTCAATATTCAAGTTAAAATAGACCTATTACGCATTTAAAGTATGATGATTTTTGACAGAAAAAAACAAAGCAAACAAGTAGCCTACTGGAGAGTGGACATGTGGTATATTGCCAAATAATTATGAAACCCTAGAAATCCTAATACACAAGATAATTCCTCCTGGCTTCCTTCTGATCGAAGTATCTCAGATCTGACCTAAAAGTTTGTTTAAATACTTCAAGTATCATGAGTAACAATTTTACTTAACAAGTTTTCTGTACATACTATTTCTTTTAATTTCTATCACTTCTCTATGAATGCTCCACTGATAAGTGAATGGATCCAAGGAGTTTTGTGTTTTCTGCTGACAATGAATGTTTTTTCTCCCGGTGTTAAGCCATCCACATTTTATTACATTTTATTCAATAAAAACAAAAGTTAAAAATTATGATAGTTAGAAAGATATCTTACAATGATGCATAACAAACAGATCAATACTTTTAAATGAGCAATAAATAGTTATAATGTTGTTTTGTTACTCATTATATGTAAATATGGAGATGAGGTGAAAATGACTTAATACAAAACTTCAAACAATATTGTTTATTATATATTACCTCGTTAATAAATATTATAAAACAAAACCAGACAATTAAATAACACACTGTTAAAGTCATGATCTACCTTTAATCTACTAAGTATATATTTGTGAAGATAAGCCCCCATAAAATAAAATATATTTTGACTTGTAAAATACGAACACAAATGTAAAATCGATTAACCTTGTTGAATTTTTACTATATGATATTCTTTGTATGATATGATATGAATTTGAAATAAAATGATTAAAAATAATATGAGGGGTGATAATAAAATTCTTGAAACCCACTCATTTTTTTCAATATTCTTTATTGAAATTTTCAAAGAAGGTGCAATTTATGGAGCAAAAAATATTCAGGTAAATATTTAATTGGAAATCAAATAGAATTCTAAATTATATATGTTGTTAACAATTATCTAACAATAATGAATAGTGTAATGTCACACTATCCACATCGTTCTCACTTGATCTGGAAGGTAAAGCATGTCTTTAAATCACAATAAAATTGCACATATTTGCTTGATGCTAAGCAACCAAGTTAATGATGCATGCAATATGAAAATTTATGTTTTTGATTATGAGAAAATTAGTTTTAACAGAGCACCATCAACATCATATCTAATCAACACACGTCTTGCTAGAATCATGTGTCTGAAAGTATTGTTGATAGTATTCCTCGTTGGACATGTACATTTGCAGAAAAAAGGAAGTACATGCAAGAAATGGCATATTTACGAACTTGAAACACACCTGAGAACACAGCTTAATGAACTTAAATCAGACACACAAATTTGCTGCATTAAAAATGAGAGAGACAATATACTTCAAATTAAGGGTAATATCACAAAGGCTGGAGTAACCATTGAAGAAGTAAATGCTAAAGCAGAAGAAATGAAAAATGATGTTAAAGAGATGAAAGCAGATGTTGGAAGACTTAGTACAGAACTTAACAATTTTAAAACAGATGCTCAAAATTGTTGCAACACAAATAAGGAACAAATGAATGCAGTAAATGATAAATTGGAAGAAGTAAATGATAAAGTAGATGGCATTAAAGCTGATGTAGCTCTCATAAAAAATCACTTGAAAATGATACGGAACAATTCACAATGTAAATCAGAAGGTAAGACTGTAAATACTTATCAGATTAATTGGTTCACATGGCATTTTTACTCTACAGTAGTTGTATAAAGTCAGACAATTGATTCTCATCCATACCATACAATTTTAAACCTATATTGAGATGAGAGATTACAATAATTAGTTGAAAAATAAGCAAGGAATTAACCTCTTTGATTCACTTCAAAAAATCAAAGAACACGTAACAGTTTTTACAATTTCTTGTCTTCCAGTAACATCTCATGACTGTCGTGATGACACAAGCTTTACTGGTGTAAGAACAATCCAACCACAGGGACAAACTGCATTCAGAGTATACTGTAGTGGTGGGTGTGTCTACATGGCAAGGCGCTTTAACGGGAGTGTTGACTTCTACAGAACCTGGGTAGAGTATCAAAGAGGATTTGGAAGCCCTCTAGGTGAACACTTCATTGGCCTGAACAACCTTCATGGTTTACTAAATCAAGGGAACTATAAACTCAGAATTGATCTTACCATGTGGCCCCCACAGAGTGAAACCCGTCACGCTGAATACTCCATATTTGATGTGAGTGATGAACGTGATAACTACACATTGACAATTGGAGGTTATAGTGGGACTGCAGGGGACTCTCTTGCTTACCACAATGGTATGGCATTTAGTACAAAAGACCGTGATCATGATAGACATCACAGTTTCAATTGTGCTGTCCAAACTAAAGGGGCTTGGTGGTATAAGTCCTGCAACCATTCAAATCTATTTGGTTTATATAGCACTAATGCTAGTTGTCCTTTTAGTGAGTGTGTGACATGGAAAAAATGGCAATCTCATGCATATTCTTTTAAAAAAGTTGACATGAAAGTTTGTCCAAAATAAGATTATCCTCAATATTCTTTTTTTTCTTTTCAAATATAGTTTATTCCAATTCACATTGTTAACTATAGAAATCTACAATATTAGAAAATTCCATGGTGGAGTTTTTGAGAAAATGACATATTGATAGCGGTTTATAATGGCAGGCAATGGGGATTTTCCAAAATTCAAACGCAAATATCTTTTGAACTAGGTAAAAGAAAACAATTAACCCTTCTTATTCTATTATATTCATGTTCTTGTAACATACTAGGAATGTGGGCTTTATTGCTCTAGAACTTTTATGCAGGGGGTCTTTTGAAGATTGATAAATTGACATGGAGCTCAATGTAAATGTGCAAAATTTTCGAAACTGAAACTATTATGAAACTGGGGCCACTTTTCAACACCACTTCGTTAGATATCAAAAATATATGTTTTGATGATACTTATGTCAAAAGATGGTGCTGTATATAAAGCAAGTGCAATTGAACACCTAACTGACTACACTATTTCATCATATGATCAATATTTTATTTTTAGGGGTAATTTTATGATTATGTTTTCAATATGTTGCCCTTTTGTGTTCCACCTTAATGATGACAAACAAAAACAAAAATGATATTTGGAATGACTTGTAAAGTCAAATTTAAACACACTGAATGACCGTAGTTTTAATCCTAATGACCCAATTCCATTTTGGATATGTTCATAATTGATTAAAGTAACTATGTATTTCAATGTTATTATCAAAGAAACCTTTGGTGGCGCCTTTAGGTACTTTGGGTAATGGATGCTTAAGTATTGAAATAAAGTGATAACTGCATCCTGTCTTGCAAGTAACTTATAATATATTAAAATAAACTAAAATAATTGTGATTCCAATTTTTTGCCCCTCCCACTTTTGGGGTGACCTTACTTTTGCTGTATAACATCTAATATATGCACCATATGATTATGTGCTAAAATTTAATATTGAAAAAGTGATGAATATGTCCTGTCTTGCAGGTAACTAATAATATGTTAAAATAAACTAAAATAATGGAAAATGATTGAGATTTCATTTTTTGCACCTCCTACTTTTGGGGTGACCTTATTTTTGCTGTATAACACCTAATATATGCACCAAATGATTATGTGCTAAAATTTAATATTGAAAAAAGTGATAAATATGTCCTGTCTTGCAAGCAGCTAATACATGTATATAAAAAAACACTAAAATAATAACAAATAATTGAGATTTCATTTTTCTGCCCATTCCACTTTTGTGGTGACCTTACTTTTGCTATCGACCAGTATTTGAGTTATCACCCAGAAACATGAACAAATGGACAGACACACAAACATCTTCTCTATATCCCAGCCAATTTTGTTTTGTGGTGGGATAACAATATTTCATGCAAATAACACATTAGGCATACCTTATTCACATTTTGTTTGATTCATTTAGATTAAAATTACCTCTTTAGCCTTGACTTCATTATTTCTTCTTTCAGCACTGTGCGAATGGTCTTTCTGTCTGGATTCGTCTGACTCATCTGCCTTTTCTGTTTCCTAAAATACAATTTTCAATGATTAAAGCTTTATTTTTCCTAAAATTACGCAAAAATGATAAACTATTGATAGATATTTTTGCATTAATTTTGGTAGTCAGACAAAAAACTAAGAATAATTTGTTCATTCAACACCTGAAACAAGAGAGGTTTCTTTAGAATCAATTGCTTTATTCAAGTTTTTACACCAAATTACCATCACAAAAATGATAAATATCTCATGAATCCATAATGCGTCATCGTGTAACGTTTTTCTGTTTCGGATTTCTACACTTACTTATTAGGTTTATTAATTTTTAACATGTACTCAGGCACTGGACATCCCGCCTCTTTCATCACATTTGCTATACTGGAAACAAAAGTAGAGAAAGATAAAAACAGCTAAAACTGAATCATTTTTTTCTAAACAAAAATATATGGAAATAAGAGATAAATACATGCCTTGCATTGATGTACAATAGAACTGCTGGACTATTTTTGACAGAAATGATCAGTATGTTTGATTCTATTTTTCTCAGGCAATGTTGTGAAAATGATATATAGTGATGTTGCTATTTTGTCACAATCATGGGTTCATGAAATTAACCAAAAAAACAACAAAAATTGAAAAAAAAATTCACAAATACATAAACAAGCAAACACATAATAATGAAACAAGCAAGTAAACAAACAAACCAACCTTCTGAGCAAAACTGAATCATTTTCTGTGAAGAAAGTAACTGCTCTTCCTGACCTGCCAGCCCTACCAGTTCTTCCTGTAATTTGAAAACACAGTGGGTGAGAAAGATAATATTATAATAATGAAACTCAGATACCAGACCAGTCCTATATCTAACAACTCATAACATTAAACATTTTTAAATAACCAGGCAATTATTCATATAACCAGCTCTATGCCTTAATATGGTACATAAGAAGACCTACCTATTCTATGTATGTAGCCAACTGCGCTATTAGGAAAATCATAATTGATGACAAGATTTACACCCTTGAAGTCTATCCCACGTCCCATTAGCTCTGTACATATTAACACCCATATGTGGCCTGATCTAAAGCTCTTTACAACATTGTCTCTCTGCAACACAAGAACAGGTGAAAATGTAGAAATCAAAATAACCTTTCCATTTGAGGGTCAAATTTGGCAAACAAAAGTCACAATGTTTTTAAAAACCTGTATTTAATTCAAAGACAAGAAAAAATGCCAACTCGAGAAATATCTTTTCCTAAGGGGTCAGGTGAATAAACATTTATTTGGCAATATCTTATTTCCAATTTAGACAAATGCTTTGAATTAATATCATGCTTTACTTATCATATTTAGTTTCAACTGTTAGAAACGTTTCTGGTTCAGTTAATTTTTTAAGATGCCATAATGGAAGTGATGTCCAAATTTTTTATTAAATTATTAACAATGGACAAAAGCAATTTTTCAAGATTTTTTGGAGCACCCTTGTACCTGTTTCTGTGTCCGATCAGCATGAATGACATCCACATTAACACCATCATATATCAATTCATGAAACAATTCTTTCGCTCTCTCTTTGGACTGGACAAACACCAGAACTGGTGGCTCAAAACCCTGAAATATAAATAAAACAAGGCATTAACATGCAAAATGTCACCACCTGCCATTTGTTACATATGCCGAATGCCAAAACACCAACCATTGAACTCTACACACCAACTGCCTGTTTAATGAGATTTAAAAATATTTCTTAAATTTTTTCATGGCTATTTACAGCCGATTGTCTGACTATAGTACCTTTTGAATGATGTTCCGGAAGGCATACAATTTACCAGATTCACTACCACAAAACACAAGTTCTTGCTGTATTGTATTCTGGGCTGAGTTTCTGGAAAAAACAAAGGATGTAAAAATCATTCCCTGCAATCTTTAATATTTATTATTGGACGGTTTAAATTTTATTGAAGGCAATTTGAAAGAATTTGAATTGTAAACATTGTTTTTTTATTTTGTTCACTTTATACAACGGCACAAAAAATGCATTATGCTATGTACCTTATATTCTCAGTGAACTAATGTTCATGAATATTCAAATGTATATTGGTCATACATTTAATGACAATGGAAAAAAGAGAGGAAACTTTGAATATTGTGGTATTATCATTTATTCCACCTCTAAATACTGAACCATACCTTGCACCAATGTAGACTTGTACAACATTGTCCAAGTGAAGTTTGCACCACTCTTCAACGTCATGCGCAAATGTTGCAGAAAACATTGCACGACGCACACTTGGGCCATCACAAGCTTTATAAATAGCACCCAACTGGAATGAAAATAGCATTTAATGTCTTAAACCTATGAGATTTATTTCCACAAGCTCATTCTAATTTTACAAAGTGTTTTATTTTATCAGGATACTTTTGTAATTTTCAATTGACTTTTTCATATTTGATAGTCAGATATGTTCTGATCAATTATTATGATAATTCTTAATTCAGGAATTATGAATAGACAACATTTTTGTGTGCCTTTCTATATTAAACAACAATTAGAAGTATCGTCTTATAAAATAAACTTGCAAAAAACTTGTAGCAAGAAAATTAAATCAGAAAGGGAGAACAAAGTAAAGCAAACACCTAATGTACCTGTTCTCTGAAGCCCAACTTTCCTTCTTCAAATAACTTATCAGATTCATCAATCACCAACCACTCGATGCTGAAATATTTCAAAATTTGTAATTATGACAAACATTAATGCGATTGCATCAGTAATTAAATACATTATAAATACACCCAAGATATGAATTCCATTCAAAGGACCCGTTGCAGATTCTATTACCGCCCCCCATGAAAAAACATATAGATTCCACAGCCACTCAGTGGTGAAATATCTAAAAATTTGTAATTATGACAGGCACTTATGTGTTCGTGTCAGTTGTTAAATACATTATACAGTCACCCACAATATCATATGAAATCTATGCAAATTTGTATTGTTGATGAAACAACTGACAAAATATGAAACTCACTGATATGATCAATTCTTTGTCAACAGATGATTTCAATTGTTTTGACATGGAGTTGATACTTACTTTTTCAGAGAGATAACTGGAGGCTCTTGTTGTATGAGATACACTAGTCTGTTTGGGGTGGTAATTAAAATATCTGTAATAAAATTGATCACATATCAAAGGGGTTAAGGTAGGCAGTGTCAAATAAATAATTTGGCTAATAACTAACACAGAGACTCACATTACGATGTCATGTGGAAAAATGGAAAAGTATGATGTCAAGTGGAAAAAATTAAGGTGGGTAGTGTCAAATAAATAATTCGACTGATTAACACACACAGAGACTCACATTATGAAGTCATGTGGAAAAGTATGATGTCAAGTGGAAAAAATTAAGGTGGGTAGTGTCAAATAAATAATTCGACTGATTAACACACACAGAGACTCACATTATGAAGTCATGTGGAAAAGTATGATGTCAAGTGGAACAATTTAAGGTGGGAAGTACCAGACAAATAATTTGGCAAACTAACGTGTTTTTACAGAGATTCACATTATTACGCTTTTAAGTGGATAAAGCGAACTTCTATTTACAGAAAATCTTACCAAATTTTTGGGAAGTCTTGCGTCCAAATTTTTTTCTGGCTGTTTCTGCTTTTTCAATGATATGCACTCGGAATCCAAGTCCCTCTGACAGTCTGAGACACTCTCTGTAGGTCTGGAAATAATCAGCACATGCTCATATAGTAAACGTGTGATAGAGCTTCAAAAACTGATTAAAATGAAAATTGTTCATCACAGTGAAATGAATTTCTTAGTTTTCTTAATCTGCCACAATAAGACTCCCATGTTAAAAAACCTATGTGATCCTGCTAATCCATACGCTTTTGAGCAGTCACAGTGGCATTTGGATTATACAGGTTTCACTGTAGTTGTACCTGCTGGGCTAATTCCCTTGTTGGAGCAAGCACTAAAGCTCTGAAGCCAAGTTTCCTAGGTCCTTTCAGTTGATGTAATATTGGCAACAAAAAGGCAGCTGTTTTCCCTGAGCCAGTAGGGGCACATGCCATAATATCCCTACCCTGAAAAGTAAAAATAAATCACTTCAATGAAAAATTAAGAACATTGTTACAGTGTTACACAGGTAACCTTAGTTAAATAAAAGATCAAATTAAAATATCAGTATTTTTTTCTCAAAAATTAATTTAATGAAAGCTCAGGCCCCCTCCTTGTACATTGAATCTTATCGCATGTTGAGTTATACCATTGATTTTAATAAGATATTTGGAAAGGCTAAAAAGAAAAGGTGAAGGTTATATAGGGAAGTATGGATCCATAGAACACAGATGTTTTCAACACTCTGGACTTCAATGGAAATAAACTCACTGAAAAACAGAATAATATTCATTTATGAATTACTTACGGCTAACATGACAGGCACAGCTTGCATCTGTATAGGTGTAGGAGCCTTGTAACCAGACTCAGAAATATTCTCTATGATTTTACTACTGAATACATGCTCGTCACACAACTGCTGGAAGCTTTCTACTGGATCTGGGATGTCTGTTCCGTAAACATTGATCTTGTGCTGGTTCCGGAAATGATTAATCTATAATAAATGAAATAAAATAAAAGCTCAATTTCATTAACCTAATTAACTAATTAAGGTAGAAGTCAGTCCTTTCATTACTTTTTGCTCAGGCAGCAAAAGTCCCATAACAGCGAGTGCTAAGGTGACTAATGTTAAGAGACAATATATAAACATCCAACCATTTCATTTGTTTGTGGAAGATCCACAAACAAAAGCTGAAATAGTCTACATAATTTTATAATAGAACTTGTTAAAATAAACATTGTGATGTAAAATTTCATTGAAAGAGATCAAAATAAATTTTAAATATTAAAAAAATCTATTCAATGAGAACTTTCAAATATCCATGTAATAATAATTTCTAAAATTTATTTTCACAAATAAGTTTTTAAAACAAATTATGCTTTCTTACTTTTTCTTGATGCTGCTCTTTAAGTTTACTCGCTGATACTTTCTTCTTTTTTTTCTTTCGTTTTACATTTGATTTGTCGCCTTTTATGTCAGATCGTAAACTCCCAAGTAGCTGAAGCTCTGTGTATTCTCCATCTGATTCTGATTCTTCATTTGAATCTGAAATGGAACATGTAGTTATGGTTAACATTTGAGTTGTCCCCTTTTATGTCAGATCGTAAACTCCCGAGTAGCTGAAGCTCTGTGTATTCTCCATCAGATCCCGATTCATCATTTGAATCTGAAATGAACCATGTAGTCATATTGTTAATGTGATTCACATTTTACTTTCTTAAAGAGATCGGGTCTCCTAAAACACAATTAGAGTAACCCCCTGATTTTTTCGTGTTATTTGATGTAAAACAAGTTTGTTTTTCAACTTATCAATTCTGAGGCTTGAATTAATTCGTTAACAGTATCAATTCGATGATTGTTCCTAGCCATGAATTTCCACTTACATCAATAGAAATTAAAATTAAAATTTAAAAAGCCCGCTCAAATTTGTTCCAGTCTGATTGGCTTTTTCCTTCAGATTATTTTGGCTTAGAGAAGCCATATTTATTACTTCTAAGGGGTTACAATATAGATAAATCCCCAAAAAACATTGTATTCTGTTATCGACTTATTGCGTTCAATTCTGACAGTTGGTTGTTCCTTTGGTTGTCCTGTTGATATCCTCAATATATTGGTGATATTGTGCTTATGATTTGGTCTCAAGATATATCAAAGGTATATATGATGTTTTATGAGCAATTATATTGGGACATTACTGATTGTCCAGAATAGAAATCTGGATGACTCGATCTCTTTAAACGAGACACACATGCTACTTGTAAATATTACATTTTAAAGAGAAAAGGAACTGCCATGTAATTAACCCAACATGTCCAAAACCTTACCAGAAGTTTGCACTAGTTTTTTGCATCTGTACAAATTTCAATGAAGGGAAAAGTGGCTTTCCTAATATTTTATGTGATGCTTGCCTCCTGGCAAAGACGGATGCATGCACACATGCCCATCGTTATTATGTAAACTGAATATAAATGCAATTTGTGAAGTAAAGTGCAATTATGGGTCGAAGTTAAGTTATTGAACTATGAGTAAAGAGTTTACAAGTTCACATTTTATTTTGATCACAAAAAGAGCTAACTGATTCAGTACAAAAACTGTTATAGATGTATATATTTTGTGAGAAAAAACCAAATTAGCAATTCAACGATCATATTCTGTCAACTTTTCCTGTTTCTAATTGAACCATATTTATTTGAATGTGCCACTTAAAAATTAATACACAACAAGGCATGCAAAATGTCACTACCTGCCATTTGTTACAGATACAGACCTCCAAATACCGAACATCATCCACAAAAAAACACAACCCCAAAACTACTGTTAACATTGCTCCTTATATTATATTTCATTAAGTTCCATCAATTCTTCTATAATGCCATGCATGTATTTGGCGATTGAAGATTTTGTAAATGTTATGTAATGAATGAGGATAATTAATAAATAAATAAATAAAAAAAACAAAAAAACAAAACAAAAAAAGTCGAAGACTATAACAATATGTCACCACTTGTGGTGGTGACATAAAATATACTATAACAATATTACCATCTTCAATCTCATCATCTAGTTTTCTTTTTCTTTTCTTGCCAGGCTCCTTAACTGTTTCATTTTGTGTAGTAGGAGATACTTTTTCAACGCTTGATGGTTCTGGTGCAGATTCATTCTGGTTCGTACCAAAGAAATCTAATGACTTGGTATTATGACTTGTGTCGGTCTTGATAATCTGAAAACATATAAACAATTAGCAAGGGATGGAAAGTAGCATATACTGTAATCCCTGATTGACAAGTGATTGAAAAATCTCATACATTTATCCATAATGAAAGTGGCCATTATGCATAATTCATATTCATATGCGATTAATGACAAACATGATGAGGACATCTACAGGAATCAAGCCCTACATGTTTAATCTTCTACAATCTGACAATATAGATCCATACATGTAATATCTGATACCTGAGGTGAGGTGAGGCTTGATTTGCTTCTATTTCACAGTCAATATGGCACTACGAAAATGGGACTTCTGTGCATGTTAAAATTTTTCTTCAAAACTCAACTTTGTTTGTCGTAACATATCTACTGTTCAGCACATATCAATACAAGATATAAACAGCCATACGATTTCAGGTTGCACAGTGTATTTTATACATTTACATGTACTGTACCTCACAGCTGTACCTTGGGGCTGAAAATGTACCTGCACACTAGAGGCTACAAAGAGTCTGCCTCTGTAATTTTGTGGCAATCAAAAACAATTGAAATAAGTCACATATCGAAATTTCTAAATCTAACAATTACGTAAATATTAATTCGTTCAAGATTCTTCTTTAAAGAGAATAGAATATTAATTTGTATATTTATTTTCAGTCCTCAATTATCGCCCACCATTTTTAAAATATGACTTGTTGCTCCAGTATACGTGAACATCTGACTATATGAACTAAAAGTTTCATATGAAAATATCAAAGTATATTTTTTACAATTTAAAACTTACTTTTAACTTTTGTGCATCTTGGCGAAATCGTTGAAAATCGAATTTAGCCCCGGCTCCGAGTTTTCTGAAAATGTCCATGCTGAAGACTCTCGCGAGATTTTGAAGTTCTTGTAATTTCAAAGTGGTGTATCTTCCTGAATATAGCTATATAAAACTTCATACTCATCTAATCACATCAATGTGATTCGGGGATTCACTCAGGAAAATATTTTTTATTACTTTTACCCGATAATAAGACATTTTATGTTTGAATAGAAGTAGGTCACGAGAGCTCAAACGAGATTACATCCCGGAAGTGGTCTGCTCAAAAAAGGGCCTGGAGAAGTCGCAGTTGTGGTTTCTTGTGCAATAATGGCGAGTACAACGCATACAAACGATACAAAGGAAGAAGAAAAACTTACAATAGCAGAGAAACTAGAAATAATTGATAGAGAAATCCGAACACTGCATGAATTCTGCAAAAATAAGGGTTACAAGCAGTTTGAGATTGAAAAATTAGCCCAGCCAATTTTGAAACCAGTGAGAGAAGCAAATAGAAAGAAATGGTTGAATAGATTCAAATGGGCCGGTATCTGTGTTCTGATACTAGCAATTCTGTTTTATTTTGATCCTGCTTACAATACCCTGTGTATGATTGGCAGACTTACAAGTGTCAAGGTAAGATTTTTAAAATAGACACATCCAATCACATGCTATCTATTGCAAGACTTACGCCTGCCACAACCGTCACCATGTTAATCAGTGTTTTTTAAGTAGCGCAAGGATCCTGCCATGACCGTGGTAGTGTTATCGTGTAAGCCTGGTATAACCGTGACAGGCTGGTATAACCGTGACAATGTTGTATTCTATTGCAAGGCCTGTCATGACCCTGGAAGTGTTATTGTGGAAGCCTGGCGCGACCGTAGCCTTTATTGTGGTTTATAACCGAAAGTGAATATTAATGTATAGTAGTAATTTTGATTTTGACATGATTAAGGTAGTTAAACACCATGATCATAGTATTAAACTTATAGTTTTATCACTTAAAATTGTTAAGGATATTCCTGGCATTAATGTCATACATATTTACTAGTCATTGCAATACATTATAACGGTCATAGTAGAACTAAGCCTAAATCTCTACATTACCACCCTCATACCTGGCCTTGCAATACTATATTACATTGTCACGGTCATACCAGGCTTTGCGATCCCATAATACATTGTCATGGTCATGCCAGGTTTTCAAATACACATTGTCACGGTCAATTATAGCAATCATAAATTTCTACATCACCACTCTCATACCCGAACTTGGAATATTATATCACATTGCCATGGCGGTCATACTAAGCCTTGCAATACTATATTACATTGGCATGGTCATGCCAGGCTTTGCAGTACACATTGTCACGGTTATAGCAGTCCTAAACGTAAATTTCTACATTACCACTCTCATACCTGAACTTGCAATACTATATTACATTGTCACGGTCATGCCAGGCTTTGCAGTACTATATTACATTGTTACGGTCATACCAAGCCTTGCAGAACTATATTACATTGTCACGGTCATGGCAGGCATTGCAATATAATACTGCATTGTCGCGGTTAAACCAGGCTTTCACGATAACATTACCACGGTCATGGCAGGATCCTTGCGCTACTTAAAAAACACTGAATAACATGGTGACGGTTACGCCAGGCGTTAGTCTTGCAACAGATAGGGTCTCCATCCAATACATGTACATGTATCTAGTTCCGATCCCATCTCTATCTTGTGCACATACAATAGCAGATAGATCCACATGCTATATTTCAAGAGTTGAAAAATATTGGCGCTAGCGATGCACATATTTTATACCTCAATCCATTCAAAACACCAGCCTAAACATTCTCTCAAAGCCCAAAAAGTTGCAGCTGTCAAACTGCAGAGATACATGTACATGTTTACACTTCACTCCACGTCAGGTGATTCAATTTGTAAAATAATTCATAGCATGATGGGAGATGTACTTTAAATTGACAATGTTGGCTCAAAATCACTTGTAAAATGCTCAAAATGGAGAAAAACTGCATGATTTTGAAAGAATTTTCATTGAGGGGGAACTCCTCTGGTCGCAGGCCTCTACTAAATCTACATGTACATGTAGCGATCTCTTTGAAACTCAAATGACAGGAGAGGGCAAACATTTGTACTGAGATAAATACCCCAATTGTAGTTTACAATAATGTGTCATTCTGAGGCCACTCAAATATGGTCCGTGAAAATCCTTGGGTTTGATATGGCTATGCTCTATCCCAATGTGCATTATTGGAAAAATACAGGTAATTTGATTGTTGCATGGGTAGGCACACAAAACAGTAGTTGAAAAACCTGCAAATCTTTGATAGAAATGTGTAGATGTATTTTGTAAGGGCCTATCAAGAAAGCCCTGATCTGAACCTGATATATTTTGCAAGGGTAACAAGGGTAGATAAAGACAACTCCTATCAGATCCAGAATATGACATTTTTTGTAAGGGCATTGATAGGGATAAGAGTATTGATAAGAACACCCTATGCAGACAGAGCCTGTGGGAAATATTGGGTGCGGCGCAAATGAGCGGAGGGTGCGGAGCTAACGGTCATTTTTGAATTTAAAATTGGGATATTTCTGAAACTAAGTCGTTTTGGGACTTCAAATATATCAAGATATGTGTATTTGACACCAAATATCAATAAAATTGTGAAAATAGTATTGCAATTCATTTTATAGCGACGCAGTATGCCTTAAACATTTCCCAGACCTATATATTTTGAGACTATCCTTTTATTACTGCGTCCCCAGCATTCATAAAAAATGGTGTTCAAGATACACTACCCATGCAAATTATTTTTGCATCTTGGAAGCCAGGCAGTATCTGTGTGATTTTATAAAAATTCGGAAATGTTCTTCAGATATGAGCCCCCTCTAAATATTGGGTGCGGAGCTACGTTTATGGAGCTGCTCCGCACCCAATATTTAGAGAGGGCTCATATCTGAAAAAATTTCCGAATTTTTATAAAATCACACAGATACTGCCTAGCTTCCAAGATGCAAAAATAATTTGTATAGATAGTGCACCTTGAACACCATTTTTTATGAATGCTGGGGACTCAGTATTAAAAGGATAATTTCAAAATATATAGGTCTGGGAAAGGTTTAAGGCACACTGCGTCGCTATAGAATGAATTGCGCTACTATTTTCACAATTGTATTGATATTTGGTGTCAAATACACATATCTTGGTATATTTGAAGTCCCAAAACGGCTTAGTTTCAGAAATATCCCAAATTTAAATTCAAAAATAACCGTTAGCTCCGCACCCTCCGCTCATTTGCTCCGCACCCAATATTTCCCACAGGCTCTGTCTGCATAGGGTGAAGAACAAGCCTCTAAATTAAGTGTATCATGATTAACGTGAAACCATGGGCTTTTGAAAGCCCATGGTGAAACTAGATCTACATGTACATGTATATAATTTCTATAAGGCCATAGGGCATACATGTAGATAAAGACAATCCCAATCAATCCTGATTTGACATTTTCTGTAAGAGTCCAGATCATAGGTGTAATGAAATTTTTGCTTGGTTTAACTCTTGAGTGTTCAAGCATATAGATGAATGGAACAAATCGCATCTTTAATAAGGCATATTACTAATAATGCAGAAGAAATGATAATATGACTCACCTTCAATAAATCTGTTGTAACGATCAAAATGACATTGTCAGTTTCCACAAAAATGTTTGGAATGAAGCAATCCATATGACTGTATAATAGACATATGGATTGATATGAAAAAAATGAATATAGTCATATGGAATGATATGAAAAAGTAAATATATATAGTCATATGGATTGATATGAAAAAAAAACATATATGTATATAGTCATATGGATTGATATGAAAAAAATATAGTCTTAGATTGTAGAATGAATTTGTTAGATTTACTTTCCTATGAATTCAATAATATCACAATTTGAATTCCAAATTATAGAATCTAGACAAATCTGATCTATTGCCATATTCTATATTTCAATTGATATTGTCCTATCAATCATATTTCAGTAATTATTACCCTGCTATATTTCAGTTGATAATGTCCTACTATATTTCAGTTGATTTCAAATTTTGTATTTCAGTGGATATTGTCCTTCAATATTTCAGTGGATATTGTCCTCAGACATGTTAGACTAACATATTTCAGTTGATATTGCCCAAGTTTAATATTTCAGTTGATATTGTCCCTTCTATATTCAATTGATACTCCCAACTATTTTTCAGTTGATATTGCCCTTCTGTATTTCAGTTGATAGTCTCCTATTATTTTTCAGTTCATATTGGTCCATCATTTATTATATTTCAGTTGATATTGCCCAGCTTTAATATTTCAGTCGATATTGTCCCATCTATATTTCAGTTGATATTTCCCTACTATATTTTAGTTGATATTCCCCTATAGACTATTTTTCAGTCGCCCATTTTCAGTCAATATTGTCCTTTACTATATTTCAGTTGATATTGCTCCACAAGTTTTCAGTTGATATTGCCCTACTGTATTTCAATTGATACTACTCATTTTTCAGTTGATATTGCCCTACTGTATTTCAATTGATACTACTCATTTTTCAGTTGATATTGCCCTACTGTATTTCAATTGATACTACTCATTTTTCAGTTGATATTGCCATACTGGGACTGGACAGAGGTGTATGATAAAAGCTGTTTGGTGTATAATCCCTATTTCATTGGAAAACAACTTGATGAAGACGATTGTGAGGTGAGTAATTTTAATACATATCAGATCACATAAAACATTAAAATGTCTTATGTAATGTCTCAACACCTCTCTAATTCAAATACTGTACCTCTTGATGTTAACATTTTTTCTGTCCCATTTTTTAATCCGTCATAGACTTCCATGTTAAAAACCTTGAAATGTGAACACCTGCCAATCTGAAAACTTTTAGTCAGTTTTAGTGATATTTCGATTTTAGTTTTAGTGTAAGGAGTTTATATTAGAAATTAAGATTTTTTTATGGATATGTGTTAATTCAACTAAAATCTGCATACATTTTATGATTGTAGCTATGTGAGACCACAACTTCGTTGACACGAGAAGAGAATATTTCGCAAGTGGAAATGACAGAGAATTTTCTGAAGCGTGACATACCGCTGATTGTTACAGACGCTATGTCTGATTGGCCGGCCAGAGAGAACTTCAGTTTGAAATATCTCCATGAAGTAAGAAGCACATTTTAGTTTATTACAATAAAGTTCTCATTTGAAATTTTCTTTTTATGATACATAAACTTGGATATCAATCTCAACGGTTTCCTGATTTTCTAAATATGGTACAATTGAATTTTCAACTGCAAGTGTATTTTTACATTCTCTACTAAATACCAGATCTGATTATTTCAATGATTGTTTCAATGGTTTTTACAATGATTGTTTTTCTCTAACATCTTACTCTTCAAGATTCCTAATAGAAATCATGTACGACTATTATTTGGGATAGTTGGGGTTTGTTTAACTTATAACTGATGCACTTTTAGATGTTTTCTTTTTCTTGCTGTTTTCTCTTACCATTTTTTGGTACTTACCTGTTGACACTTGCGTAAAGACTCTTTTCCACTGAATGTATTAAACATTTTTTACAGCTTCACAAGAATGATCCAAAACTACGAGATGCATCGCCATGTGACTTTACAACAAATCTCAAGATTCCCAATGGAAACCATAGGGCATTTCTGAAGAAAGCTGCAAGTGGGAACATTAATAACTACTATGCACATTGGTTAGTCAGCTCTATAAAGTAAAGAATTATGTACCTATAAATAAAACTGATTAATGTTCATGTGAAAAATCATGAAGGGCAGCATCTGAGCAAAAAAACCAAGCAAATCCTCTATGAATCTTACGAACCATTTTATTTTACATGTATTCTATATTGAGCCAACCCGTAGCCAGGGGGGATTCGCAGGGTTCGGGCGAACCCCCCCCCCTGGCCCAAAATTCTCTCAAAATTATGCAGTTTTTCACCATTTTGAGCACTGTGAGCAAAGTGATTTTAGCCATATTTAGGCCAAAATTGTCAAAAGTGAACCCCCTGGAAATTTTTGAAAACTGACCCCCCCTTCGCAAATCCTGGCTACGGGCCTGTTGAGCTGATAATGAGAGAAAATATACAAAGAGAAATAACTTCAGTTTTGAATGTTTAGGGAAATGCACACTGAATCATTGATGAATATCTTCAGGGTCCTCAAGTACACTTCATTAATTGTAGTTTTTGGATACTTTGTACTGATTTTTATTCTCTTCCCTATTTATGGCTTCTCTAAGTCTAATATGCATTTTTATTGTTTTTTCCTCGTAGGTCGAACTGTGACAAACAGGCAGCTAAAGTGTTGCGACAGTTCTACAAACGGCCATATTTTATCCCACCTATGGTAGAGTTCAGATACTCCAATTGGCTCTTTGTGTCAAACAAGTTTACAGGAAAGAGATTTAAGCCAGTAAGTTCTGTTCTTGTCATAAATTTTATCACTTTGTTATTAATTGTACTAAAAGTACCATATCCCTGCTCATATTCAAATTATTGACAATAATTTCATTTATGGCAATGTGAGAGTCGGTTAAGGTTTAGGTATGAACAAGCCCTAAGAAGACCATTCCCCGGTTATCCCAGGTAAATGTTTCTGGTAAGTTACACTGAACGAAACATCAAGCTTCAGATCTCGAGAGTACGAGATGAGACTTTAGACGAGATATCGATAGGATTGTAGTTGGAGGGTTTTCTCCCTAGGTGCGTACAAAATCCATTAACATCAATGTAAGTTATACATTTCGATTCTTTTTATCGACATTTATCTCTTGTATATACATTTATCTATCGCTGAATCGTTTTGTGAAAATTTTATCGTAATATTTCACACAAAAAACGTCAGTTTAAAAAAGTTCAAAAAAATTTCAAACTCATTTTATCTTTTGTCTTTATGACTTTGTAGTTTTATGTTTGAAGTATTCAATTGGTTTCTCGTTCATATGGTTTACAACTTGAATTTATACAAAATAATTAATTTATTGATGAATATGGACACGTCACATATTACTCGAGTCTCTACCTTACAGCTAGATGTAACTTCATTTATTTCGTACGTACTCGTATTTCGTATGTAAAAATTGCTACACGCACCTAGAAATCATTTTATATTAATTATATTTAGGATGAAGCGTTGCTTGTCTGGTTTTAGATATTTCAAAATTTCTTTTCGGAGTTTGACACATGGTTAAATTTTCTCGCTGTAGCTAAAATGGCTTCCGGTTCCAGACGTCAATAATGTAGGAAACTTTGAAATTATTCTCGCTTAAAGAAATCAAATATAACAATAGATTCAGACGGAGATGTGTGCTGATGTTTCTCAAATCTATACATAAAGATATATTTCATATTATTATGCCGTATTTCCTGTGTGTGTGACACATTGATTTACAATATTTACAACACCAAGGCAGCTAATCTTTTTACTCAAAGCCGGAATATAGAGAAGGTTTGGACCTAAGTAAGTCACATACATGTCCTCAAGTTACGTTCAATAGACTCCATCAATCTAATAATAGATATTTCATTTATTTACGAGTGTAATTAACCTTGTAGGCTATTAAATAAATATATCTATTCTATTTTATTATCCCATTCCAGAGATTTCTGGTTGTTATTGGGATTATTCATAGTACCATTAAGGTACAGATATCATTTTATTATTTGATATATATTTATCTCTTGAGAGAGCTATAATTATTCCTTTTCTTCTATATTTCTGACACCTTATTGCACATAATAAACTTTACTCTGAGGATAAGACAGGAGTCAATAATATCCTTACCTTTCTTCTCCCATTATACAAGACAATTAGAGATGCCTAATGTTATTAGGGTCAGCATTATAGGCCACAGTTTTGTTCGGAAAATAGAAGAATCTAACCATTTTGACTTTAAATTAAAGGAAGACATAGTTAACTATAATACCATCATTGTATATACAATTAAACAATTTCAGATGATGTAAAATATAAAAATCCCTATCCAGATATGGCTATATTACAGCTAGGAGAAAATGATCTGGTTCATAGATCATCTACCTTTGTTGCAAAAAATCTCATCACTTTGGCTGAACAATATTTAGATATACATCCTTCATTAAAAGCCTTTTATATTGGAGAACTATTTCAACGCTCATGGCATCCTTTCAAATCCTCGATCAATACTGCTTCAGAAGGCATTCAATATAATTCAATATTTTATCTACCAATTTCAAATTGTTAAATGATATTCATCATATCATAAGGGCAATAGACTTTTGTTCCTACACCACCCACATACCACCCAATATAGAATCAATGGTCAAATTTGATAGATGACTCCTACGATCCCATACATCTCAATGCATAGGGGAAAAGCGTTTCGTCAAGTCCTGGAAAGGCGCAGTCCTGAGATTTCTTGATTACATTTATTAGGTAATAATAATTAGACTTAACATTAGAAGAGACGGCTACTCTTCTCTAACCAAACATAAGCCAGAGAGTCGTTAACTTTTCACAATAGTTTATTCACTTAGTTATCCTTCATAAGTACTATACTTGTATTAGGAAATTTAGTTTCCTGTTTACTTATATTTTATCATATTTATATTATGATAAATATATATTATTTTGTATATCATCTGCATTTATTCATGCAGTGTATACTATACCTTTAGACATGATATGTTATCATATTTATATTATGATAAATTCATATTATTTTATATTTCATATTCATGCATTGTATGCTTTACCTTTATTCTTAAAGGTTATCATATTTATATTATGATAATTCATATTATTTTATATATCATATGCATTTATTCATGCATTGTATACTTTACCTTTATTCTTAAAGGTTATCATATTTTTATTATGATAATTCATTTTTTATATATCATATGCATTTATTTATGCAGTGTATTCTAAATCATATTTATTATGATTAGCCTTATGGGCATCATATTTATATTGTGATAATTCATAATCTTTATATATCATATGCATTTATTTATGCAGTGTATTCTAAATCATATTTATTATGATTAGCCTTTTGGGCATCTTATTTATATTATGATAATTCATAATCTTTATATATCATATGCATTTATTTATGCAGTGTATTCTAAATCATATTTATTATGATTAGCCTTATGGGCATCATATTTATATACATCTAACATGGAGCATGTGCTTCTATTTATATTTATCTAAATGTTTTTATGTCTTGAAGTTGCTTACCCTCTATATAACTACTAATTATTTCACTGCAAATGTCTGAAACTGAAGGACCTAACCCAAGTGTTACTATTGAAGAGTATCACACTTCTAATACCCTGACTGCAGCCAAGTCTATGCCCACTTTAATAAGGGGCAACTTTACAACAACTTTTCCCTTATCCCCTTTCCCTTCTTATTCCACTACATCTTCCATTCCAACCCAACATTTCATTCTCTCTAATTAGACCCACAGCATCTATTACTCGCCCTATTCCATCTTTTGCATCAAGCGCTAATATCCGACCCTACCCTTTCATCCCTCCAGTCTCTACTAACCTTTCAGCTTTTCATAATTCCCAACCCGTCTCTACAGCTTATGGATTAATTCCCAACACAAATGCCATGCTACAAGGACAGGTGTCAGTAGCTTCAATAAATCCAATTCCCAGTTTTCAACATATTACATTACATTAATTTGTCCATATTTCAGTTTTTGCGGATTTACTTTAATTCATTTCTTTGATATTCTTATATTTTGGTATTCATGTATTGATTCATGATTGTTTTGAAGGAGACAAAAACAATGATTATGTCCTCTGTGAGATGTAATCTGACAATTCTTTTGAATCAAAACATTTGAATTTAAACCCTTCAAAGAAGGGAAAATCCTTTCATTTCCAGAATGGGTCCGAGCATTCAGTATATTTATTGCTGTCTATACCCAAAGATTTCATGATCAAACCCCTCACCTCTTGAAATATATATCCCCTTGTCCCTTTAACCACACCTGCCCAACTTGCAAAATGTTACTCCCGCAACAACGGCAGGCAAGCCCAATTCCCCAACAAAAAGCGCTCAGGTACTGGAGACTCCAAAAAAACCCTTCGAGTGAACTTATGTCAACACAAGTTGTTACTCCAGTTAAACCTGAAAGACTCGGATATTGGCTTGAAGGCTATGAACATCAAGAAGAAACAGTTCATGGTTTCTAGTACGGATTTAAATTTCCTCACTCTGATTTGCCAGAACATTACAACATTACTCATGATAATTTGTCATCATATCTAAGAACCCAGAAGCTCTCAAAAAATTAAACAAAGAGCTTGAAGCTGGTAGAATACTTGGACCTTTTGACCAGCCACCGATATTATTTCACCCTTATTTCTCGTTCCTAAAAATCTCCAGGTGAATTCTGTGTTATTCACAACTTATCACATCCCATAGGCCAACCCATAATGATACTATCCCAGACGAAACTTCTACAGTTAAATATGCAACCGTACAACAAGCCATAGATATTATAAAACATTTAGGAAAAGGTTGCTTCTTGTGTAAGACTATTAGAAGCTTGTTTGCTCATGGAAATGGCAAAACAATCATTGACACTTTATGTAACATCAACCCCTTTACCATTAAGCCAAAACCAAAGAAAGTCTCAAAGAGAACTTTTATCTGCTATAGGATTCCTTAGCTACTGTTGTTGTGTGATTCCTTTCGGTAGATCATTTATTTCATTATTTATTCATCTATCTAAAAATGAAGGAGCTACATTATAAATTCTTAATCAACACTCCATCTATGCAGGATTTATTATTGTGGAAATAGTTTCTAATTCCCTTTAAGGGGAAATCTATTTTCCTTACAGAAGAACAAGAGACAAGAGAACAATTGCATCTTTTACCGATGCTTCTACTACGATAGGCTATGGAGCCGTTTGCAATTATCTTTGGTTTAAAGGGGAATGGCCATCAGAATGGAAAGAATTGGACATCAATATTCTTGAATTATATCCTATTGTTACTGCTATACTTACATAGGCAAAACTTATGTCTGGACACACAGTTATCCTGCATTCTGACAATGAAGCAGTAGTGAACATACCGAAATAAATTTTCTACCAGCAATCAAACGTCCATGCAACTCTTACTTCCTATATATTAAAATGTATCTTAAACAATATCATGTTCAAAGTGAACACATTGCTGGTATTCTTAATTCTGCTGCTGACGCTTTATCTAGAAACATTTATGTTACTTTTTATCTTTTTAGAAGCACTTCAAGCTGCCCAAGCCCCGTCTACCAGAAAGTCATATGATTTATTAGTACAGTTCAACTCCCAGACAGGTATAGGTGAATTTCCTCTAACCCCAGCCTCTGCTAGCCTTTTTGCAGCACATCTTCGTTTAAAGAATTATCCCCCTAATTCATTCAAG